CAATATTTCTTATATGTTGGTAATAAGTTGTCACTATAACAGCTGACATCAAGAATATTTCATTTATTTTTGTTCTTTTATTCTGGCCAAATGAATGTTGCAGCAGGAGGCATTTTGTTTTGCTGAGAAGATGGCATTAGCACAGTGTTCCATCAGACAGCCCAATTAGAAATAACTACATCCAGGGAAAGGATTTCTTAAGAGCAGGATTGTAAATAGGATGGACGTTGCTGATATAAAGCAGATAGATAATTCGCTCTTATGCCAGAAGTTTCTCTAGTCGTCTACAGTTTCTCTGGTTTTGATGGCAGCCAACAATTCTCATGAGTTATATAGCCTTTGGTCGTCTTTTCCTTCAGGGACTTGCCTTTTCAATCTCAGGGTCATGAATACTTTTTGAATCTTAAAAATACTTTTTAATCCATTTTCAGTGGGAGAGAGTACATCAGGCACTTTCAGAGAAAGAAGTAGACACGCAGTGTATGATGGACAATAGTGAATTAAATAGTAAGGGTCTAGCCATACTATTTAATAATTTGGCTTTAGAGCAAGAAAAGAAGCAGATGTCATTTATTTGCCTCTTTTGAACCTCTGTCACAGCTTTAAAGCCACTTTTTTTACTTGTTCTTTTATTTAGACCTCTTCCAGTTTGCTGTTGTATAGCTCCCTTGTTGAGGTCACAGTCATATTGGGATCTGAACTCAAGTCCTGACTCCCAGTTACACCCCCGTATCCACTGTACTGGTTCTTATGGTTTCACTTTTCTTTGTTCCACTAAACATGTCTTCTCTAACCATTTTCTAGATACCCCTGCAGGACTCTGTGGCAAACTTTTTCGGTCATGGAACCCCTCAGAAGACCTTTGTTTTCCATGGAACCCTGACTCTGTCCCTGATTTGTTTATATATATATATATGTATACACACACACCGTATAAGCTCGAGTATAAGCCTACTTTTTCAGCCCCTTTTTTAGGCTGAACATGTCCCTCTTGTCTTATACCTGAGTCACGGTTATTTATTATTTTACTTATTTATTATTATTATTATTACACTAGTCATCCCCTGCCACGCGTTGCTGTGGCCCAGTCCGTGTATATATCTTTTATGTGTGTATATAGGCATACGTGTGTGTGTATATATTTGTGTATATGTGTGTTTGTGTATATATGTGGTTTTGCACATGCATTGTAATGCGTTTTGGCGGGGGGGGGGGGGGGGGGGGGTTGGCTTTTAAAGTGTCTTCTGCTGTGTATTTCAGTGTTTTTATGAGTGACTAGCGGTCCCCTGCCACGCGTTGCTGTGGCCCAGTCTGGTGATATGGAAAATAAAGTAATTAGAAAGTACTGGTTTCTAATATATGTAATGTCTTTATGCTTGTGGGTAAACAGTATTTCTTGATGATTGTCTGGTTTGCCTACTCTGGAAGATGAAAGATATAATTGTCCATCTTTAGGAGTCCCTTTCAAATCTATAATACTTTATCTGTGTGTGTGTGTGAATCATATATATCTATCTATATCTATGGCTGGATGGCTCTCTGTCAGGAGGGCTTTGATTACGTTTTCATGCCCTGGTGAAGGGAATTGGATTGGATGGCCTTAAGTATTTTCTGTTGGTCATGGGGGTTCTGCGTGGGAAGTTTGCCCCAGTTCTGTCATTCTTGGGGTTCATTCAGAATGCTCTTTGATTGTAGGTGATCTATAAATCCCAGTAACTACAACTCCCAAATGCAAAGGTCTTTTCCCCCCAAACTCCATCTGTGTTCATATTTGGGCATATGGAATATTCGTGCCAAGTTTGGTCCAGATCCATCATTGCTTGAGTCCACAGTGCTCTCTGGACGTAGGTGAACTACAACTCCTAAATTCAAGGTCAATGCCCACCAAATGCTGCTAGTATTTTCTGTTGGTCATGGGAGGCCTGTGTGCCAAGTTTGGTTCAATTCCATCGTTGGTGGAGTTCCGAATGCTCTTTGATTATAGGTGAACTATAAATCCCAGCAACTACAACTCCCAAATGACAAAATCATAAGTTTTTGAGTGATGGTCACTCCTTGTGTAGTGAGACATTTTGTTGCCAAATTTGGTGTGATTTTATTCATTGGTTCTTTTGTTTTTAAGGTACTCATTATGCACAGAGCATTTATATATATATAGAAGATGGTCACTCATTGGCCTGATAGGTGTATTGTGTCCAAATTTGGTATCAATTCGTCCAGTGGTTTTTGAGTTATGTTAATTCCACAAACGAACATTACATTTTTATTTATATAGATTTTTTTAATCTATTAAGTATTGGTTTTATTACATTTATTATTTTACTCTATTATTTTATTATTACATTTATTATATTACTCTATTATTACTGTTATTATTACATTTCCATTATTTACTCTCTTATTATCTTTATTACATTTATTATTTTACTCTCTTATTATTGGAAGGATACGTAAGCACATTTACATTGAAGAAGGTTTGAATAAGTGTTTAATCAGAATTGAACAGTCTTATCTTAAATTACAGTTTTATGTAAATACTCAACAACTTTTAACCTACTGATGATTTTTAGTAGCAACTGCATTTCCCACCCTCGGCTTATACTCGAGTCAGTATGTTTTCCCAGTTTCTTGTGGTAAAATTAGGTGTCTCAGCTTATATTTGAGTCGGCTTATACTCGAGTATATACGGTATTTATAGATTTTACATTAATTCAAATATGTTTCCCAATTTCCTTTATAACGTCTAATTTTTGAGTAAATTTTCTGAGTATTATTTTATGAATTTCCCAGTATTTTTTTTATCTCAAAACAGTACACAAGAAAGAAAAAGAATTCAAAAATGAATTGTGGAATAAAATTGATTATGTGTGAATCACTCTTGTTCAGGCGGCAAAGAAAATGTTGAAAAGTGACGTCAATAATTCTATAGCTGATAGCAATCACTGCAATACGATAGCTTATTATGGGGACTGTAAATCAATGAGTTGGGCTTGTGTGGTTTTCTTTTAAAATCTATTTTAAAGATTTTTCACTGAATCCCTTTGAAGCTTTTGTAGAGTGGTTTGGGAATCGCTCCTCTGTGGCTTTCTTGCATCCGAAATCTTTAATTTCAGTCACTTTCAGTATTATCTGTGGTTTGGTGCATCCACACAATGTCTCCTCTGTGGGTATGGGGGTCATCCTGTATTATCGGCTCTTGTTAGTGAAAAAAGAGAACCACTACTTGTCGTTCATGAGTAACATAGAATGAATCAGCTTGTTGAATGATGAGAAATATTGCTTCTGACTGTTTCAATATGTCTAGTCTCGTTCTGCAGTATAAACAAACCGACATGACAGTCATCAGAACTGACAGACCACAGTAATCACAGTCTGTCCCTGTCTTTTGATGCCAAATTCTTGCTTTACGTTTGGGACTGGCAGTGAGTGATGGGTGTTTTTAGTTCCAGATACCTGGAAGGCACCAAACTGCAATTGCCTGGTTTAGGATGGGGTCTTGTTCACATTCATGTGGTTTATTCCAGGATGCTTATTTACTTGGGATGAAGATACAGGATGTTCCCAAGTTAAAGACATTTGACTTACAAATGATTCTTCGTTAAGAACGGGGCTGAAACAACAGGAAATGAGAAGAATTTGCCCCTTGGATGGAAGGGAAATCCACTCCTGGAAGAGTTATTATCAGGGGGAAAGGTCCCTCCACTGAAGCTTTATTTCCAATCCTTGTTTCCACAACAAGCCAACATTTCCAAAATCCCAATTTTGGGATGGAAAGGGGGGTGGCACTTTCTAAACAGGGACACAGACAGCAAAGGACATGCCACAGGGGTGTTAATCCTTCCCTATGCAGCTGATAGATAGATAGATAGATAGATAGATAGATAGATAGATAGATAGATAGATAGATACATACATACATACATACATACATACATACATAGATACATAGATACATAGATACATAGATACATAGATACATAGATACATAGATACATAGATTGACTGATAGTTTGATATAGAGATGGCTGGAGTTGCACTTAAATAATGTTCCAACTTTTGAGGTAGTTTTTTCATTTATCATTTTTGTGTATCGTGTATTCTTGCTGCAATGATCATATATTGTAATAACTTGAAATGTAAGGGTTTTGTTTGTTCGTTTGGATGTCCCAGTAGAAAAAAGGTTGGGCCTAGCTGTATTCTGGTTTTAAAAATCTCTTATAAAATTATTATTTGGCTTTGTCGCATGTCCAACACATACGATAAAAAGTATCTTGACGTGTTTCACGTTTTTAGTATACATTTTCAGTGTCCTTGTACATCCTCATCAGTTTTGCTGGAATCAGTTACCATCAGTTTTTAATAGTGTGTTGTCTTATTGTTAATGCTTACATTATTGTTTTATTGTCTATGTTTGATTTTAATTGCTTGTATTGTTGTTATTATTGCTTGTATTGTTGTATTTGGGCTCGGCCTCATGTAAGCTGCACCAAGTCCCATGGGGAGATGGTAGCAGGGTATAAATAAAGTATTATTATTATTATTATTATTATTATTATTATTATTATTATTATATCATTTTGTAGAAATTCTCTTTCAGGTCAAACTTTTAATTCTTTTGACCACATTATACCTCTTGAAGGCTGACATGATTTAAAATAATAAAATCATGTAATTGCAGAATTCAGAGGGACTCCCAAAGGTTATCTAGTCCAAACCTATTCTTCCAGGTAAGAAGACAGAATTAAAGCACTTTAGAAAGATGCCCATCTCTTTTTATTGTCTTCCAATGCCACTGTTCTATATTTGAATGATAAAAACATTTTTTCTAATGTTCAGGTCGAATCTCTTTTCTTGTGATTTGAATATATTTGGTCCTTATTTCAGTTTTGCAGCAGAAGCAAACAAACAAACTTGCTCTGTGACTTTCGGTGAGACATTTAAACAATCATTTGACCTTTGAAATCACTTTCTCATTATATTTTTATTTTTTTGTCTTGTAGTTAGTCGCATGGTGGAAAATAGAAGCAAAACTGTGCGCGAAGGATGCCTGGCAGTAAGTGTGCCAAACTATTATTATTATTATTATTATTATTATTATTATTATTATTATTCGTATGATGTTACTGTGTGTGAGTGCAGTTGGGAAGTATAATTCATTTGCATTGAAGCATTCTCAGTTCCAGTCTTTGGAAATAATTACTTATGAAATCAATGTATAGTTCATCATGCCTGCAGACTTATATTTCTTTCATTTTTGAAGATTCCTCAGGGTTTTTGTTTCTTGGCTGATATTTCCTGATGAATCCATCAGAATCACAATCTTTTTGAAAGAAATACTTATTGAAAGTCAGGCATTTCTTTTTGAAGCTCATATCCCAGCGTGCAAGAAATCTGGGCTTGGAAATATGAATGAGTTTTCTGTTGCAAGTATTTCTCTAAATCCTTCATATTTGAGAACCATTGATTCACTGTAATATATTAAGAAAACAATGTGTGTGTTAGATCTCTATATCCTTTTCCTTTTTTGGTGCCTCTCTTTTGCTGAGGTCCCATTTTCATCTGCTTCCTGTTTGGGAGCGAATGAGAAATATAACAGAATTGAACTGAATACAGATGGCACATGAAAAATATATGGAAGTATGCAAGATGAATGCGCTGATGAAACAAATCTCAAAAAATAGTTGAATGGCATTTGGTGATGACTTGTGTAAATGTTGTGCCTCTCTTGCTTTCTATAGTTCAGTTATACTCAGAAATACCTTTCATATGGAGTTGATAAGCTGTTCCATATGCACATTCATTCTGTGTCGCTCTGTTCCGCAATAATCCCTGCAGCTTGCTTCAAGGCTTATCTTCACAATGCAGATCTGAATGTGCCATGAATTTGGAATACATTTTGAAAGCTTAACCGTCACAATTTGCAAAATATGAACGAGAGCCTTGTTGGGCTAACTAGAAGACATGACCAACCTTATACTAGCTTTGGAATGGCTTCTTAAGGCAAAAATCATTCAAGAGAAACAAGTGACATTGTTGTAGTCACAGTTATGTAAGTCTGTGTCTTTTATATGTCATGCTGCAGTTTTTAGAGGAAATTTATTTTCTCTCCCAGCAGCTGATCTATCTTTATATTGTCCTCTTGCGGTTGCATCTGAGCATTAAATAGCTCTAGAGGCCAATGGCTAATCCTTTCTATCTTTACACTGCCCTCTTGTGGTTGCACCTGAGCTCTGCATACATACATACCTAGAGGCCAATGGCTAATCCTTTCTATCTATACACTGCTCTCTTGTGGTTGCACCTGAGCATTGCATACATACATACATACCTAGACCTACCTGTCCGAACGCATCTCCTCCTATGAACCAGTTAGGACATTAAGATCGTCTGGGGAGGCCTTCTCTCGATCCTGCCAGCTTCACAAGCACGCCTGGCGGGGACGAGAGACAGGGCCTTCTCAGTGGTGGCCCCTTGGCTGTGGAACGCCCTTCCTACAGAGATCAGATTGGCCCCCTCCTGTTGACATTCCAGAGGAAAGTAAAGACCTGGCTTTTCGAAGAGGCATTCGACTTGGCAGTGTAATCAATGATTGGAACACGGAATAAGGATAATGAGATTGGATTCTGATTCTATTGATGAGACGTGATGGATTTGTTATATTGATGTTTGATGTTTGATTAATTGTTTACTATTGCTTTAAATGTCCAATGATTTTGATTTTGTACTATGTATATTGAAACTGTGTTGTTAACCGCTCTGAGTCGCCTAAGGGCTGAGAAGAGCGGTATACAAATAAAGTAAGTAAGTAAATAAATAAATAAATAAATAAAGGCCAATAGCTAATCCTTTCTATCTATACACTGCCCTCTTGTGGTTGCACCTGAGCATTGCAAACATACATACATACATACATACATACATACATACATACCTAGAGGCCAATAGCTAATCCTTTCTATCTATACACTGCTCTCTTGTGGTTGCACTTGAGCATTGCATACATACATACCTAGAAGCCAATAGCTAATCCTTTCTCACTATACACTGGCCTCTTCTGGTTGCACCTGAGCACTGCATACATAATTCATACCTAGAGGCCAATAGCTAATCCTTTCTATCTATACACTGCCCTCTTGTGATTACATTTGAGCACTGCATCCATGTATACTAAGAGGCAAGTAGCTAATCCTTTCTATCTATGCACTGCCCTCTTGTGGCTGTATCTTAGCACTGCATGCATATATATCAAGAGGCCAATAGCTAATCCTTTCTATCTATACACTGCCCTCTTGTGGTTGCACCTGAGCATTTCATCCATACATACCTAGAGGCCAATAGCTAATCCTTTCTATCTATACACTGCCCTCTTGTGGTTGCACCTGAGCAGTGCATACATAGAATCATAGAATCAAAGAGTTGGAAGAGACCTCCTGGGCCTTCATCCAGTCCAACCCCATTCTTCCAAGAAGCAGGAAATGCATTCAAAGCACCCCTGACAGATGGCCATCCAGCCTCTGTTTAAAAGCTTCCAAAGAAGGAGCCTCCACCACACTGGGGCAGAGAGTTCCACTGCTGAACGGCTCTCACAGTCAGGAAGTTCTTCCTCATGTTCAGATGGAATCTCCTCTCTTGTAGTTTGAAGCCATTGTTCCGCGTCCTAGTCTCCAAGGAAGCTGAAAACAAGCTTGCTCCCTCCTCCCTGTGGCTTCCTCTCACATATTTATACATGGCTATCATATCTCCTCTCAGCCTTCTCTTCTTCAGGCTAAACATGCCCAGCTCCTTAAGCCGCTCCTCATAGGGCTTGTTCTCCAGACCCTTGATCATTAGTCGCCCTCCTCTGGACACATTCCAGCTTGTCAATATCTCTCTTGAATTGTGGTGCCCAGAATTGGACACAGTATTCCAGGTGTGGTCTAACCAAAGCAGAATAGAGGGGTAGCATGACTTCCCTGGACCTAGACACTAGGCTCCTATTGATGCAGGACAAAATCCCATTGGCTTTTAATACTCTTGATGGTTCGTAGGGGAGAATACGTTCGGACAGGTAAACTGGAATATTCAGCCAGAAAGCTCTGGAATATCACTAAATTCCACATCCCACTATTCCGGAAAGCATTGCTATGACAGTTTAAGTGGAATCATAGTGCATAACGAATAACAAAAAAGAGAGAAAAGGGGAGAAAGAAACCCTCTAATAGTACCTAGAAAATTCAGCCCTTTTAAATAATTTTGTCCAAACTTACCTGGCTGTTTCATTTTAGTGTCGTTACTTTTGAATAAAAGGTTTGCTGAAACTTGTGGACCCATCTTCTTGTTTTGTGGCATAGGGACCACAAAATATTATTCTGAAGTCTTGCTTAGGAACACATCCCCTTCATTAGATGTCTGGACGCACAGAGAGCGTTCCTTGTTAGAGCTAAAAGTGCCCAAATCCAGGGCTGGAGACATTTCCAACAGGAAGCACCTGTCCTTTCTTTGCAAGTTACTCGGGAGACAGCTCTTAACTTGCAGGCAAGGTTATTTCTTCTTAGCCAACCCTTATCTAAGCATCTCTAGATTCCTTTCTATCCATATTGGCTTCTCTAGCTGCGTGTTTCATTATCAAATGGGCAGACCAGGTTACCTGCCTGTCAGGTGCAATGGCCTCGGCCGCGTGACTTGGCCTTGCAAAGGGAACTGGATACCTGGGGCTGGCGCCGGTTGGAATCAACCTCGCGGAGGGCTTTCCGTTGCCTGCCCAGGGATCAGGCCTCACTCTGTTTGGGCAGGAAGGAAGGAAGGAAGGAAGGAAGGAAGGAAGGAAGGAAGGAAGGAAGGAAGAAGGGCAGGTGCAGTTGCAGAAAGGTGGAATCCCAGGAGCCGGGAGGAGCAAGATGAAGGCCTATGTAGCACTTCCAGTCACTGAGCAAGAAAAATCCTACGACTACAACCCCGCATGGGAGCCTGGCCCTTGTGTTTATCTGGGTAGGTCTCCAGTCTTCATCCCCCCCTTCTCTTCCTCCTTCTCTTCCTTGTCTGTCTCCTCTTCTTCTTTCTCCTCCTTTCCTTTTCCTTCTCCTTTCCTCCTCTTTTCCTTTTCTTTTCACTTTCTTCCTCTTCTCATCTCTTCCCTTCTGTTTTTTTCTCTTCTTTCTCCTCCTCCTTTTGAACCTACCTTCTTTTCTTTTCACTTTCTTCCTCTTCTCGTCTTTTCCCTCTCATCTGTTTCTCTTCCTCCTCCTCCTTTTGTTCCTCCTTCTTTTCCTTCTCTTCTTCCTTGTGCTTTTCCTCCTCTGTCTCTTTCTTTTCTTCTTTCCCCTCTTCTTCTTCTTCTTCTTCTTCCTCCTCCTCCTCCTCCTCCTCTTCCTTCTCCTTCTTTCCTCTTCCTCCTTTTTTCTTCTCCTTTTCCTCCCGCTTTTCCTTCTTCTTTTCCTCCTCCTCCTCCCTCTTTTCCTTTTCATTTTTTCCCCTCATCCTCCACCATGTCCCTCCCTCTCTTCCTTGTCCCTTTCCCCCTCCATCCTCCTCCTTCCTTTCTTCCTTTCTAAAGTACTTACAAAACTAAAGTTCTGGTGGTGAAAATTTCAGAACTCTAACAAAACTTCCAAAATTTAATTATTACTTCATTATTTTTCTCCTCCTTTTCATCTTTTACTTTTCCCTTTCTTCCTCCTCCTCCTCTTCCTTCTCCTCCTTCTCTTCCTTATCCTTCCCCCTCCATCTCTTTCTATTCTTCTCTCTCCTTTTCTTCCTTTTGCCTTTCCTTCTCCTCTTCCCTCTCCTTTCCTTCTCCTTCCTCTTTTCCTCCTCCTATTTCTTTATATCCCTTTTATCTTTTGAATGAGATGCAAAGCAGCTCACATGAAAAAGCAAACCTCACAACATATAAATATTAAAATATAATTTAGTATACAAGTCAATTGGAATCCCTTTCAACACTTACAAACTAATTGCATTCCTTTCAGCATCCCTCTGATCTTCCTCCCTGTTGTCATATCACTTTTTCTGTAAAATAACTGTATGCAGTGCACAAAACTCTTCTCTTTCCCTTTTGTTCATACAGTTATGCATTTTTAAAAGAAACCCCTGATCTAGTGCATTATTCCTTATTTGAAAGCATAAAGGTACCTTTGTTATTTTTGCTACCACGAGTCTCCTTTTCAAAACATTCACATGGAAAAATTGTGTGGTTCGTCTTATGGCAGATGTAGTTTCAAGCCTTGTCTTGTTTGTTTCCTTATCTATGTCTCCCCAGACACTTACTCTCCAGGTAGATCTGCGTTGTTATTGTGTTTGTGTGCAATGGTTGCTGGCATGTCACTCTCTCGCTATACCTTGATGCCTATGTGCTTGGCAGAATAGATATTTTCTTGGTTTGAGCAGCTGTTTGGAGAAATCTGCTTGTGTGCTTTGTGTTGAAATTTTGGGTCTTTCTCCATGGGGAAGGAAGCTAGTTTTGCTTCATCCTTATCCTAAAGTGTGCATTGTGCAGAATTTGGGAAAGACCTCACAAATAAAGGACAAATGTACAGTTTAAGGTTGAATTTTCTAAAATTATTTTACGGGCTTTTAAAAATACATCAATTTTTGAGAATTGGTTATAACAGAAATAGAAAATATCATGGATATAAAAATTAGGAGGAATCCAGTAGAAATATTACTTTTAATTAAAAAAAGTGGATGGGAAAGATAAGAGAGATTTTTTTTAAATAGACATGCTATTAACAGCAGCTAGGCTATTAATTGCAAAATATTGGAAAGGGGCAATGAAAATACAGATTAACGAATGGTATAAAGAAGTCTGGAAAATGGCACTGAACGATAAGCTAACATCCAACTTAAAAGTAAAGAAGGGATTATGTAAAAAAATGACTTTGAAAGTATCTGGAGAAAATTTCTAGAAAAACTATTGGAAAAAGAAGATGGGAATTTACCTCCAAATGAAGAACTGATTTTTTTGGTGGGACTTTAAGAAAAGAGATGGCTCTGGAGAAGGGGAGCACAGGGGTGAATGTAAATAAAAGAGAAGGAAATGTATAGTATACTTCTATATAATTGTATTTTCTCAAATAAAAATCTAAAAAAAAAAGTTGTGGTGACCTGCAACCATTAAAAACAAACAAACATCAAAACAGCTTGATAAAACCATGAATCTATTAGAATTTATTAAGAAAACTTCTCTCCAACCTTATAAAAGGTTAGCCTAGCAGAACACAAGCTAATCAATGACATCTGTATGCAGATGATACCCAAATCTATCACTCTTTTCCAACTGCTGCTAAGAAGGTTGTTCAGGTCCTGAACCAGTGCTTGGCAGCTGTGATGGTCTGGATGAGGACAAACAAATTGAAACTGAATCCAGACAAGACAGAGGTCCTCCTAGTCGGTCGAAAGGCCAAACAGGGCATAGGGTTACAGCCTGTGTTGGACGGGGTTGCACTCCCTCTGAAGACTCAGGTTCGCAGCTTGGGTGTGATCCTGGACTCATAGCTAAACTTGGAAGCCCAGGTTTCAGCGGTGGCCAGGGAAGCATTCACACATTTAAAACTTGTGTTCCATCTGCACCCGTACCTTGGGAAGTCAGACTTGGCCACTAGGCCTGGGCAATCCATGGTTCTAGATTGTTCTAAAGTAGTTACAAAACTAAAGTTCTGGTGGTGAAAATTTCAGAACTCTAACAAAACTTTCAAAATTTAATTATTTCATTATTGGCGATTTTTATGACAGAAGGAATTAGGAACTGCCATTTATAATGAAATTTTGAGTTTTGTTAGAGTTCTGAAATTTTCACCACCAGAACTTTGCTCATTAAAGTCTATCAAGTCACATTAAAAAGGCAGCCACCGCTCGTTTTGTACAAACCAGGAACAGAATTCAGTTCAACTCTTCAACTCTATTTCCAGGACATTATTATTATTATTATTATTATTATTATTATTATTATTATTATTATTATTTTGAATATTTGTACTCCGCCCTTCTCAACCCCCTGGGGGGTACGCAGGGTGACTTCCAATCAGCAGCAATTTGATACCTCAATATATACATAATAAAAACAAACAGTCAATAATTATAAATAGTTAAAAACATTAAAACAATGCAATTAAAATCTACTAAGAATTACCACTCTGGTGGCCATTATTAGCCGAAAATTGTGGTTGGATGTTTCATTAAACTTAACCATAATCCATTTCCAAGCCGTTGTCGATGTTGTTATTGTCATTGTCCGCTTAATTACCCAAAGGCCTGGTCCCACATCCACATTTTAAACTTTTTTTCTAAAGGTGAGGAGGGATGAAGATGACCTAGTTTCCCCGGGGGGGGGGGGGGAGTTCCACAGGCGGGGGGCCACCACTGAGAAGGCCCTGAATATGCTCTTTATAGAAAGATCCCTTTAGTTTCTTGAGGGCAGTGTATAGATAGAAAGGATCGACTTTGAATTGAAATAAATACACCAGGATCCAATAAGGTGGTTGCACTGACGGAACTACTTCAGCCAGATAAGATAATTATCTTCCTCGTCTCCACAATCAACAGCCAGTTTGGTGTTCAATCAATTTAATGTAGGCATTTGTGAAACTGTAACCTTCAACATTGCAGAAAACTGGGACATTTCTAGCCAAGCAACATTCAAGTGTGGTCAAGATGGGAAAAGTTATGGATGAAGAGGAACACAGATGCTAGAAAGAGCTGTAACAGTTTGCTTTTGCCTGAGCTGACATGGAAAGAGCAAGATATCACTCCATTATTTCTCTCCTTCCTATCAGGCTGTTTTTGCTTTTGAATTCAAGTCTGCAGCAGTGAAAATGTGCTGAGGACAAAGGGAGAAAGTGAGAGGAGGAGGAGTTAGGAAAGGATTTGAAAAAGCAGGGCGGCAAACGATCAACTGGGAGCGTCCCAAACTGGGACATTGTCAACGCCTGGTTGGCGAAACTGGGCCCTGGGTTCTGAAACCTCAAACTTTCTGCATGCCAAGGTCATGGACCTGCCGATATCCTTGCAGTGGCTTGCTATTTTTTCTTCTGTATGTGTGTTGATTATATCTGAGGCTGAAAGTAGATACTCAGAGCGTGTGCTTAAGTATTTATGGTGCGTGGGAGTAGAGTTTCATCCTGTTACTCATTAGGCAATGCATCCCTAAGCATGATCAATGATTTCAAACTGAAGGTGTGCAGTATTTCTGGGAGGCCCTTTTTGTGCCCTGGAATCTCAGATCCATCCTTTGTTTTTACCATCCAAATTATGGCTGCTGTTAATACATACCATACAATAGCCCACTTGTACACAGAAAGAGAAATACATCAGTTCAGCCAATAATGTGACTGGTGAAACTTATTATACAGTTCTAAATCATAGCATTTACAAAACAATATTATATGCATTTGGTACAGTCACTCAAAAAAGCATTTACAGCCAAATTTTGTTCCTTTGATTTAGATCCCACTAAACATAAAAACCTATATTTCTAAGGGGAACAAGTACCAAGTCGATAATCTTGTGAGTATCTTTAAACATGTTGAAATATATGATGCTGAATGGATGTATTTACACCAAACATTGATGTATATGATAAGTATCAAGTTCATAACTCTGTTAGTATTCTTATATGTATCTTTATATGTGTTTATGTACATTTATTTATTTGTCGTGTCAGGGCAACCAGTCAATTATATTACATTTCTAACAGAACAAAGCAAACAAACAGACAAAATACAAAATTTGTGAGTTTGGTAGTTGATTAAATGTCCTTTGACCAGTATCTGGCCACTTGGAGTGCTTCTGGTGTTGCCGCAAGGAGGTCCTCCATTGTGCATGTGGCAGGGCTCAGGTTGCATTGCAGCAGGTGGTCAGTGGTTTGCTCTTCTCCACACTCGCATGTCGTGGATTCCACTTTGTAGCCCCATTTCTTGAGGTTGGCCCTGCATTTTGTGGTGCCAGAGCGCAGTCTGTTCAGTGCCTTCCAAGTTGCCCAGTTTTCTGTGTGCCCAGAGGGGAGTCTCTCATTTGGTATCAGCCATTGATTGAGGTTCTGGGTTTGAGCCTGCCACTTTTGGACTCTCGCTTGCTGGGGTGTTCCAGCGAGTGTCTCTGTAGATCTTAGAAAACTATTTCTAGATTTAAGTCGTTGACGTGCTGGCTGATACCCAAACAAGGGATGAGCTGGAGATGTCTCTGCCTTGGTCCTTTCACTATTGGCTGCCACTGCCCGGCGGATGTCAGGTTGTGCAATACCTGCTAAGCAGTGTAGTTTCTGCAGTGGTGTAGGGTGCAGACACCCCGTGATAATGCATCATGTCTCATCCACTGTTTTAGTGTGGTGAGATGAGTTCCACACCAGGCATGCATACTCAGCAGCAGAGTAGCAAAGCGCAAGGGCAGATGTCTTCACTGTGTCTGGCTGTGATCCCCAGGTTGTATGTACATGATTTTATATGAATTTATTTGTAGTAAATATTGATATATATATAATTTTAGTCCACCAGAGGAATGCCTGGAGTGAGGCCGAAACCGGTCATGGACTACGGATTTAAGTTCAACTTGACGCAAGAACACACAGCAATACTTTTTTGAGTGACTGTACCAAACACATATAATATTGTCTTGTAAATGCTATGATTTAGAACTGTATAATAAGTTTCACCAGTCACATTATTGGCTGAACTGATTTATTTCTCTTTCTGTGTACAAGTGGGCGATTGTTTTGTATGTATTAACTCAGGAACCCATTCTTATTGTGCCGTTAATACATACCAGAAGCACACAAAATTCAATCGTGGTGCCATTTCAAACACAAGATTCCTTTTTCAAAGCAACGCCTCCATCTTCCAAGAGTTTGGGTCTCATAGTTGAGGTCTTTTATTACTGTTGTTGTTGTTCCTATTGTTATTGTCATTATTCTTGCAGGGGTTTGCTGCTGTTGTGCCGCTTTGCGCCCCCGTTATAAGCGCCTGGTGGATAACATATTCCCCGAAGACCCCAAAGTAAGTGAGGATTTGAAATACGTCCTCGTAAGGCTTATTGTTCGTTGTAGAAATTCTGGCTTAGCAGTCCCACATTTCTGCATGCATATGTTGTGTACAAATTGTAAAACCTTCACACATCAGATGCTTATTGGTTTACTTTTGTTCTAAGTTCAATCACATACAAATATATAAAAATACTAGCTGTACCTGGCCATGCGTTGCTGTGGTCCAGTCTGGTTAAATGGAAAAGAAAGAAAAGCGAAAGAGCTGGTTTCTAATATATGTAATTTAATAATGGTTGTGCGTATACAATATTTTTGTTGTTCCTTTGTCTGTGAAATAATAATAGTAATTGTGCAAATAATAATAATAATAATAATAATAATAACAATGGCCTATACAATCTATATAATAATAATACTGGTGTATTGTCAAAGGCTTCCATGGCTAGAATCATTGGGTTGCTGTAGGTTTTTTGGGCTATATGGCCATGTTCAAGAAGCATTCTCTCCTAACGTTTTGCCTGCATCTATTTTATTTATTTATTATTTTAAACTTTTATATCCTGATCTTCTCTATCTCTGCAAAGGGACTCAGACCGGCTGACAGCAAAAATTCAATGCTAACACTAAAAATCTAAAACATAATACATCAACATTAAATTACCAAATACATATAGGATAAATTACATAAAAGCCGTTTGCCAAGATAAAATCATGTCCAACTCAGTTGTATATTCAGTCCATATATTGTGGTCAGTAACTGTGGTCGATTGCCGGTCTGAGACAACATTCCGCAAAAGCTTTATTCCACAGCAAGGTTTTCACTAGCTTCCTAAAGGTCAGGAGGGAGGGGGCAGATATAATTTCATTTGGGAGGGAATTCCATAGCTGAGGGGCGACCACAGAAAAGGCCCTGTCTCTCGTTCCCACCAGGAGCGCCTGCGAAGGTGGTGTGACTGAGAGCAGGGCCTCTCTAGACGATCTTAACACTCTTGATGCTTCATAGGGGAGAATACATTAGTACAGGTAAACTGGGCCGGAACCGTATAGGTAACAACCTTTGAGGATGCCTGTCAAAGATGCAGGTGAAATGTCAGGAGAGAATGCTTCTAGAACATGGCCATATAGCCCAAAAAACCTACAATAACCCAATACTTGTGTATATAACAATGATAATAATAATAACAATGGTCTATATGTGTGTTTTGCGGAAATCCTTTCCATTCCTTCCCTCCTTTCTATCTCTCCCTTCCTACCATTCAATCCTTTCTTCCTTCTGAGCCTCCAGTCTTTCTGGAGGTGTGGGTGTGAGATGGTGCCATGCAAGGCTGGGCAGGGTGTGAGGCTACTGGAGCCCTGGGCTTGGGCTGGGCCTACCTCCTTGCCTGCCTTCTCCCCTCCCTCCCCTCGGCCCGTGCCCCACTCCTTTCCCCGTCCTGGATTTCCCCACCTCCAGCAGATGGCGCTGTTTTTGATGCCAAATATGTTTTACCTGTCACAGGTGTGACATCTATAATAGTAGGTATGAGAATACATAAAAACATTCGCCTGGTCGAATGCTATGTTGTGTCCTAAATTCGAAGCAATCTGTGAAGTATTTTGGGAGATTTGAGGTCATTCACAAACAGACATTTACATTTTATATAGATTTGTTCTTCGCTTAAGGTAGCCTTTCAGTACACCTTTCAAGCCACATCCCAAATCCTAAGAGCAGTATAACCCAGGCATGGGGCAAACTTGGGTCCTCCAGGTGTTTTGGACTCCAGCTCCCACAATCCTAACAGCCAGTGGGAGTTGAAGTCCAAAACACCTGGAGGGCCCAAATTTGCCCATGTCTGATATAATGCATGCAGTAGTCAATTGATACGAACTTGAACATGTTTTCCTGACTGCCAGAGTCTCTTCTGCATTGAAAGAGCATCACAAGCTCTCTGAATGGCAATTGGATGAGCTTTCCTTTAGACTCACAATGGTGCACAACCTGTCCAAAAGACAGGAGGGCCACAGGTTGCTCAGGTCTGCTTGAGAGGGAATTCCAGAGCTGCAAATCCCTATGGAAAAGGTTATTTCATTTGATATGCATTGTGTGTGTTTAAGTTAATCACAGTGTACAATTTTAAGTTTACAACTCCCATTGAAATCATGTTGTTATCCTCAACTGTATCTTTTTGGGGTCTTTTGCTTGCTTAGGATGGCCTTGTCAAAGCCGACATGGAGAAGCTGACCTTCTATGCGGTCTCTGCTCCAGAGAAACTTGACCGAATTGGCGCCTATTTAGCTGAAAGGCTGAGCCGGGATGTTGTCAGGCACCGCTATGGGTGAGTCCCGAATGCATCTCTCAGCCATTTCAAATGTTTTAAGCCCATTTTTACCCTGGAATGATATGTGTTACAAGCATTGACCTGTGACGGGAATATACTTGCTTTTTTATTTTTCCTTAGAAGCAGAGAAGAAGCTTCCGCAGCAGACGGTTAGGACTGTGTTTATAGATCGGAAATGTGTGGGTTTTCTTTCCTCCCAAGCTGTCAATGCCCCACACATCATTAGTGGGCAAAGACATGCAGGAATAGTGTTTTAGGAGACTTGGAAGTGTGCCAGTCAGTCTTGAAAAACAGTGTTTGTAGCTGGGGGTGCCTCTGGATCTGTTGCTAGATTCAACAGCCTGTACAGCAGTTGTGCCCTTTCTTAGAGCTGTAAGATCTAGGACGGGGAGTCATGGATTCAAATAGCAGGAAAAGAGGTTCCATCTCAATATTAGGAACGACCTTTTGATGGCAAGAGCTGCCTAGAAGTTTGGTGGAGCTGCCTTCTCTGGAGTCTGCTACTGAGCACACTTCAAAGTGCTGGCTTTAGCCTATAAAGCCCTAAATGGTTCCCGCCCAGCTTACCTGTCAGCGCACCCAAATACCTGGGAGTCACTCTGGACCGTGCTCTGACCTACAAGAATGTCGCAGCTCAGGATAGATTCACCTTGCTCAGAACAACACCACACACCAAGGCTATAGGTTTTGTAGTTTATTGAAGAAAAAGCAAAATCAAAAACATAGAAATAAAGTTGCAAAAGTTCAAGTTTGAATTCATTGCTCCCATGTTCCAGCAAAAAAGAAGCTTGTCCCCTCCTCAGTGTCACATCCTTTCGAATATGTAAATGCAGATAATGTTGATGATGATAGCCGCGTTTGTAAAGGGACTGCTTTTACCTGTTTTGTTTTCATTTGCCTCTCAGGTATGTCTTCATTGCCATGGAAGCCCTGGATCAGCTCCTTATGGCTTGCCATTCCCAAAGCATCAAGCCCTTTGTGGAGAGCTTCCTGCACATGGTGGCCAAGCTGCTGGAGTCCGGAGAGCCCAAGCTGCAAGTGTTGGGGACCAACTCGGTGGGTGGAATTGCCCCTTGTGCCTTGATGGCAGCTGCTTTGGGAAGAAGGCAGTATGGCATAGGCAGAGAGGAAAATCATTATTTGCCAGCACCTGGCTGTATGTAAAAGCCTCCAGGTTAGCTGCATCTACCATTGTCTGTATACATGCCATAGATCAGCTATAATTTGTATTTATATGTTGGGTTGTATAAATTTTGTTAGTATGGATATATTGTTGTTGTATTCAGGCATTGAATGTTTGCCTTTTATGTTTGGAATCCGCCCTGAGTCCTTTTGAAGAGATAGAGCGGAATATAAATAAAGTATTATTATTGACACAAAAGCACAGTATGCCACAGCAAACGAGATCTATATGCTGGATTTCGTATCACAAAATCATAAGTCGAACACTTCCCAAGCGTCTAGGACTGTGTGATGTATTTTTATTATTAATAATAATATATTATTATATTATTATTGTATTATTAGGACTGTGTGATGTATTATTATTATTATTATTATTATTATTATTATTATTATGGACAAACTTTGGCCCTCCCTCCAGGTGTTTTGGATTTCATCTCCAACATCTGGTAGTCCAAAACACCTGGTGGGCCCAAGTTTGCCCATGGCTGCCATAAGGTCAATCAGATTTTTTTCCTGATTTGCATAAAGATAGAATGTGCTGCTGAAAGTTTGGTGACTGACTGTCTCCTTTGGAGGCTTGTTAGCAAAGTTTGTATGGCCCTCTGCCAGGAGGGATTGGATTGTGAATTCCTGCATGGCAGAAGGAGGCTGGTCTAAATGGCCTTGAGGTGGGGGTCTCCTCTAACTCTAGGATTCTATATATGTATGTAATAAGATGTCTTGGAGGTACATATTCCATCTTGTATGCATAACCTGATGATAATTCTATGCAATATTTTATGAAGCAACTAGCTGTCCCCTTCCACGCATTGCTGTGGCCCAGTCTGGTGATCTGAAAAATAAAGTAATAAGAAAGTGTTGGTTTCCAATATATGTAATTTCTTTCTGCTTGTGGGTAAACAGTATTTCTTGCTGTTTCTTTGTCAGTGTCAATGTAGAGATTGTCTGGTTTGCCTACTCTGGAACATGCAACATACCATTGTCCTTCCTTAAGGGTTCCTTTCAGATCTATGATACTATATGTGTGTTTGTGTGAACCATATCTGTCTGTCTGTCTATCTATCTATCTATCTATCTATCTATCTATCTATCTATCTATCTAATCTATGGCTGGATGGCTCTTTGTCAGGAGGGCTTTGTTTACGTTTTCTTGCCCTGATGAAGGGAGATGGACTGGATGGCCTTAAGTATTTTCTGTTGGTCATGGGGGTTCTGTGTAGGAAGTTTACCCCAATTCTGTCATTGGTGGGGTTCAGAATGCTCTTTGGTTGTAGGTGAACTATAAATCCCAGTAACTACAACTCCAAATGTCAGATTCTATTTCCCCCAAACTCCATCTGTGTTCATATTTGGGCATATGGAATAGTTGATTCAGATCCGTCATTGTTTCAGTTCACAGTGCTCTCTGGATGTAGGTGAACTACAACTCCCAAACTCAAGGTCAATGCCCACCAAACCCTTCCAGTATTTTCTGTTGGTCATTGGAATTCTGTGTGCCAAGATTGGTTCAATTCCACCATTGGTAGAGTTCAGAATGCTCTTTGATTGTAGGTTAACTATAAATCCTCGCAACTACAACTTCCAAATGACAAAATCCACTTTTTGGAGTGATGGTCATTCCTTGGGTTAGTAGGTGTCTTGTGGCCAAATTTGGTGGCAATTTGTCCTGTAGTTTTTGAGTTATGTTAATCCCATAAACGAACATTATGTTTTTATTAATATAGAAGTTTGCATCTACTGAACCAACAAAAAGCAAAGATTTCACTATCTCGCACACCTCTTGAGGATTTCAGAGTCATTTGGCGTTCTAAATAAGGGATATTCAGTCTGTAATTTTACTCTTTTTGTGCATGTGTGTAGTTAAATCTTTCCTGGAATGCGTCCCATTGGATGAAAAATCCAGAAATGTATTCACATTTTTCAGCAGATATGCCAAGCCTTGGTGTGCACCTGTATCTGATGTGTGCAGAAGGTATTCTGTTACCTCCTCATGGCTGCTGCATTAGTGATGAGCCTATCATGGGCTTTGGTAGCCTGGTTGTCATGCTAGCTGCGTGATATAGTTTCACAGGAACTGTGTTTCCCAAGGGCTCCATTTTGCAGGAAGCAACCCCTACAAATGGCTGAAATGTGGCATTAAGATCGGGTTTCAGGCTTGAGATTGATCTGAGAAAAGAGCTTTGGAAGATTAAGAATTTATGTGCATAGACTCCTAGATTTGGAAGAGACCCCAAAGGTCATTTGCCAGAGAGGAAGACACCTTCCAAGCCTTCCCAACAGATGGCCACCCAACCTCCAAAGAAGACTTCACCAGATTCCCAGCCAGCAGCATATTTCATAGTTGAACATTTCAGGGGGAGAAATCCTGATATTCAGCTGGAATATCTTTTACTGCAATTTGAATGCTTTGTGTCCTAGTCTCTAGATCGGTGCTTCTTAAAAAAATTTTCCATTCACAACCCCCTTTTCCCCTATGAATTTTTTATGTAACTCCCTGATATACAGGTTTATAGGATAGGCATAAAGTTCAAACATTTAGCATTTGCAAGGCTTGCTAAACATGCTGGTTTTCCTTTTCATGAAGTACAGCTGAAGCATTTTCTGCAGTAAACACCGACCATGGTTGGTGTTTGTGTAAATAGGTGGCCTTGAGAAACATTTTGCTGTTGCAAAATTTATAGCGCTAATGATCACAGATAAAACCCTGTATGGTCCAGCTGCATCCAGAGAAGCTTTCTTGTTGGGTTGCTGTGAATTTTCCAGGCTGTATGGCTATGTTCCAGCCCGGAAAACTTTGACAGCTTTCTTGTTGTTCTTGTATTGACTGCTGAAGACTTCGTTGGTTTTTTCCACAAACATTTTAAAGAAACACCTTTTAATAGATGTGTTTACTGCTTTTATTCCATGCTTTGTGGGGGATGTTTTAAATTTCTCTTAATTCTTAATCGTTTAATTCTATTTTACATTTTAGTATGTACTAGTTGTGCCCTGCCACGCGTTGCTGTGGCCTATAGTAAGAATTTTCAAAGTAGAGGTAGATATCTGTACTATTATGAAAGAGCGGTACTTACCTATTCCTTCCCCCCTTTTCTTCCCATTTCCCTTTCTCTCCTTTCTTCTTTCTCTACCTCTTTCTTTCATTCCTTCTTTCGCTCTTTGGTTTCATCCTTCCTTCTCTCTTTCCATCCTTCCCTCACTCTTTCTCTGCTTCTTCCTTTGTCTCCTTTCTTCCCTCTCTGTTTCCTTCCTTCTTTCACTTTTTATTTCCTTTTCTCCTTCCTTCCTTCCTTCCTTCCTTCCTTCCTTCCTTCCTTCCTTCCTTCCTTCCTTCCTTCCTTCCTTCTTTACCTCTTTCCTGCCTTTCCTCCCCCTTTCCTTTCTAATTTCTCTTCTTCCTTGCTTCGGTACCTCTTTTTTTCCTTCCTTCTCTCCTTCATTCCTTCCTTCCCTCCCTCCCTCCTTCTTTCCCTCCCTCCTTCTCTCTTTCCTTCTTTCCTTCCCCCTTTCCTGTCAAGCTAAGGCACAACTTGACAGAAGCAAATGCTAGATATACCAGATACAGCTCTGTAAAATCATGGACTCTGGAGACGTCAGGTTACAAAAAAAGCTCAGTTTACTAAGCACAGAGCAAAAGTACATCCATCTTCAGCGAGCGACACACAGGAACACATCAGGAAAACCGAAAGTCAAAAACAGTTCTTTCGCAGCTGTTTAGCTCTTCTGTTCCAAGTGGTTAACTCCCTAAATTTTCTCAGCAGCAGCAGAGAGCTTATCTTAAGGTTACTCAATCACAGCCTCAACATAAACATTTCAGCATAGCATTACACTCTAAGTGGCATTCGTATTGGTAATACAAGAATTACATTTAAAACACACAATTATATCTCAATAAATCCTGACATTTCCCTCCTTCATTCTTTCTCTTTTTCCCTCCTTCCTTTCTTCTCTCCTTCCTTCCTGTCTGTTCTCCCCCAATACCATTGCTATGTCCCTTCTAACTCTATGAGTCTATTTAATATAGTAATATATAGTAGTAACATATTATTTATATATATATATGTGTGTGTGTGTGTGTGTGTGTGTGTGTGTGTGTATGTGTATGTATTTACTGACATACATTATAATTTTTGTAAGCCCCCTCGTGTCCCAGTTCTGAGAGAAAGGGCAGATGTGAATGGATAGGGATTTAAACAATTTTGGGGACTGGCAGATGCTAGGTGTCAGCTTATTTGTGTTCTCTGAAGATTGTTGTTGTTGTTGTTGTACCGCTGTTATGATCAATTGTTGCTCTTCTCCCGCAGTTTGTGAAATTTGCGAACATTGAGGAGGACACGCCTTCCTACCACCGCCGCTATGACTTCTTCGTCTCCCGCTTCAGTGCCATGTGCCATTCGTGCCACAGTGACCCGGAAATACGGAATGAGTAAGTAACTATTTCTTTATTCCGTTTGCATCACTTCCTTTTCCTTGGAGACCGTATGGATAAAAGTTGGGATGAAGATCAGGTTAATAACAGTGTTGCAACTCAGAGTAGGCTTCACCTTGCTCCCAAATACCACCACACAAGAGCTGTAGAGTTTGTAGTTTATTGAGGAGAAATCCAAGTCAAAATATAGAGTAAGCAATGCAAAGTTCCAAAGACAAAGGTTAAATGCAAAACACAGTTCCAAAGGTCCTTAGGTAAGAACATTCAACATAATCCTTTAAGCAATGGTCAAACAAGAGTCCATGGTAGAAACAGTGAACACAAGACCCAAGAATCACGATTCAGGACACCCAAAGCGAGCTGCTTTAGAGCCAAGGTTATTCCATAGAAGCTTTCATTCTAAAAGCCACGTTGAACTGACACCTTCCCTTTGTTAACCAGAAGCCTAAATACCTTTTGCCAACAAGAAAACAATACGCTCTGCCAGCATGAAAGCATTACGGTGACCTTTCACCAACCTGGCTTCTTTCTTGCTGGCTAGCCGCGAACTCCGTCTGACCCGCCAATCTAAACGTTCCTGCCTGCTCATTAAATCGCTATCAAAGCTGCTCTCTTCTCTATCCGTATCAGCGTGAGACGGCTGATCAAGTGAAGGCCTCTGCACCTGGTCGTTATCTACTTTGCTGACATTCTTTTCCTATGAGAACGGACTTGTAGACTCCTCTGGTGCAGTGTCTGCAAGAGGCACAGAAATCTGAATCCCATCAACCTCTTCATCAGGGAACTTTTCAGGCTCACAAGAGGGTTCAGTTTCATGCTCAGAATCAAGCTGAGCCACAACAAACAGCAACTGTAGCATCTCAATCAGGCATGGGCAAACTTGGGCCCTCCCTCCAGGTGTTTTGGACTTCAACTCCCACAGTTCCTAACAGCCTACCGGTATGCCCATGCCTGCTGTACTATATATCTCAATCATCAGGGACACAATGGCTGTCTTAGTCTGGAATATTTCAGTATGCAAAGGAATCTAGTAGCACCTTTGAAACTAAGTGAGAGAAAGAAGTCGATATCAGAAGCTTTCATAAATAGTCTATTTACTCAGATGCATGGCTTCAGTCATTGGGTTTGCCAGCCCAGCTGCCGTTTGGCCAAATCAACCTCCAGGCCTTCTGTTCCCACTCTTCTTCTTCCTTCCTTCCTTTCGTTAAAATGTCACTGCTTTTCCTGCCTCCAGGATCCGGATTGCTGGGATCAGAGGCATCCAGGGGGTGGTTCGCAAAACTGTGAACGACGAGCTCCGGGCCACCATCTGGGAGCCTCAGCATATGGACAAGATCGTTCCCTCTTTGCTTTTTAACATGCAGAAGATAGAAGATGCCGACAGGTAAGCGCAGCCCTCTAATAAAGGTCCCTTTTGTTGGGCGAGTGGGCTTAATAACAAAAGACCTTCCTCATAAATGTACAGCAGAGCAAATTATTAGCAGCAGCATGACAACAACAACAAAACTTTATTTATATACCGGTCTATCTCCCCGAGGGGACTCAGAGCAGTTTCCAAGTAACATCATCAATACATACAAAGAAAACATAAAATTAACAAGACAATATAAGCATTAAAAACTATAATAGCACATGTATTTAAAATCCTGCCTGTTCAAGGCAATTCAAAAGGCCGGGCCAAGGCTAGTGTAATTTGTAGAGGGCCCGGGAAATTAGGTAAAATCTATGGCTGTTTAATGTATTGTCGAAGGCTTTCACGGCCAGAATTACTGGGTTGTTGTAGGTTTTTCCGGGCTATATGGCCATGTTCTAGGAGGCATTTTCTCCTGACGTTTCGCCTGCATCTATGGCAAGCATCCTCAGAGGTAGTGAGGTCACACAGTAGCTTTTTACACCCAGCAGCCTTAACAATAGCACTTCATACACGATGGCCTTCAACCTAGGGCTTCTCTCACCGGAGCTTCCCACACACCAGGCCTACTCACACTGAGGCCTACTAAAATTGAAGCCTACTTCACACTGAGGCCTTTCTCCCACTGAGGACTTCGCACACCAGGCCTCTCATACACTAAGGCCTACTAACTCTGAGGTTTACCTCACACTGAGGCCTCTCTCAGACTGAGGCCTCTCTGAGACTGAGAGCAACTAATACTGAGGCGTATTAAAACTGAAGCCTACCTCACACTGAGGCCTTTCTCCCACTGAGGACTTCGCACACCAGGCCTCTCATACACTAAGGCCTACTAACTCTGAGGTTTACCTCACACTGAGGCCTCTCTGAGACTGAGAGCAACTAATACTGAGGCGTACTAAAACTGAAGCCTACCTCACACTGAGGCCTTTCTCCCACTGAGGCCTTCACACACCAGGCCTCTCGCATATTAAGGCCTACTAACTGAGGTTTACTTCACACTGAGGCCTCTCTCAGACTGAGGCCTCTTTGAGACTGAGAGCAACTAACACTGAGGTGTACTAAAACTGAAGCCTACCTCACACTAAGACATATCTTCCACTGAGGCCTTCTCACACCAGGTCTCTCGTACACTAAGGCCTACTAACTCTGAGGCCTCTCTCAGACTGAGAGCAACTAACACTGAGGCGTACTAAAACTGAAGCCTACCTCATACTGAGGCCTTTGTCCCACTGAGGCCTTTGCACACCAGGCCTCTCGCACACTAAGGCCTACTAACTCTGAGGTTTACCTCACACTGAGGCCTCTCTCCGACTGAGGCCTCTCTGAGACTGAGAGCAACTAACACTGAGGCGTACTAAGCTACAGACACACCTCCTTGTATTGAATTGCAGCTTTTGCTGAGTGATTGCATCCATTTAACCCTTTCAGTGCTTGACTCACAATTTTGTAATTAAAAATACCTAGTTCTGGCATCTTTTCTATCTCCAAGCATTTTCCTGTTTCTGTAGAGGGCCAAAGTTTGCCCATATCTGGTCTAGATCATATTGCATTTGAAGGTATGGAGAAATATGCATCGGATTAAACCCTAAGGGTTCCTACCAAGTTTGTTTTGTCTTCCAGTCGCAATGGGCCGCCTGCATCTCCAACAGGAGGCGATAAAGAGGAGGATCCAGCTGTTCTGGCAGAGAACTGCTTCAGAGAACTCCTGGGCCGTGCAACCTATGGAAACATGAACCATGCAGTCAGGCCAGTCTTCGCGTAAGTAGGAAAGCTCCAACCTCTTCTGGAGTTGGGCGGGGTCCAATTTCCCAGTTACTGCTTAACCACCTGTGTCTGCAAGCTGGAAACCAGTCTGGAACATCTGATTATTATCAAAAAGTACCGGAGGCTGCATGGTTTATAGAATCATAGAATCAAATAGTTGGAAGAGACCTCATGGGCCATCCAGTCCAACCCCATTCTGCCAAGAAGCAGGAAAATTGCATTCAAATCACCCCTGACAGATGGCCATCCAGCCTCTGCTTAAAAGCTTCCAAAGAAGGAGCCTCCACCACACTCCGGGGCAGAGAGTTCCACTGCTGAACGGCTCTCACAGTCAGGAAGTTCTTCCTCATGTTCAGGTGGAATCTCCTCTCTTGTAGTTTGAAGCCATTGTTCCCTTGCGTCCTAGTCTCCAGGGAAGCAGAAAACAAGCTTGCTTCCTCCTCCCTGTGGCTTCCTCTCACATATTTATACATGGTAGAGCAGGTGTCCTCAAACTTTTTACACAGAGGGCCAGGTCACAGGACGTCCAGCTCTTTCTTTGTCACGCAAGTCGGATGTTCCCACCACAACATCTTTAAACTTACCCAACGACGCACAGGACTCACATCAACACACTCACCATAAACAGCTTGCATTCTCTGAAGAATCTCCTTTGGGGTGACACCTTCTGCTGTCTAGAATTCAATTACTGTACGTTGCTTAAGTCGCATTGACCGACCGTCTGCGCAGGGTTCCATATTTCGCACTTTAACAACACAACCGTTCAATGCTAACGCTTCACGCCAAAACCAGTACTGCGATTTTCATACCAGTACTGCCATCTGTTGAGAAGTTAGGAAGGTCCGTTCAATGCTAAGGCTTCCTGTCAAAACAGAACTGTAGAGGAGAGTCTACTGAACAAACCAGTACCTGCCGCATACCAGTATTGCCATCTGTTGAGAAGTTATGAAGATCCGCTCAATGCTAAGGCTTCCCACCAAAATAGAACTGTAGAGGAGAGTCTACTGAACAAGCCAGTACCTGCCGCATACCAGTACTGCCATCTGTTGAGAAGTTACTAAGGTCCGTTCAATGCTAAGGCTTCCCGTCAAAACAGAACTGTAGAGGAGAGTCAACTGAACAAGCCAGTACCTGCTGCATACCAGTACTGCCATCTGTTGAGAAGTTAGGAAGATCCGTTCAATGCTAAGGCTTCCCACCAAAATAGAACTGTAGAGGAGAGTCTACTGAGCAAGCCAGTACCGGCCACATACCAGTACTGCCATCTGTTGAGAAGTTAGGAAGGTCCGTTCAATGCTAAGGCTTCCCGCCAAAATAGAACTGTAGAGGAGAGTCTACTGAACAAGCCAGTACCTGCCGCATACCAGTACTGCCATCTGTTGAGAAGTTACTAAGGTCCGTTCAATGCTAAGGCTTCCCGTCAAAACAGAACTGTAGAGGAGAGTCTACTGAACAAGCCAGTACCTGCTGCATACCAGTACTGCCATCTGTTGAGAAGTTACGAATTCCATTCAATGCTAAGGCTTCCCGCCAAAGTAGAACTGTAGAGGAGAGTCTATTGAGCAAGCCAGTACCTGCCGCATACCAGTAAAGCCATCTGTTCAGGAATTACAAAGGTCTGTTCAATACGTAGCCTTCCCACCAAAATAGAACTGTAGAGGAGAGTCTACTGAACAAGCCAGTACTGCCATCTGTTGAGGAGTTACGAAGGTGGAAGCATTACTTTTCATTCAACCCTCGTATTTTATTATGTTTTATGTGGGAGCATCGAATCGTTGCCAGCTGTAAGCCGCCCCGAGTCCCCCTCTGGGGGTTGAGAAAGGCGGGGTACAAATAGTTGAAATAAATAAATGAAATGTAATGAACTAAAATGTTTGTTTTTCCTTGTTTCAACAGGCATTTGGGGCATCACAAGCTGTGGGATCCCAATGAGTTTGCTGTCCATTGCTTCAAAATCATTATGTACTCCATCCAGGTAAGTGTATCCTGCCCCGACATCATAATTAAACAAAACCGCTTTAGTCAATAAGGATTTGGGTGGAAGGATGGCTGGAATTGGTACATTTTTTTGGGAAAGAATGCACTGAACAAAGTCTACTGAACAAGCAGGTACTGGCTTGTTCAGTAGACTCTCCTCTACAGTTCTATTTTGGCGGGAAGCCTTAGCATTGAACAGACCTTCGTAACTTCTGAACAGATGGCAGTACAGATGGCAGAAGGAATGGCAATTATGAATCTATATATATAAAATCCAAAAGGGCGTCGTTAGGGGCCGCAAAACGCGAAAAACCCCGGATGAAAAATCACCAAACTTGGCGTACGCATACCTCAAACCACGAGGTATGCTGAACACTCATCACAACTCAAAAAAACATAACAACAAGGCAAGAGATATAGGTCATTCAATATCACTAACTGACTGGGAAAAAATCTGGAAAAACAAAATTAAGTATACATACGCTACAGATCTAAAGGAGAGTTGGTACAAGATTTTCTATAGGTGGTACTTAACACCCGAAATCCTTGCCAAAATCAATAAGAACAAAAAAAAAAAAGATCGATGTTGGAAATGCGGAAGAGAGAAGGGCACATTTCTACACATGTGGTGGGATTGCAAAAGGATCAAAAAATACTGGATACAAATTCATAGATCGATTGAAAAAATCTTAGAGATAAAATTTGAACTAAGACCAGAAATCCTATTATTAGGACTCCATAACCTTAAACTGGAAAAGAATGAAGATAAAATAATTTTTTACTTAACAACAGCTGCTAGGATGGTCCTAGCAAGATTGTGGAAAAATAAAGAAGTACCAACATTGGAACACTGGACCCATAAGATATTAGATATAATAAATATGGATATTTTGACTCAGAGAATGTTGTAACTCAGCGTGTGCCTCATGTATCTACTAGTGCTAGTAGGAGGAAACGAGGCTTGGAAGAGGAAGACGCTCAGCAACAGCTGAAGCGCATTAGGGACTTGTTCCTAGAGCCTACGGATGAGGAAGACTTTGAGGGGTTTACTCGTGAGGAAATGGAGGTGGAGGATTACCGTGGTGTAAAGCGAGTAGCACGCAGCTCAGACAGTGATGAGGAATCCATTTCCAAGCGTCTTAAAGACGTAGCAGATTGCGAGGAGTCTGACAGCGAGGATGAAGAGCTGGACTGGACCAGGGTCCAGGAAGTGTTAGATGTGGTTAATGCTCCAACTTCCAGCGATGAGTTCCATGGTTTCACAGACCCAAGCAGTTTCAGATACTGCTTCGCAGGATGCAGTCCGAAGTGCAGACTGGCAGCAATGGAGAAGTCGTGATTCACCTGTGGAAATGGATGCACCTGGAGGTGAATCTAGTGACTGATGAGATTTAAGGAGCTGCTTGGGAGCAGTCTAGTTGCAGAGTTCAAAGTGTCGTGTTCCAGTGTACCTTGCTTCTAAACTCTTGCCTTGAGTTCCTGCTTAAAGAATCGTGGCTTCCTGACCGTGCTGACAACTTTGCCTGTCTTGGAATCGTGAGTCTTGTCTCCTGCCCTGACCCTTGGACTGCCTTGACCATTCTACGCTCCTGCTATTCTCCCGTGACTTCGTTGGACCACTCCTCGTGCCGATTATTGCCTGGTGATTTGTTTGGACTTCGGAATTGACTGTATTTGGACGCTGACTTCAAGCCTTTTGCCTGTGTTTTTCCTGCTTTCCTTTTCGCAGCGCTGATTGCCTGGACTCTTGTTTGTTTACATTCCTGCTGGCCGCAAGCTGTTTTGTGTTTATTGCTCTGCTAAGAGCAATATGTGTTAATTTGCCATTAAAGACCTTCTGTTAACTCTTTAGCTGCTGTTTCGCCTCGCTGGTCCGCCTGGGTCTTGACAGAGAATCTCCCAAAACTACAGAAAACCTCAGAAAACCAACTGGAAATCAGTATTAAAATTCATAAAGGAGGAAAACAATGGGATGTACACAATAGAGATATAAAAACAATCCAAGAAAAAGATGAAAGCAAAAGAAAAATAAGGGAGTAAACACCCTAAGCAATTAACTATACTGACATTTTCATTACCTTTAAGGAAACTAGCCACAACGCGCAACATAAAACTCAATATTTATTTCAAATACAATAGATGGGAAGAAGAAAAAAAACAATATGTGAAAATTAAACTTAACATGTTATATCAAAAATGTTTGTACCACTCTGGATAAACCTGGAAGTATCCAATCCCCACCCTCGTCCCCCCCCCCCAACCAGCATTCCCCCCTTCCCACATGTGACCCCTTCTCCCTCTCCCCCCAATTCCCTTTCCCCACCATAGCCTTCCTCTGTAACCTTCCCTCACACTCATTCCTTGTTTTTATCAATGTGTATGTAAAATAAAATCAATAAAAAATATTTTTTAAAAAACCCATAACAACAAACTCACAATTACACAACCAAACGGAGCATGTGCAGAGGAGTCCCGGCGCGAGTTGCCTTCGGCCTCCACCACGCCCGGCCCAGGCTGCCACCGCACACCGGCATCTGGCTCCAGGGAAGGAAGGATGCCGCCATCGGGGACGATGAGGAACGGGAAGGAGGGAAGGAAGCGGGTGAGGGAAGGAAGGACGGAAATGAGGGGAAGGGGTGTAAATAGGAAGGAAGGAAGGAAGGAAGAAAAGAAGGAAAGAAAGAAGAAAAGTCATGTTATGTCAGCTCCACTGGCTGCCGATTCAGTTCCGAGCACAATTCAAGGTGCTGGTTTTGACCTACAAAACCCTTTACGGTTCCGGTCCAGCGTATCTGTCCGAACGTATCTCCCTCTACGTCCCATCTCGGAATCTGAGATCATCTGGGGAGGCCCTGCTCACGACCCCACCGCTATCACAAGTGAGGCTGGTGGGGACGAGGAGCAGGGCCTTCTCAGTGGTGGCCCCTCATCTGTGGAACTCACTCCCGGGGGAAATCAGGGCTTCAACTTCCCTCCTTGCCTTCAGGAGGAAGGTAAAGACGTGGCTCTGGGACCAGGCCTTTGGGCACCCTGACAATTAGACATGGAACCAGAATGATAGGACCAACAATGTGTGGAAAGTAGAACCTAACTATGAGTCGGTTAAACGCTGACCAGCAATGAGGTTTGTATTGCTTTTATTGTTTTAATTGTTTTTACGGGTTTATGGCTATTCCTGCCGATAATATTGATTGTTTACGTTAATTATCAGTGTTATAATTATTGTTGTTATTGATGTTATGTTTTTGATGTTATGTTTTTGTAATACAGGCATCGAATTGTGCCTTGTTTGTGTAAGCCGCCCTGAGTCCCCCCGGGTGAGAAGGGCGGGGTATAAGCAACCGTAATAAATAAATAAATAATAAATAATAAAAGTGGCAAGGGGAAGGGAAGGTGTAGGAAGGAAGAAAGGAAGGAAAGAAGGAAGGCAGGTATATCAGAGAAGAAAGGTAGGAAATAAACAAAAGGAGGAAAGGGGAAGGGAAGGTGTATGAAAAAAGGAAGGAAGGAGAAGTTGGGAAAGTATATGAGAGAAGAAAGGGAGGAAAGAAAGAAGAGAGTAGGAGCATGGGAAAGAAGGGAGAAAGGAAGGAAGGAAGGAGAAAGGAGCGGAAGGGAAGATCTTGGAGTCCTCGTGGACAACAAATTAAACATGAGCCAACAATGTGATGTGGCGGCAAAAAAAGCCAATGGGATTTTGGCCTGCATCAAGAGGAGCATAGTGTCTAGATCCAGGGAAGTCATGCTATCCCTCTATTCTGTTTTGGTTAGACCACATCTGGAATATTGTGTCCAATTCTGGGCACCACAATCCCAGAGAGATATTGACAAGCTGGAATGTGTCCAGAGGAGGAAGGAAGGAAGAAAAGAAGGCAAGGGCTGTTAAGGGCTGAAAAATGCGGTATAGAAATAAAGCAAATAATAATAAATAAATAAACTAAAATGATCAAGGGTCTGGAGAACAAGCCCTATGAGGAGCGGCTTAAGGAGCTGGGCATGTTTAGCCTGAGGAAGAGAAGGCTGAGAGTGGATATGATAGCCATGTATAAATATGTGAGAGGAAGCCACAGGGAGGAGGGAGCAAGCTTGTTTTCTGCTTCCCTGGAGACTAGGACACGGAACAATGGCTCCAAACTACAAGAGAGGAGATTCCATCTGAACATTAGGAAGAACTTCCTGACTGTGAGAGCCGTTCAGCAGTGGAACTCTCTGCCCCGGAGTGTGGTGGAGGCTCCTTCTTTGGAAGCTTTGAAACAGAGGCTGGATGGCCATCTGTCAGGGGGGTGATTTGAATGCAATATTCCTGCTTCTTGGCAGAATGGGGTTGGACTGGATGGCCCAGGAGGTCTCTTCCAACTCTTGGATTCTATGATTCTATGAAAGTTTATGAGGGAAGAAAGGTAGGAAAGAAAGAAGAAAGAGAGTAGGAGCATGGGAAAGAAGGGAGAAAGGAAGGAAGGAAGAAGAAAGGAGCAGAAGGGAAGATGTAGGAACGAAGGAAAGGAAGGAAGGAAGGACAGAAGAAAAGGCAAGGGAGGAAAGAAAGCAAATGAAGAAGAGAAAGGGAGAGAAAGAAAAAGAAAAGGAAGTATGGAACTACAGAGCGAAGGAAGGAAGGAAAGAGAAAGAGAGGGAAGAAAGGAGACAAAGAGGAAGGAAAAGAAAAAAGGGAGGAGGAAGGAAAGACGTACAGAAGGAAGGAGGAGAGAAGGAAAGAAAAAAAGGGAAGGGAGGAAAGACGCAGCAAAGGAAAAAGAGAAAAAAGGAGTGAAAGAGGGAGGGAAGGAAAGAAATAAAGAGAAGGAAGGATGAAAGCAAACAGCTAAGGAAGGAAGTAAACAGGTAGAGAAGGAAGAAAGGAAAGAAGAAAATGGAATGAAGGAAGGAGCGAAAGAAGCAGAGAAAGAGGGAGAGAAGGACGCCGCCATCGGGGACGATGAGGAACGGGAAGGAGGGAAGGAAGCGGGTGAGGGAAGGAAGGACAGAAATGAGGGGAAGGAGAGAAGGCTGGCCACAGCAACGCGTGGCGGGTAAAGCTAGTCATATATATTACCAGATCTGTGTGCTTCCTTCTCCTTCCAGGCACAGTATTCCCACCACGTGATTCAGGAAATCCTGAGGCACCTCGACACCTGCAAACGTGCCTCTCCCCGCGTCCGGGCGGGCATCATCCAGGTCCTTCTGGAGGCGGTGGCCATTGCTGCCAAAGGGTCCATTGGTGAGTGGGTATTGAGAATGGGTATTGCCTTGTGCCGTTCTGTGCATGGAGACAAGTCAAACCACTCTTGAACCATTGGCATGGGTGAAAGCTATACAATTCTAGCTGTATATACATTTTCAAGCAGAATAATATAGCTATTTTCAGGCGTATACATTATGCTTGAAAATATATATGCAGCCAATAACTATATTTCCTCTCTGTTATCAAGTCATTTTATTTCAGTGGGTTGTAGGTTTTTTCAGGCTATACGGCCATGTTCTAGAGCAGTGACGGGCAATCTTTTGAGCTTGGTGTGTCAAAATTCGCCCAAAAACTGAGCATAACTTGGGTAGTGTGTCACTTTGAAAAAAACCCCATAATTTCACGATATTTAAAGTTTAAATAACAAAAATGTATAATTGCAATATATAGTATAACTTTAGGCAATTAGGGGATAACTAGCCTAACTGACCACAAGATAGCACATGTAACTGTCTTTTAGGAAAGGGCAGGGTTAATAAGCAGAAATAGGGGTTCATAAATATGCACAACAGTAATAGTGGTGAAACGGAGTCTGTACTATGCTGCAAGATGGCATTGTTTATGTAAATTAAGATGGTGGAAAATGGCACCCATAGCACAGGCCCTTGCCTCTTCCAGCTTCCCCCTCACTTATCTCAGTAATGATGGTCAATGAGAAATCCACGACACCCCAGAACAGTAGATTGGGTGATGGTTGCTGTGGTTATGTGGTTGCTGGTAATGGCGATCACAGGACCCCCAGAGATGCATCCCCGTGGCACTGCGCTGCTCCCTGCTCCATCAGCCAAAAGTGAGGTCAAAGATTCTCTAACAGCCTAACTGGAAGTCCCAGAACTAGATGCTCTGTGCCGGAGTTCTGTTGTATTGGCCTACAGACCTCCGGTACAGAGTGACTACAATACATTACAGCAAATGTTTCATCCTCGGCTACTGCACCTGGCATGCAACTCCATACTTCTCTGTATGCGGCTGCATGCTGCCGCGTGTCATTGAAAATGGCTACGTGTGTCAGTGCTGACACACGTGTCATAGGTTCGCCATCAGGGTTCTAGAGCAATGGTTCTCAACCTTCTTAATGCCGCGACCCCTTAATGCAGTTCCTCATGTTGTGGTGACCCGCAACCATAACCATAACATCACCATGTAAATAATGATCTGCAGGATGTATTTTCATTCACTGGAGCAAATTTGGCACAAATACCCGGTATACCCAAATTTGAATACTGGTGGGGTTGGCGGGGAAATTGCTTCTGTCATTTGGGAGTTGTAGTTGCTGGGATTTATAGTTAACATGTAAACAAAGAGCATTCTGAACCCTACCAACAATGGAATTGAACCAAAGTTGGCACAGAGAACTCCCACGATCAATAGAAAATACTAGAAGGGTTTGGTGGGCATTGACCTTGGGTTTGGGAGTTGTAGTTTGCCTACATCCAGAGAGCACTGTGGGTTCAAACAATGATGGATCTGGACCAAACTTGGCATGGATACTCAATATGCCCAAATGTGAACACTGATGGGGTTTGGGGAAAATAGACTTTGACATTTGGGAATACTGGAAGTGTTTGGTGGGCATTGACCTTGAGTTTGGGAGTTGTAGTTTGCCTACATCCACAGAGCACTGTGGGTTCAAACAATGATGGATCTGGACCAAACTTGGCATGGATACTCAATATGCCTAAATGTCAACACTGATGGGGTTTGGGGAAAATAGACTTTGACATTTGGGAGTTGTAGATACTGGGATTTATAGTTCACCTACAATCAAGGAATGTTCTGAACCCCACCAATGATAGAATTGGGCCAAACTTCCTACACAGAACCCCCATGACCAACAGAAAATACTGTGTTTTCCGATGGTCTTTGGCGACCCCTCTGACATCCCTTTGTGACCCCCTCAGGGGTCCCAACCCCCAGGTTGAGAAACACTGTTCTAGAGGCATTTTCTCCTGACGTTTCGCCTGCATCTATGGTAAGCATCCTCAGAGGTTGTGAGGTCTGTTGGAACTAGGAAAATGGGTTTATATATCTGTGGAATGACTAGAGTGGGACAAAGAACGCTTGTCTGTTGGAGCTAGGTGTGAATGTTTCAACTGACCACCTTGATGAGCATTTGATGGCCTGGCCGTGCCTGGGGCAATCTTTTGTGGAGAGGTGATCAGATGTCCCCGATTGTTTCCTCTCTGTTGTTTTGCTGTTATAATTTTAGAGTTTTTTAATACTGGTATTCAGATTTTGTTCATTTTCATGGTTTCCTCCTTTCTGTTGAAATTGTCCACATGCTTCTTGTGGATTTCAGTGGCTTCTCTGTGTAGTCTGACATGGTGGTTGTGAGAGTGGTCCAGCATTTCTGTGTTCTCCAATAATCTGCTGTGTCCAGGTTGGTTCATGAGGTGTCCAGAATGGTATTCTTTGCTTCTCATAAAGATTGAAGCGACTGGCCTATCCTTGCAAGCGCTCTTAATGCTCACAAATGCGGAAGCCTGCAAGTCTTGGATCTTGACTTCCATAATCCAGTTCTTGGCACAAAGACAACTTGGTCCCCTACTATGTCCATGATTCCATGCGAGCGTGGCGTCCTAACAGCATATCTTCCCATTTTGATTCATCACACCCAGAGGAGAGCTTTGGCAACTGGAAGATGTAATGTTTTGCTATCAGCTCTTTTGGAGGGGAGATATAAAAAAGTGTTTGTTCTTGTAACTTGGCCTCTATAAAAAAAGCCAACGGGATGTTGGCCTAGTGTTTAGATCCAGGAACGTCATGCTCCGCATGCTCTATTCTGCTTTGGTTAGACCACACCTGGAATATTGTGTCCAATTCTGGGTACCACAGTTCAAGAGAGATATTGACAAGCTGAAATGTGTCCAGAGGAAGGCGACTAAAATGATCAAGGGTCTGGAGAACAAGCCCTATGAGGAGCGGCTTAAAGAGCTGGGCATGTTTAGCCTGAAGAAGAGAAGGCTGAGAGGAGATATGATAACCATGTATAAATATGTGAGAGGAAGCCACAGGGAGGAGGGAACAAGCTTGTTTTCTGCTTCCCTGGAGACTAGGATGCAATGGAACAATAGCTTCAAACTACAAGAGAGGAGATTCCATCTGAACATGAGAGGAAGAACTTCCTGACTGTGAGAGCCGTTCAGCAGTGGAACTCCCTGCCACGGAGTGTGGTGGAGGCTCCTTCTTTGGGTGCTTTTAAACAGAGGCTGGATGGCCATCTGTCAGGGGTGCTTTGAATGCATTTTTCTTGCTTCTTGGCAGAAAGAGGTTGGACTGGATGGCCCATGAGGTCTCTTCCAACTCTTTGATTCTATGATTCTATTAAAGCACTTCATAATTCTTTGTTTGTCCTGAATATGATAATTGTTGTTCATTCTTTCTGTCGTTTCTGACTGTTTGTGACCTCATGGACCAGCCCACGCCAGAGCTCCCTGTCGGCTGTGGCCACCCCCAGCTCCTTCAAGGTCAATCCAGTCCCTTCAAGGATGCCATCCATCCACTTTGCCCTTGGTCGGCCCCTCTTCCTTTTACCTTCCACTTTCCCCAGCATTATTGTCTTCTCTAAGCTTTCCTTTCTTCTCATGATGTGGCCAAAGGACCCTCTTGGCCTCTACTATATGATAATATACGGATGAATTATAGGAATTCGGTTTTTTTCACAGTGTTCTCAATGGCAAGGGTATTATAAAATTTCATTATCTTCTGAAAAACTTTGATGCATTCTTCTGTGGGACTGTTGCAATTTTTATCCTTGAGATTAGTAACTTTTAAGTATGTTTTCTTTTTACCTGTGACTACCTCTTGTTGTATATACCTGTATTGTGATTTTGTTGTCATATGTCGATAAAGGCTGTGCGTGTGTGCATTGCTTAAATACCCAGGAGATCCATGCTATCGGTCGCACAAAATTATTATTATTAATTTATTGTGTGAATAATGCAAAGCCGGCCCCAGCCTCTAAATCAGGCGTGGGAAAACTCTCTAACTTGGGGGCCGCATGGTGGGCTGGAGTGGGGTGGGTGGGCCAGGAGGGAGGGGGTTCTCCCCAAGCCCCTTTCCTCCCCTTCCTCTTCCCTTTCGGAGGCAGAAAGTGAAGGAAAGATGGGAAATGTTTGGATCTCAAAAGGATTGACCTTGGTCAGGATGAGATGGTAGATGGGATAGCAAAAGTGTATCCACGAGATATCATCTTGTCTACTCCTGATATAGAATCCTAGAATGCTAGAGCTGGAAGAGACCCCCAAGGGGCCATCTAGTCCAACCCCCAGCCATGCAAGGAGACACAATCAAAGCACTCCCGATAGACAGCCTCTGCGAAAAACCCTCCAGAGAAGGAGACTCCACCATATGCCTCTCCACCTATGCCTCTCTCCAGGAAGTTCTTCCTAATCTTTTCACTCAAATCTGTTTCCTTGCCATGTGAAACCATTGCTCCCTTGTGCCCTGGTCTTCAGAGCAGTAGAAGTCAGCCCCCCCCCCCCTCCTCAATGGGACACCCTTTGAAATGTTGAAACGTGGTCCTCATGTTCCCACTCTATCGTCTCCTCTTCCAGCTCAATATCTCCCAGGAGGAAAGGAGGAAGGAAAAAGAGAAGGAAGGGATGAAGAGAAGGATGGAAGGAAGGAGGGGTGGAAGGGAGGGAGGAAAGAGAGAAGGAAAGAAAGACTAAAAGGAAGGAAGGAAGGATGGAAGGAAGGAAGGAAGGAAGGAAGGAAGGAAGGAAGGGAGGAAGGGAGGGAGGGAGGGATGAGAAAGGGAGAGGGAAGGAGGGAGGAAAGGGGGAAGGAGGGAAAGACTAAAGGAAAGGGTGGGAGGGAGAGAGGAGAAAGAGGGGAGAGAGAAAAGAGGGAAGGAAGGAAAGACTAAAAGGAAGGAAGGATGGATGGAAGGGAGGGAGGGATGAGAAAGGGAGAGGGAAGGAAGGAAAGACTAAAGGAAAGGAAGGGAGGGAGGAAGGGAGAGAGGAGAAAGAGGGAGAGAGAAAAGGGAAGGAAGGAAAGACTAAAAGGAAGGAAGGATGGATGGAAGGGAGGGAGGGATGAGAAAGGGAGAGGGAAGGAGGGAGGAAAGAGGGAAGGAGGGAAAGACTAAAGGGAAGGAAGGGAGGGAGAGAGGAGAAAGAGGGAAGGATAGAGAGAGGAGGGAAGGAAGGAAAGACTAAAAGGAAGGAAGGATGGATGGAAGGGAGGGAGGGAGGGATGAGAAAGGGAGAGGGAAGGAGGGAGGAAAGAGGGAAGGAAGGAAAGACTAAAGGAAAGGGAGGGAAGGAGAGAGAAAAGAGGGAAGGAAGGAAAGACTAAAAGGAAGGAAGGATGGAAGGGAGGGAGGGAGGAATGAGAAAGGGAGAGGGAAGGAGGGAGGAAAGAGGGAAGGAAGGAAAGGCTAAAGGGGAGGGAGGGAGGAGAAAGAGGGAAGGAGAGAGAAAAGAGGGAAGGAAGGAAAGATGGGAGGGAGGGAGGGAGAAAGGGAGGGAAGGAAGGAAGGATAAGAGAAGGAAGGAAGGATAGGATGGTGAGAAAGAGGAGGGCCTGAGAAAAGAGCCCAAGAGGCTGCTTCTGGCCCCTGGGCCTGGGTTTGCCCATACCTGATCAAAATAGAAATATTTTTTACTTTTTTTAAAATAAAAATTGAAATAAATTGTCAAATTTGCATGTAAATCATATTGACAGTGTCTCCTTTGGACAGCTCTGGGGTTCTGATGCTGCTGAGGCTCATTTATCCTTGTCATTGGGTTGTGACAGGAAGCCGTCCTTCCTAGTAAACAGACGTGTGACTCAGTTGCCATCTGTCCTCTGAGGGCAGGCATTCTCAAGGGAATAATGACAGTGTGGAAGGACTAATTGCTGCCATGGAAGGCAGGATTGGTAGATTTGAGAGTAGCCCAGCATAGATTGGGCAGGAAGGAGTCGGGTGCCCAAAGACAAAGCAGCGGCAGCAGCAGGGAGAAGCAAGCAGAAAAAACATTGTGCCGAGAGACGGGGACCAGCTTGGGTGAATCTTGGCTCCCTAAATGGAGCCTGGGGAAGGACTTTGTCGTGATGGTGCTTTGTGTTTAACCTTCAAGAAGAAAGGCAGGGAAATGAGCTACCCAGGTGGTAAGGACATCCATATTCCTCACTCCATAAGTAAACAGTTGATGATCATGTGAAAGCAGGTGATTCTTCAGTGAGAGCTGTGGTTGTTTTTTTGCATTTGATATACTGGTTTTTTGGCTGTGTTTTTAAAAATGTTTGATTAGTCCTCACTAGCTGGCCATTGTGATTGAACTGCTGACCAACTGATATATTTATTATTAGTCTGATTTTTACTTAGGCCTTGTTTTATGGAAGCAAATGGCTTCTTTTGCTCTAGATTTTGAATTCGGAATTCAGAGGGAGGACAGGAAACCCTTGGCTCCTTTAACAGAATTGTTTTCTTTGGAAAATGTTTGCTTTTGCCTGTGGTTTCATTCATTGTCTGTGTTCCTTTGTGCTTTTACTTGTCATCAGCATTACTCTTGTGTTGTTAATATTGAAAAAGATAGCCACTGTATTGTCAAAGGCTTTCATGGCCAGAATCACTGCGTTGTTGTATGTTTTTTCGGGCTATATGTCCATGGTCTAGAGGCATTCTCTCCTGACGTTTCGCCTACATCTAGGGCAAGCATCCTCAGAGGTAGTGAGGTCTGTTGGAACTAGGAAAAAGGGTTTATATATCTGTGGAATGACCAGGGTGGGACAAAGGACTCTTGTCTGCTGGAGCTGGGTGTGAATGTTTCAACTGACCACCTTGATTAGCATTTGGTGGCCTGACAGTGCCCGGAGCAAACATTTGTTGAGAGGTGATTAGATGTCCTTGTTTGTTTCCTCTCTGTTGTTGTGCTGTTGTAATTTTAGAGTTCTTTAATACTGGTAGCCAGATTTTGTTCATTTTCATGGTTCCCTCCTTTCTGTTGAAATTGTCTACATGCTTCTTGTGGATGTCAATGGCTTCTCTGTGTAGTCTGACATGGTGGTTGTGAGAGTGGGCCAGCGTTCCTGTGTTCTCACATAATCTGCTGTGTCCAAGTTGGTTCATCAGGTGCTCTGCTATGGCTGACTTCTCTGGTTGACATAGTCTGCAGTGCCTTTTGTGTTCCTTGATTCGTGTTTGGGCCACGCTACGTTTGGTGGTTCCTATGTAGACTTATCCACAGCTGCATGGTACACGGTAGACTCCTGCAGAAGCGAGAGGATCCCTCTTGTCCTTTGCTGAACGGAGCATTGGTTGGATTTTCTTGGTGGGTCTGTAGATAGTTTGTATGTTGTGTTTCCTCATCAGCTTCCCTATGCGCTCTGTGGTTCCCTTGATGTCTGGCAAGAACACTTTCCCTCTGGGTGGGTCTTCGTCTTGACTCTCGTGGCTTCTTCTCGGTTGTCTTGCAGCTTTTTTGATGTCTGAGGTGGAGTCTCCATTGGCCTGTAGGACTATTGTTATTCTGATTTTGACTTAGGCCTTGTTTTATTGAAGCAAATGGATTCTTTTGCTCTAGATTTTGAATTCAGAATTCAGAGGGAGGACAGGAGACCCTTGGCTCTTTTAACAGAATTGTTTCTTTGGAAAATGTTTGCTGTTGCCTGTGATTTCATTCATTGTCTGTGATCCTTTGTGCTTTTACTTGTCGTCAGCATTACTCTTGTGTTGTTAATATTGAAAAAGATAGCCACTGATAACACGAACCCAGAGGGTGCTTCTCCCCAAGGCTTCCTCTTCATCCTGGAAAGAAGTGACGAGCGGAGTGCCATCAGCAGGGTTCCGTCCTGGGCCCGGTCCCGGTCCCGGTCCCGTTCAGGATCTTTATTTATTTATTTATTATTTACTTCATTTATATACCGCTTTTCTCAGCCCTTGGGCAACTCAAAGCGGTTATTAATGACTTTGATGAAGGGCTAGAGGCAGGATCATCATGTTTGCAGACGACATCAAATTGGGAGGGAGAGCCAATACTCCAGAGGACAGGAGCAGGATTCAAAGGGATCTTGACAGATTAGAGAGATGAATGGCCAAAACTAACAAAATGAAGTTCAGCAGTGACAAATGCAAGATACTCTACTTTGGCAGAAAAAACGAAATGCAAAGAGATAGAATGGGGGACAATGCCTGTCTCGAGAGCAGGGCATGTGAAAAAGATCTTGGAGTCCTCGTGGACCACAAGTTGAACATGAGTCAACAATGTGATGTGGCGGCAAAAAAAGCCAATGGGATTTTGGCCTGCATCAATAGGAGCATAGTGTCTAGGTCCAGGGAAGTAATGCTCCCCATGCTCTATTCTACCTTGGTTAGACCACACCTGGAATATTGTGTCCAATTCTGGGCACCACAATTCAAGAGAAATATTGACAAGCTGGAATGTATCCAGAGGAGGACGACTCAAAAGATCAAGGGTCTGAAGAACAAGCCATATGAAGAGCAGCCTGAAGAAGAGAAGGCTGAGAGGAGATGTGATAGCCATGTATAAATATGTGAGAGGAAGTCACAGGGAGGAGGGAGCAGGCTTCCTTTCTGCTTCCCTGGAGACGCAGTGGAACAATGGCTTCAAACTACAAGAGAGGAGATTCCATCTGAACATGAGGAAGAACTTCCTGACTGTGAGAGCCGTTCAGCAGTGGAACTCTCTGCCCCGGAGTGTGGTGGAGGCTCCTTCTTTGGAAGCTTTTAAACAGAGGCTGGATGGCCATCTGTCAGGGGTGCTTTGAATGCAATATTCCTGCTTCTTTTTAATCATGTGTCTTAGTCCAATATTCAAACTACTACACTGAGTGAAAATAATTAATCTGTCTATCTGTCTGTCAGTGAGAGTCTGTATATAGGTAGGTTGGTTTGTCCCACAAAGGCTCCTCTGTGGCTTGCTGGATCTACACCAGTGTTTCTCAAGCTGTGAGTCCTCAGATGTTTTGGCCTTCAAGTCCCAGAAATCCTAACAGCTGGTAATTGGCTGGGATTTCTGGGAGTTGTAGGCCAAAACACCTGGGGACCCACAGATCGAGAACCACTGATCTAGACCAACCTTGGCTCACAGACCTTTCACTGTCAAACCTAAAATCATTGGGTGGTTAGAACTAATAAATTATAATAAATCTTTATTTATATCCTGCTTTTCTCCCTAAATGGGACCCAAAGCAGCTCACAACATTTTAAAAAACAACACAAATAAAAACTTTTCTTTCTCCCCAGAATTCGGGGAAAAAAGTGGCCCTCTGTGGTGGTATTGGGAAAGAAAAAGATGCTGCTATGTGACATGTGTATGAAAGGAAGGAAGGAAGGAAGATGGAGAGAGGGACGGGAAAAAGAACAAAAGAAGGAAGAGAATGTGGGAAAAGTATGAGGGGAGGGGAGCAAAGAAACAGAAAAGGGGAAGGAAGAGAAAAAAGGAGGGATAAAGGTGTAATAAGGGAACAAAGGAAAAAAAGAAAGCCACAAAGGAAATGCATATACAGGCAACACTGGATATATATGCTAATGGAATATATGCTTCACCTACAGAAGGTTCCAGCTATAGCATTCCCCCGCTCCCAACAAAATAGTCAAAATAAAAGGCCACTATTTAGAGTCAGTTATCTTTCCTGCCTCTTGTGACATACCTGTGTCTTGTTGTTCTGCTCCAAAATCCACAGAGAAAGTGGAAAAGCTTTTAGACAGTTGCAGACAGGATTTTAGGCTCAGCAGCAGTGTGCTTTGGACTCTTGGTGCCCTCAAGGTACTCCATTCCTTTGTCCCCTTTGGTGCAGGCCCCACGGTCCTGGAGGTGTTCAACACGCTGCTGAAGCACCTGAGCCTCAGTGTGGACTTTGAGTTGGGCAGCCGCCGGGGCTCTGAAGGGAGCGCTGTCGACCTTTCCGTTCACTCCAAGGAGAACGACGAGAAGATCGTGCAGAACGCCATCATCCAAACCATTGGTGAGTCCCTCAAACTACAAACATATATACATACGTTTCCTGCCTCCCTTTTGTCAGTTAAACTATAGATTAGGCATGGGCAAACTTGAGCCCTCCAGGTGTTTTGGACTTCAAGTCCCACAATTCCTAACAGCCGGTAGGCTGTTAGGAATTGTGGGACTTGAAGTCCAAAACACCTGGAGGGCCCAAGTTTGCCCATGCCTAATCTGTAGTTTGACATTTTTCTTCCACCTGATGTCCAGCAAGTTGTTTACTTCTGCTTGTTTTAACATTAACTAATCAGCATCCCAGCAGTATATACCTCCAAACCTGTACATCAAACCTTTCCCTCTGATATATATTGATATATTAATTTTCTTCTAAGAATGTGTCCAGTGATTTATCCCACAACATTATTCTTAATTTCTCTATTTCTATTCATTCCCAAATCATCATCATCCAGTCTTCTGAAGTTGACCTTTCTGTCTTTTTCCACTACCACTTCCAGGGTGCCATAGCATTGAGCCATGGCAGTTAAAGTGATGTCAATCAGCATTAATTCTGTAATTAATTTTGTAATTGCTGGGCTTGGCCTCATGTAAGCCGCCCTGAGTCCCCTTGGGGAAATCGTGGTGGGGTAAAAATAAAAGTGTTGTTGTTGTTGTTACTAGCTGTCCCCTGCCACGCGTTGCTGTGACCCAGTCTGTGTATATGTATTTTGTGTGTAGATGCACCCATAGTGTGTCTCACTCCCAAGTGTAAGCCACCAAACGGGTATGTGAAGCCAGGAATCTGCATTAGGTACAAGTCCAGGGCTTGGTTTTTAGCACTTATGTGCATTTTTTCACACCACTTTGAATTGGAGTTGTGCTGGTGCCATCCAAATAGAGGAACTCTGGCTTAATATGATATTATAATTATATATTTTATATTACATGTAATATTACAATATAATAGCATAGTACAATATAGTAATATATAATACTGATATTGTACTATGCTAATAATATAATATATTCTCTGTATATATCTCTTGTAAGCTGCTCTGAGTCCCCTTCGGGGTGAGAAGGGCGGCATATAAATGTCGTAAATAAATAAATGTCATTTCACAGACCAGCTTAATAAGCTAGGATCTCTCAACTTGTCACTCACTAGCTTTGCTAACTTGAATTCAGACACATTTCCTTAATTCAGATGTAATAGAGAACTTTAAATAAATACTTCTCACAATGAAGTGCCAAATCCATTGTGGGAGAGGCAATGACAAAAGGCGAGGCCTTGGATCCAGTTCTAGTTTACAGCTTCGTAAACAATACCGTATTGACTTGAGTCTAAAATTATTATTTTATTATTATTTACATTATTTGTATACCGCTTTTCTCACCCCGAGGGGGACTCAAAGCAGTTCACCCATAAGTAGTGGCAAACATTCAATGCCAGTGCAAACAATTTATTTATTTATTTATTTATTTGCTTTATTTCTATACCGCTTTTCTCAGCCCTCAGGCGACTCAAAGCGGTGAACAACATCGATACAAAACATCACCAGACAAGTGTAGGGCAATTAAAAACAATTGTAACATAAATAATTAAACATCCGTATAACAATCATTAGCGCCTCAACAGTAAAATCAGAATCCAGTCTCGTCATCCATTATTCCGTATTCCTATATTCAATTACACTGTTTAATCAAATGCTTGTTCGAACAGCCAGGTCTTCACTTTCCTCTGAAACGCCAGCAGGGAGGGGGCCCATCTGATATCTGCAGGCAGGGCATTCCACAGCCGAGGGGCCACCACTGAGAATGCCCTGTCTCTCGTCCCCGCCAAGCGCGCCTGTGATGCAGGCAGGACAGAGAGCAGGGCCTCCCCAGATGATCTTAGTGTCCTAGTCAGTTCATAGGAGGAGATGCGTTCGGAGAGGTAAGTAGGGCCAGAACCATTTAGGGCTTTATAGGCTAACGGCAGCACTTTGAATTGTGCCTGGTAGCAAACTGGCAGCCAGTGGAGCTGGCGCAACAGAGGAGTAGTATGCTCCCTGATTGCCGCTCCTGTTAGCAACCTGGCTGCCGAACGCTGGACCATTTCAAGCTTCCAAGCAGTCTTCAAAGGCAGCTCCACGTAGAGAGCGTTGCAGTAGTCTATACGGGATGTAACCAGAGCGTGGACTACTGTGGCCAAGTCAGACTTCCCAACAATTACAATTAAACACTACAATTAGACATAAGTCAAATTAAAATACATCAATGAGCAATAAAACAAGCATTAAAACAATAAAATGACTGTTAAATATGCCATTGAATCTGGTGCGCACCTGAATTTTCAAAATCCAGAAAGCAAAAAAAGGATTTGATGCCAAATGTAATGGACAGTGGCATAAAATGCACTCTTTGTCATTTAGTTTCCAGCAATGGAAAATAAAACCTTGGAGTGCGTCTATGTTGTCGAATGAATGAACACACTTTCAGGGCCTTGGTTCAATGCTGTGGAGTCACGGGGGCTGGAGTTTGACAAGGCCTTGAGCCTTCTCTGCCAAAGAATGCTGATGTCGTACCAAACTACAAATCCCAGGATCCCATAGCATTGAGCCATGGCCATTAAATTAGAGATGATGGTTCCTCAAAGAGGAGCTCCAGGGGCAGCTTTTGGCTCAGTGTTAAAGTTACCATATGACACAAATCTAATGCACACCCTAATTTTAGTGAGGTGACTTAACCCAAAAAGGTGAGCGTTAGACTCGAGTAAATAGAATAGTTTTGGTCGTTGGGAAAAATTGCCTCAATTGGATGAGTGGCTCAGATGGCACGAAGCAACCATTATTACAGATGAAGGGGCCTACAAAACTAAATGAGATGGACTCAGTGGCCTCCTTGAAATCCCAGGATTTTGTTTCCAGATTGTTCTTTCTTTTCCATTCTTTAGGTTTCTTTGGAAGCAACCTCCCAGATTACCAGCGCTCCGAGATTATGATGTTCATTATGGGGAAAGTGCCTGTCTTTGGGATGGTGTCACAAACGCTGGACACCAGTCAGCTGGGGTCTGTATCTCCTCTTTCCTTTTGGCTTTCGTTCATTTAGCCTTGTTTGCAATACTGTTGCTCTTAAAAGTTTTTTTGTTGGTAGCGAATGGAATTGTCCAGTTGCTGAAGAGGCCTGAAGGGTAGGATCTTAAAATCATTACTTGGAATGGACTTCAAGGGCTATTTAGTCCAACCTCTTGCAATATAATAATAATAATAATAATAATAATAATTATTATTATTATTATTATTATTATTATTATTATTATTCTGACACAAAAACACAGTATCTAACAGCAAACAAGACATATATGCTGGATTTATTACTATTGTTGTTATTGTTATTGTTATTATTATTTATTTCTTCCTCACCTCTCCTTGTGGCTCAAGGCAAGGTCCAACTTGTTTAAAGCATCAAGATAAAGCTGAATACTATTAAAACACACACAACAGATACACCCAGGTAAAATGCAGATTAAAATTCACCAATAAAATACAGGTTAGAATTCACTAGTTGCAGGAATACACAACTGAAACCCTCCCAAGAGATGTCCACTTAACCTCTATTTACAGACCTCCAAAGATGGAGACTCTCCCACACTCTGAACCACTCTATTCCAACTCTCAAGAAGCTCTTATAGTTGAGTTCTTTCCAATGTTTATTTGGAATATTTAAATCCATTGGTTTGTGCTTTCATCCCTTGAGGAATAGATTTGATTACCACGTCAGCCTATGGGTTGATTGATGGTGTTGTTTTATGGTGTTTTTATATTGTTTTATGATGTTTTTATAAATTTTACGAGTCCCTTCAGGGAGATGGCGGCGGGATACAAAGATAAAGTTGTTGTTGTTCTGGTTGTTTTGCCAAACCATTAGAAAAATACGTTGACAGCCACTATTTCTGTGCTGAATATGTAACACAGTCACGGGCCTTGCATCTGCCCTCAGGCCAAGAAGTGCTCTCTGCCATCCAGGAAACTAACCGGTATCAACAAATAAAATGTGAACCATTGTCAGGGATGTTACACTTCCTATTGTGAGTGTCAACTGGTGGATCTTGATATTGAGCCTCTTCAGTTATCTTTTATTATTATCCATATACCCGATATTCCCCAGGTGTCAGGGGGGCTCTGCTCTCGTCCCTTCTCTCTCTTTCCCTCTTTTTTATTTCTTCCCCTCTTCTTCCTTCCTCCCTCCCTCCCTCCCTCCCTCCCTCCCTCCCCCCTCCCTCCCCCTTCCTTCCTTCCTTTCTTTCTTTCTTTCTTTCTTTCTTTCTTTCTTTCTTTCTTTCTTTCTTTCTTTCTCCCTCCCTCCCTCCCTCCCTCCCTCCCTCCCTCCCTCCCTCCCTCCTTCCTTCCTTCCTTCCTTCCTTTCTTTCTTTCTCTTTCTTTCTTTTTCTCTCTCTCTCTCTCTCTCTCTCCCTTCCTTCCTTCATTCATTCATTCATTCATTCTCCAGCTTATAGAAGGCCTACCTTGCTATAAGGCTTTCTCCTCCCATCTTCGCTTCATCTCATACACATGAAGGAGGAGGAGGAAGAGGAGGAGGAAGGTTATTTTTCTACCCCGCCTCCATCTCCCCGAAGAGACTCGGGGTGGCTTATATGGGGCAAAGCCCAGGGAACATACAATTAAAAGCAGAGAAAAATTCAGTTTAAAAAGCACAAAACAACATAACAATAATAGACAGGCATCAAGCAACAAAAGAAGTAATTTGAAAAAAGGGGGGAGGCCAAAATATTGGCTGATTAAAGAGTAATTGGTTCAACAAGGTGGATGACAATGTATAATAGCATAGGAAATATCATTAAAACAGAGCAATCTAACAGGATCAGAAATAATTCAGTTTGACTTACAAAATCTGAATAGTAATGTAATATAGGAAATTCAGGTTGAATGATAATTAGGTTGCGATACTGGCTGTATGTCATGGGGTCATCAGTCAAATGCACAACAAAACATCCATGTTTTTAATTCCTTGCGGAATGTGACTAGGGAAGGCATCAGCCTGATCTCCCTGGGGAGGGAGTTCCAGAGGCAAGGGGCCACCACCGAGAATCCCCTTTCCCTCGTCCCCACCAATCGTGTTGAGACGAGGGCGGGAGCGAGAGAAGGGCATCCCCGGAAGATCTTAAGGATTACGTGGGCTCATAGGGGAGGAAGCGGTTGCGCAGATAGGCAGGTCCTGAACCGTTGTCACCTTTCTTTCCCAGTGACATTGCAGAGGGCCACTTCACCTAGCAATAGATTTTGTGGTACAGACAGTGAGACAAACAAACATATTTTGACTTTTAGATAGATAGATAGATAGATAGATAGATAGACAGACAGACAGACAGACAGACAGACAGTGGTGTCCAGTAGACAAACACAGGAAGAAGAACCAGTGTTCTTTGTTGACCGGGTAACTTGAGGGACGGGGGCAACTTGCCAGTAGATTATGGCTTGCCAAGGGTGAGTGGTTAGCAGCCATATTGCTGCCATTTCCAGAGGAAGAGTTCTTCACCCTCAGCAAACATGTGTAGTGTTATAGTGTTTCTGAACCTTAAAAATGTTCTTAATCCGTTTTCAGTGGGACAGGTTGTCTTAGGCACTTCCAGGTAAAGAAGTAGACACACAGACGCAGTACTGATATTATAGTAGCTATATTGATTACACAGATAAAGGGAAACGTTCACGTGTACTCAGCATTCACTCCCACGCATACTATTCACATTAATATTCATCACCATCTTGGAACGAGGCAGTGTCTTCAGCATGGCAGACCGGAATAGTCCACTTAGGACTTTAAGATCGTCCAGGGAGGCCCTGCTTGCTGTTCCCCCACCATTGCAATTGTGGTTGGTGGGGACAAGAGGCCTTCTCTGTGGTGGCCCCTCAGCTATGGAATTCCCTCCCAAGTGAAATCAGATCCGCTCCTTTCCTCCTGACCTTCCGGAAAAAGGTAAAATCCTGGCTGTGGGATCAGGCCTTTGCAGACTAGACCAACATGATGGTAGAACTATGGTTTAATGGACTCTGATGGACTCGAATGGACTGTGTGTAGGAAGATGATTGTTCTAATATTTTACTGTATTGATGACTTTTTATAATGTTTTATACTGTTTTTACCTAAGATATATATGTTTTTGTTGTCAGCTGCCCTGAGTCCCTCTGCGGAGGTCAAGATAGGACGGGATATAAATGTCCCAAATAAATAATAAATAGGCCCTTAGCCAGACCCCAGTCATACAATTTCATTCATCCATCCACTCATGAGAATAGTGAGCCGAACCTTGGGTGATTTTCTCTGCTTCTGAACTCTATTATATTTGCCTTGCATTTCTCTCATTGCAGAGAACAGGGGACCAGGAGGATCCAGATCATGTTGCTGCGGTCTTTGCTGATGGTAAGCTCGATTCCATGGGAGGGCACAAAGTGTCCATGTTCAGTGGTATAGACAGTGCTGTCTGGCTTCCCCCAATCCCTGGACCAAGAATGGTGGTGGTTGCAGCACATCTGGAGAAGGGTTCTGCAGATCCCTTGAATGGCTAGAAAGCCAAATAAATAGGTCTGAGATCAAATCAGGCCTGAACTCTCCCTAGAAGAGGGCTAAACTGAGTCATACTTTTGGGTTGTTGTAGGTTTTTCGGGCTATATGGCCATGTTCTAGAGGCATTCTCTCCTGACGTTTCGCCTGCATCTATGGCAAGCAACCTCAGAGGTAGTGAGGTCTGTTGGAACTAGGGAAAAGGGTTTATATATCTGTGGAATGACCAGGATGGGACAAAGGACTCTTGTCTGTTGGAGCTAGGGGTGAATGTTTCAACTGACTAGGAAAAAGGGGTTTATATATCTGTGGACAAAGAATTCTTGTCTGTAGGAGCTTGGTGTGAATGTTTTAACTGACCACCTTGATGAGCATTTGATGGCCTGGCAGTGCCTGGGGCAATCTTTTGTTGAGAGGTGATTAGATGTGCCTGATTGTTTCCCCTCTGTTGTTTTGCTGTTGCAATTTTAGAGTTTTTTTTAATACTGGTAGCCAGATTTTGTTCATGTTCATGGTTTCCTCCTTTCTGTTGAAATTGTCCACATGCTTCTTGTGGATTCCAATGGCTTCTCTGTGCAGTTCATCAGGTGCCATAGCAGAGCACCTGATGAACCAACCTGGACACAGCATATTATTTGAGAACACAGAAATGCTGGACCACTCTCACAACCACCATGTCAGACTACTCTGGGAACAAAAAACATTGAGGTGGAGCAACTGTGTATGATAATATGTCATTTACTCTGCATTTGTAAATGCTTGCTCAAACAACCATGACTTAACTTGTATCCGAGTGAGGGAGCTGATCTAATATCCTTAGGGAGGGTGTTCCATAGCCGAGGGGCCACCACTGAGAAGGCCCTGTCTCTCGTCCCCGCCCAACGTACTTGTGATGAAGGCAGGATCGAGAGCAGGGCCTCCCCGAACAATCTTAAAGTCCTGGAAGGTTGCATTCAGACAGGTAAATTGGGCCAGAAATGTTTGGAAGACAGTGGGATGGGATAGGCTGCAGAGCCCAGTTGGGAAGCTACCTGGCTCCCAGATGCTTTGGTCTCAGGATCCGTTGTGTGCATTTACTTACAGGTCACATCCGGCTACAATGCCAAAAGCATGGCGACGGTCCTCTCGGCCCCGTTTCTGGACCCTTTGCTGTCCCCGTCTCTCACGGAGGACTGTGAGCTCCGGCAACTCGTCCTGGAAATACTGCACAATCTCATTGATCGTCATGATAACAGGGCAAAGCTTCGAGGCATCAGGTAGGATGCTCTGGGGGTGAAGCCAGTTGTACATAATGCCTTGCACAGGACATCCTTATTAAGCTGAGATAGTAAAACAAAATGACCATTTGTTCTTGAAGGTACATTCTTCTAATTTAAGATGTTAAAAGTATTGCTCTACACATGCAATGATTTGTGTGCTCTTCTTACACTTATTTATTTATTTATTTATTTACTACTCTTGTATACCGCCGTTTCTCAGCCTACAATGGCGACTCAACGCGGTTTACATCACTAAAACAGCAACAATATACAATTTAAAAGCATAAAAGACATAAAAAACATATACCATAAACAGTATTGGGCCACCAATACAATCGAAGCATCTCTTAACTAAAAAAACGTAATCCAATCTCATCGTCCGTGATTGCCGATCCTTGGTCATTAACTTCGTTGCATTATTTTAACCAAATGCTTGTTGAAACATCCATGTTTTTAGTTTTTTCCGAAAGATCATTAGTGAGGAGGCTGCTCTTATCTCTATAGGGAGGGCATTCCAAAGCCGCGGGGCCACCACAGAAAAGGCCCTGTCTCTCGTTCCCGCCAACCGCACCTGTGAAGCAGGTGGGATAGAGAGAAGGGCCTCTCCCGAAGATCTTAGGGTCCTGGTGGGCTGATAGGCCGAGATACGTTCGGATAGATATGTTGGGCCAGAACCGTTTAGGGCTTTAAAGGCCAGTGCCAGCACTTTGAATTGGGTCCGGTAGCAAATCGGCAGCTAGTGGAGCTGGTACAGCAAGGGCGTTGTATGCTCCCTGCGTCCCGCTCCTGTTAGTAACATGGCCGCCGCACGTTGGACCAATTGAAGCTTCCGGGCCGTCTTCAAAGGCAACCCCACGTAGAGAGCGTTGCAGTAGTCAAGACGGGATATAACCAGAGCATGGACTACCGTGGCCAAGTCAGACCTCCCAAGGTATGGTCGCAGTTGGCGCACCAGTTTTAACTGTGCGAATGCTCCCCTGGTCACCGCTGAGACCTGGGAATCCAGGCTCAGCGATGAATCCAAGATCACACCCAAACTGCGAACCTGTGTCTTCAGGGGGAGTGCGACCCCATCCAACACAGGATGTAAACCCATACCCTGTTCGGCCTTACGACTGACCAGGAGTACCTCTGTCTTGTCTGGATTCAATTTCAATTTGTTCGCTCCCATCCAGACCGTCACAGCGGCCAAGCACCGGTTCAGGACCTCGACAGCCTCCTTAGTAGCAGGTGGAAAGGAGTGACAGAGCTGGACATCATCTGCGTACAGATGACATCTCACTCCGAAACTCCGGATGATCTCGCCCAGTGGCTTCATGTATATGTTGAACAACATGGGAGACAGTATAGAGCCCTGAGGAACCCCGCAAGACAAAGGTTGCGGGGTTGAACAGGAGTCTCCCAATAACACCTTCTGAGATCGACCCTCGAGGAATGACCGGAGCCACTGCAAAACAGTACCTCCAAGACCCATCCCTGCGAGGCGTCCCAGAAGGATACCGTGGTCGACGGTATCGAAGGCCGCTGAGAGGTCCAGCAGCACCAACAGGGACACACTCCCCCGTCGAGCTCCCGGCGCAGATCATCCACTAAGGCGACCAAGGCTGTCTCGGTACCATGTCCCGGCCTAAAGCCAGACTGTGCCGGGTCTAGATAATCCGTGTCTACCAAGAATACCTGGAGTTGTGAGGCCACCACACGTTCCAAGACTTTGCCCAAGAAGGGGAGATTGGAAACTGGCCGATAGTTGTCGAATTTAGTGGGGTCCAGTGATTGTTTCTTCAATAGCGGTTTTATTATAGCTTGTTTTAAGCTCGCTGGAATTTTGCCTTCCCGAAGGGAGGCATTAACCACCACCTTCACCCACTCGGCCAATCCCCCTCTGGCCTCCTTTAGAAGCCAGGATGGGCAGGGGTCTAGGATGCATGTGGTAGCTCTCATTCCTCCAAGCACCTTGTCCACATCCTCGGATTGAACCAATTGAAATGAATCCATCAAACCGGACAAGCAGATGCTCGTGTTATATCCTCAGATACTGCCGTTAATATGGTGTCTAGGCCAGAACGGATCAAAGCGACTTTGTCTGCGAAGAACTGAGCAAATGCTTCGCAGCGGGCTGCCGAGTCATCAGGGCACCCATCCTGAATGGTGGGTTTTAATAAGCCTCTGACAACTCGGAACAGCTCAGCCGGACGGTTCTTCGCAGACGCAATATTGGCCGCAAAGAATGTCTTCTTTGCGGCTTTTATTGCCGCGGCGTATGCCCTTAAAAAGGACATAAACCGTGTTCGATTTGGCTCGCTCGGATCTGAACGCCACACGCTCTCTAGTTCCCTCTTCTTTCGCTTCATCGCTGCCAGCTCCTCAGTAAACCAAGGGGCTGGTTTAGCTCGTACTTGAGAGGGGACGTTCTGGAGCGATCGTGTCTATTGCCCTAGTCATCTCCCCATTCCAGAGAGCGACCGGGCATCAACAGGATCACCTACCGAGGTGGCGGCAAATTCCCCAAGAGCCGTCAGGAATCCATCCGGATCCATAAGCCTCCTGGGGCGGACCAGCTTAATGGGTCCTCCACCTCTGCGGAGGTTAGGGGGTGCAGTGAGTCTAAAGCTGACCAGGTGGTGGTCGGTCCATGGCAACGGAGAGATGGATAACTCCTCAACACCGCCACCTTCCTCCCATCCCTGACAGAAAACCAAGTCCAATGTATGTCCAGCACTGTGGGTGGGGCCAGATACCTGTTGGGACAGCCCCATGGTTGCCATGGTGGACATGAAGTCCTGAGCCGCTCCCGATAGGGCGGTCTCGGCGTGGACATTGAAGTCCCCCAGCACAAGTAGCCGTTGGGACTCCAATGCCAGGTCCGAGATCACCCCTGCTAGCTCAGGTAGGGAGACTGTAGTGCAGCGAGGTGGACGGTACACTACCAGAATCCCTAATCTGTCCCGGTCACCCACCCTCAGGTGGACGCATTCAAAATTTGTTGACTGCGGGATGGGGGCCCTGGTCAGAAGAATGGAATCTCTATAGACCACTGCAACTCCGCCTCCCTGCCCTCCGGATCTCGGTTGGGCTGCACAGAGAACCCTGGAGGACAAAGCTGGGTCAGATTTATACCTCCTGCTTCGTCCAACCAGGTCTCTGTGATGCACGCCAGATCTGCCCGTTCATCCAGGATTAAATCCTGGATGAAAGATGTTTTACCATTGACAGATCTGGCGTTCAACAGCACCACCTTTAATTCGGAGGGACCGCCATCCTGGTTACACCAACTTACCGTATCAGGAGACCGATTTGGAATTACTAACGTTTTTACATGTTCCCTGAGCCGAATTCGTTCCCTAAGCCGAATTGAAGGTCTCCCTTTCCCGTATCTCCCCCTTCCCACCACGACATCTATGGGAGCTCCCCGGTTAACGGAAGCCTCTCCCTCCTTTCTCTCTCGCAGCCCCCTTTTGCCCAAGCAAATTTTACAGGACTCCAGGTATATAGGTACCATATTTTCCAGCATATAAGACAACTGGGTGTACAAGACAACCCCCAACTTTTCCAGTTAAAATATAGAGTTTGGGAAATATTCGCCGTATAAGACTACCCCTCTATCAGGAAAGCAATGGTCCAACAGGGATTTATTTAATACACCAGGATTTTGGCGCAGGTGGCTGAGTGTCAGCTGTATTAAGATCACTCTGACCAAAAGGTCATGAGTTCGAAGCCAGCCCGGGTTGGAGTGGGTTTCCAACCAATTGTGTGTAGCCTGTTGTCGACCTTTGCAACCCGAAAGACAGTTGCATCTGTCAAGTAGGAAAATTAGGTACCACCTTAAAAAGTGTGGGGAGGCTAAATTAACTGATTTATGAGGCCATAAAGAAGACTCCAGCAAAGCATTCCAGCGGGGAAGCATGCGGGGAATGCGGAAGTGCTTCATCAGTGTCGCAGATGGACGAGGAAAGCGACAGCTCCCCTGGTGGCCAGAAAAAGTTAAATAGTCTCTGTCTATGTCTGTCTATGTTTGTATGTCAAAATTGGCATGGAATGTTTGCCATATATGTGTACACTGTAATCCACCCTCAGTCCCCTGCAGGATGAGAAGGGCGGAATATAAAAGCTGTAAATAAATAAATAAATAAATACATTGTTATGCTGCTATACCTGACGTGAAAGACGACCCCCCACTTTTGAGATGATTTTTCTGGTTTAGAAAGTCGTCTTATACGCTGGAAAATACGGTAGATAAAATTGATATAAAAGGCCAAGATTTATTTATTTCATCTACTTATACCCCGCCCTTCTCACCCCGGGGGGGACTCAGGGCGGCTTACAAAGGAGGCACAATTAGATGCCCAAATCACACAACAAGCAATACAAAATATAAGAGTTCAACAATTAAAATGAAACATCAATACCTATTAAAATCATAAAAACTATCTCATGTCAGAGTCCATATATCAGAGTCCATATATCCATTCCATTCCATTGTCCTTGTCTATCGACAGGTCCTTTAGTTAGTTGTCAGCATGGCCAAAAGCTTGGTCCCACATCCAGGTCTTTAGTTTTTTCCTAAACGCTAGAAGGGAAGTCGTCGATCTGATCTCCCCGGGGAGTGAGTTCCACAGGTGGGGGGCCACCACTGAGAAGGCCCTGCTCCTCGTCCCCGCCAGCCACTTGTGCCACTGGCGGGGTCGAGAGCAGGGCCTCCCCAGAAGATCTTAAACTTCGAGGTGGGACGTAGAGGGAGATCCGTTCGGACAGATACACTGGGCCGGAACCGTATAGGGTTTTGTAGGTCAACACCAGCACTTTGAATTGTGCTCGGAATTGGATCGGCAGCCAGTGGAGCTGACGCAACAGGGGTGGTATGCTCCCTGTACGCCGCTCCGGTGAGCAATCTGGCTGCTTCTCGCTGGACTAGTTGAAGTTTCCGAGCAGTCTTCAAAGGCAACCCCACGTAGAGTGCGTTGCAGTAATCCAACCGGGATGTGACAAGAGCGTGGACCACCGTGGCCAGATCCGACTTCCCAAGGTACGGGCGCAGCTGGCGCACAAGTTTTAATTGTGCGAAAGCTCTCCCGGCCACCGCTGAGACCTGGGGCTCCAGGCTCAGCTATGAGTCCAGGATCACTCCCAAGCTGCGAACCTGTGTCTTCAGGGGGAGTGTAACCCCGTCTAACACAGGCTGTAACCCTATACCCTTTATTATTTACTGATAACACCATATAAACTGAATTTGGGGAAAAAAATATGTTGCTGGTTTGAAAGTGTAGTTTCTTGTTTAATTGTGCAGTCCTTACTTTGAAAGGAGTTGTTCCACTCCAGAAATGTTATTTTTGTGACTTCCACAAACTAGGTTCAGTTGGCTGAGATTCAAAGAGATAGTTATTGAAAAACTAGAGCAACATGTGCTGCAAGATGTCCCTTCTGCACAAAGTTTTTTCAGTTTAATAGACTTTTTTCTGTGTTTTTATGATAGAACCAATAGAACCCAGGAAAAAAGCTTGCCACACAGTGTAATCAATAATCATTTGCAAGGCTTGCTAGAGGGGAAGATAGCTAAAATATCTTCTATTGATGGTCATGGGTGTTATCACTGCCTAAATGAAACACAATATATTGTGGGATGAAACTAAATCACGGGGTTGTTGTGAGTTTTCCGAGCTGTATGGCCATCTTAATAACACTTTATTTGTACCCCGCTACCATCTCCCCAAGGGACTCGGTGCGGCTTACATGAGGCCGAGCCCGAATACAACAATACAAACAAAACAACCACAGTACAAGCAATTAAAATAAATCATAAACAATAAAAAATACAAAATTATCAATAAGACAACACACAATTAAAAAACAGTGGGAAGGCCAAATGTAAAGTTAAAATGGAAATAATGCTGGGACATGGACGAAAGGTGATAGTGGCGTTTGTGGAAGGGCATACGAGCAGATCTAAAAAGTGTAAAGTGCTTGGGAGGACAAAGTGCTATGGGATCATTATTCCGGGAAGGCACACTGGAACAACCACGTCTTCAAGCTCCTCCTAAAGACTGCCAAGGTTGGGGCCTGTCTGATGTCTTTAGGGAGTAAGTTCCAGAGTCGAGGGGCCACCACCGAAAAGGCCCTCTCGCTCGTTCCCACCAACCGCACCTGTGATGCTGGTGGGATCGAGAGCAGGGCCTCCCCGGATGACTGAAGGGATCGTGTGGGTTTGTATACAAAGATGCAGTCACGCAGGTAGGCGGGTCCCAAACCATTTAGGGCTTTGTAGGTAAGAACCTGCACCTTGAATTGGGTCCAGTAAATGAATGGCAGCCAATGGAGCTCCTTAAACAGGAGGGTTGACTGCTCCCTGTAAGGAGCCCCGGTTAACAACCTGGATCATCTGAAATTTCTGGGCCGTTTTCAAGGGCAGCCCCACATAGAGTGCATTGCAGTAATCCAGTCTAGAGGTGACTAAGGCGTGGACCACCTTGGCCAGATCCGCCTTCCCGAGGTACGGTCGCAGTTGGCACACGAGTCTTAATTGTGCGAAGGCCCTCCCGGCCACCACTGACGCCTGAGCCTCAAACGTAAGTGAAGAATCCAGGAGGACACCCAGACTGCGGACCTGTGACTTCAGGGGGAGTGTAACCCCATCCAGCACAGGTTGCCACCCTATACCCCGGTCTGGTTTACGATTGACCAGGAGGACCTCTGTCTTGTCGGGATTAATCTTCAGCTTGTTCGTCCTCATCCAGATAGACACAGCGGTCAGGCACTCGTCTAGCACTCGAGGGGCTTCCTTGGAGTTGGGTGAAAAAGAGTAGTAGAGTTGTGTGTCATCTGCGTAGAGATGGCACCTAACTCCAAAACTCCAGATGACCTCTCCCAGCGGTTTCATGTAGATGTTAAAAAGCATGGGAGACAGAATGGAGCCTTGCGGGACCCCACAGGTCAAAGGCCAGGGGTCTGAGTAGGTGTCTCCCACCTTCACCATTTGGGATCGACCCTCCAGGAAGGATCGGAGCCAGGACAAAGCCGTACCTCCGAGGCCCATCCCGGAAAGTCGTCCCAGAAGGATACCATGATCGATGGATATGAAAGCCGCTGAGATGTCCAAGAGAACCAACAGGGTCACACTCCCCCTGTCCAGCTCCCTGCGGAGGTCATCCACCAAGGCGACCAAAGCCGTCTCAATGCCATGGCCAGGTCTGAAGCCAGACTGTGACTGATCCAGATAGTTGATGTCATCCAGGAAGCCCTGGAGCTGAGCAGCGACCACCTGCTCCAACACCTTCCAGAAGCATTCTCTCCTTATGTTTCACCTACATCTCTGGCAGGCCTCCTCAGAGGTTGTGAGGTCTGTTGGAAACTAGGAAATTGGGGTTATACATCTGTGGAATGTCCAGAGTGGGAGAAAGAACTCTTGTTTGAGGTAGGTGTTAATGGTGCAATTGGCCATCTTGATTAGCATTTATTGGCCTAGCAGTTTCTCCCACCCTGGGCATTCCAGAGATATACAAACCTCATGACTTAAGGCCTTTTACTCTAGCACTTAAGACCTGGCTTTTCACTAGAGCATTTGATCTATGTTAATTTTAATTTTTGTATGTATGTATTTTTATCTCTTACAATTTAGCTTGTAAATCGCCTAGAGTATCTCGGATGGAGGGCGATTAATAAGTAATTGAATATGATATGATGATATGATTTTCATCGTTGATTATTGTTGAGGCTATTGCATTAAGCAACCTTTGTGTATTCAATTACTAGGATAATACCTGATGTATCTGATCTGAAGATCAAACGGGACAAGATTTCACGGCAAGATGTGAGCTTCATGAAGAAGGTAATCCCAGGAACAGGCTCATGTTAACTTCAGCTTTTCTGCATCATTTTTGCATGTTGTAATTCATCCATTGATTGTGCCTAATGTCACTGAGGAAATGGATCATGGGATTTCTGGGCCTGCTGAACCTGTGAGCCAGCATGTGATTTTAAGTCCTGAAATTGAGCGTTCTTGTTTCTCCTGCAGTTTAGTGAAAATGAAAGTCACATTCCAGAGAGGGGCCCAGAGAAGTCTTTCTCTAGGGAAGTGAGTTCAGAGGATGAACTGCCAGGTGGGAAAGGTAATGAGCTGGTAGATAGGAAATAGGACTGTCCAACCACGGAAAAATTTGTTTCTAAATTCGATTCGTTTTCAGGGTTTTTTTTGCGTTTCGTTATTTAAAAGAATTCAGAAATTTTTCTTTTAAAAAGTTCGATATTTACGAAATTTTGGAAATTACAAAACAATTACGAAACAATAACGAATCGATTCGTTAATGGCGGACGCGACCGCGCAATACGCTAAAAACCTCCAAATGGGACAGGGGGAACTTCTGAAGCTTCCCTCTCCCTCTGTTGTTGACTGTTGGTGTGATATTTATATTTTTTTTCACTGATTAAACAAACAACAACTATAAAACTTGCCCCAGACATGCGGAAATAATAACGAAACGATTTCAAAGCGATAACGAAACGAATACAAAAAACGCATTCGAAACAATTACGAAACGATTTAAAAAATCGTTTCGTGTTTTTTTTTGTTGCTCCTGAATGGTTCGTTATCGCTTCGTTATATATAAAAAAATAACGAATTTTTAACGAATTACGAAATTACGAAACGAAACCGCCCAGCCCTAATAGGAAACATAGTTTTCGCGAACTCCAAGCTGATTCACAGACTCGATGAAGGTCACAGCGCTTGTTAGAAAAAAAAACTGTTATCAGTTTGCCAGGGAAAACGGAATGATTTCATGGCTTTATTAGAAAGACCAAAGGGATTTTTCAGCAGTCTGGTCAGCGTTGGAGTTGAAGCAACATCTTTTGTCAAGTCCTAGTCAAGCTTGCTAAGGGAATTCTAGTTTCATGCATCCGGTTGTTCATGTTCTATGCTTCCAAGTTTAAAGGATTGTTCTTGAATTTTGTGCATTGGATTCTTTTGCATTCCTGGTTTTTTATGCAACTCTTGTACCTTGAATCTTATGGACTACTTCATACATTTCGACTTAGATGTTTTTACTGTTTTGCTGAACTGCATTTTATATATTCTTCAACAAACTGCTTTGCTGATTTACATTGGATTGGAGTCCGGTGGTTAAGTACAGAAGTGCTTCCAGTCTTGGAATGCAACACTAAAACCCTTAAAACCTGAACTGAAATTACGCTCTCAGTTCTCGATTTATGCATGAACATAAGTGGAGGATTTATGCACAGTTAGATCATATGTCCATATAGAACCTTGTCACCCTAGAGCTTGAAATCCACTTCTTTTGGTCACTGCAGCTAGAATAGTGTACGCCAGGAACTGGAGACAAGAAGAAATACCAAAAAAAGAAGACTGGCTGAACAAAGTGTTCGAGATTATGAACATGGATAGATTTACCTATTGGTTTTCATCTAAGCAAGGCTTACCGAAGAAAGAAACCAACTGGGACCTTGTAAAAGACTACTTAAAACAGATGAAAATAGATCTCATTTGCTGAAGAAATTCAGTCTTAAAAAGGAAAAGAAGACGGAGGGGAAGCAGAACAATTGTAACATAATATTAACTCCAAATTAACTTAATGACCATCAAAAGCAAGAAGGAACTCAACATTTTTCTTTTTTCTTTTTTACAGTTTTATAGTTCCAAGTTTTTTCATTTTTTTCTTATTTTATTTTCTTCTTTTTCTTCTTCTTTTTTCTCTCTCTTTCTTCCTCTTCTCTCCTCTTTTTACTCTTTTTCCTACTTTCTATACAAGCAAATGTTCTCCCACCTTAATGTAAAGAAAACACTATTTCTAGATTTCTTTTTCCACTTTCTTTACTTCATTATTTATTTATTTATTTATTTATTTAAAACATTTATATTTCACCCTTCTCACCTTGAAGGGTACTCAGCACAGCATATATATGGCAAACATTCAATGCCAGGACACACATTCTTATATACATACATAAACATTAAAAACATCAAAATATTAAAATGCACCATTTAAAACTGTCCTAGTCATCTGCGTCAAATCTAATTGGCCTGGTCATCTTTCCTATTGCCGCTTACTGCCTTGTCCTGAAAGCTTGGTCCCACAGCCAAGTTTTGACCATCCTTCTAAAGGACAGGAGGGAGGGGGTTGACCTGATCTCACCAGGAAGGGAGTTCCATAGCTGGGGGGCAATCACCGAGAAGGCCCTGTCTCTCGTCCCCACCAATCATGCCTGTGACAATGGCAGGACCTCCCCGGAGGATCTTCATCTCCGTCATGGTTCATAAGGGGAGATGCGTTCGGACAGGTGATTTGGGCCGGGGCCATTTAGAGCTTTTTAGGCCAAAGCCAGCACTTTGAATTGTGCCTGGGAGCAAACTGGCAGCCAGTGAAGCTGGTGTAACATGGGAATTGTATGCTCCCTGTATCCCGCCCCAGTTATTAATCTGGCTGCCTCTCGTTGGACTATTTGATCCTTCCGAGCAGTCTTCAAAGGCAACCCCACGTAGAGTGCATTGCAGTAGCCTATCCTAGATGTAACAAGAGCGTATGTTCATATGATAAAACTTCAATAAAAACACAACAAAAAATAAATCTCTCTCTGTTCCTGCACTGCTTGACTTTTTCTTGTCTTTTTAGCACGGCCAGCAACTGTATCGCCACATCTACCTGAGCTGCAAAGAAGAGGACAACGTGCACAAGAATTTTGAGCTGCTCTATACGTCCCTGGCGCTGATCACAATCGAACTGGCGAATGAAGAAGTGGTCACAGACCTCATCCGGGTAGCCATTGCGTTGCAGGTACATCAGGAGGGAGACATGATCGAGGGCATAAAGCAGGGGTTCTCAACCTTCCTAATGCCACGACCCCTTATTACAGTTCCTCATGTTGTGATGACCCCCAACATAAAATTATTTTCCTTCCTACTTCATAACTGTCATTTTGCTACTGCTATCAATCGTAATGTAAATATCTGATATGCAGGGTGTATTTTCATTCACTGGACAAAATTTGGCACAAATACGCCCAAATTTGAATACTGTTGGGGTTGGGGGGAGGTCAATTTTGTTATTTGGGAGTTATGGTTGCTGGGATTTGTAGTTCACCTGCAATCAAAGAGCATTCTGAACTCTACCAATGATGGAATTGAGCCAGTCTTGGCATACAGAACTCCCATGGCCAACAGAAAATACTGGAAGGATTTGGTGGGCATTGACCTTGCATTTGGGAGTTGTAGTTCGCCTACACATCCAGAGAGCACTGTGGACTCAAACTATGATGGATCTGGACCAAACTTGGCACGAATACTCAATATGTCCAAATATGAACACTGATGGAGTTTGGGGGAAATAGACCTTGACATTTGGGAGTTGTAGTTGCTGGGATTTATAGTTCACCTACAATCAAAGAGCATTCTGAACCCCACCAACGACAGAATTGGGCCAAACTTCCCACATAGAACCCCCATAACCAACAGAAAATACTGTGTTTTTTGATGCCCTTTAGTGACCCCTCTGACACTCCCTCGTGACCCTTCCAGGGGTCCCGACCCCCAGGTTGAGAACCACTGGCATAAAGCGAACCACCCAAATGTCTGTTTTTGCTGGTCCATGGTCCATGTAAATGCCTGCTGGTCGGAAGAGTCTTGATGAAAGAGTGTTATTTCTGCTGTCCGTCATTCTCACGCTCCTTCTCCTGACTTCTCTCTTTCCTCTAAGGACACTGCCATTCTTAATGAGGACAACTTGCCAATGTTCAGCCGCTGCAGCATCATGGCCCTGGTTGCCGCCTACCTGAATTTCCTGAGCCAGATGATTGCCGTCCCTGCCTTCTGCCAGCACATCAGCAAGGTGGGTGGCAACAAAAAGCCAGCTCAAGGCCACCCTGAGTCCCTATGGCAAGAGAAAGGCAGGATAGAAATCTGTCTGTCTGGGCCCTTCCTCACAGCCATAGAACCCAGAATATCAAGGCAGAAAAATCCCACAATATCTGCTTTGAACTGTTTTATCTGAGTCCACACTCGTTTCTCTGTTCCAGGTCATTGAAACTAGAACAATAGAAGCCCCATACTTTTTGCCAGAAACCGTATTCCGAGACAAATACAGGTAAAGGTTGTTTTTCTAATGTTTATAAATAATGCTTTAATATCTAAAAACAATGTTGATTCTTAGTTATTTTGACAGAAATATTTCTTCTTCATTGTCACATTCGAAGGAATTTTTGTTATGTGTCTTCACCTCGCCTCTCGTGGGGCTTTCTTTGCAAGATTAGTTCAGAAGTGGGTTGCTGTTGCCTTCCGCAAACCCTGGGTTTTAAGAAGGGTCCTTGAGGGAAGTTTTGGGGAACAAGCAAATTCCTAACTGGTTGGTCACCCTTCTCTTGACAAGATGGAAGGTGTCTAGAAAAAGGGTGAGACCTCTGGAAGCTGCGAATCCCTCTGAAGAACAGCTGAGGAAGCTAGGAATGTTTATCTTGGAGGCTCCTTCTTTTGAGGCTTTTAAGCAGAGGCTGGATGGCCATCTGTCATGGGTGCTTTGAAAGCAATGTTCCACAGTCAGCCCCAGCTTCTGCCAACCTAGCAGTTTGAAAACATGCAAATGTGAGTAGATCAATAGGTACCGCTTTGGTAGTACGGTAACGACATTCCTTGCAGTAGACATGACCTCGGAGATGTCTACGGACTGTGAGAGCTGTTCAGCAGTGGAACTCTCTGCCCCGGAGTGTGGAGAAGGCTCCTTCTTTGGAAGCTTTTAAGCAGAGGCTGGATGGCCATCTGTCAGGGGTGATTTGAATGCAATATTCCTGCTTCTTGGCAGAATGGGGTTGGACTGGATGGCCCCCAAGGTCTCTTTCAACTCTAGGATTCTAGGATTCTAAAAGAAGGCTCAAAGAAGATGAGAGTTGTAGTGAATTCTCTACCTGTTAGGCTATGAAAAGCCTAGAAAAGTAGGCCCAAGAAGTTCGGCAGCCATTTTGGAAAGGGTGCTAGGGGAATCAATTTTAGTTACTCATTTCCTGTTTAGAAAGAGCAGCTTTGGAGGGAAATGAGGGAGGAATGTAATTGGCTGAGTGAGAGTGGGCAAAAGGGAAAAAATGACTTTAAGGGAAGGTTTTGAAACCCTGTCAGGGAGATTGAATCTGGGTGTCAAAGGGAGAAGGTGTTAGGAGTTTGGAGTGGTGAAAAGGGTTAGGGAGAGAGAGGCCTGAGATTGGTCAGTTGGCTAGCAGAGATAGCTAGTGAGAAGATTACAGCTCTTTGGGAAGGATAGCTGGGGAGTGGAGAGACAGATCCCAAAAGACAGAGACTGTCTGTGTGGAGGAGTTTACTGTCAGAGAAACCATGCTGTCAGTAGTCTGAGGAGGAAGAGCGAAGGGTTTCATGTGTAACTAACTCTGAACTGTTTAAAGTAACCACACGCCTTTAAGTCTGTATTTTGAAACAGCTAAGCTTTATACCTGAATTGTCCAGTTCTCTTAAATAAACATCATTGTTTTGTTGTTCACAACAGCTGCCTCACGTGTGCCTCTGTGGGGGAAGTTTTAAAAGCAGTTTCCTGCAGCAAACAAGAATCTATGGTGGCAATATTATTTATTTATTTATTTATTTGGTACACTTGTATACCGCTAATTTCTCAGCCTAAAACGGCGACTCAATTGCGGTTTCCAGCATTTTAAAAACAATCTCAGTTTAAAAAACATATACAAATACAATAACAAATTATTGGGCCACCAATAATAATCCCATATATCTCAAGTTAAAATCACAATCCAGAGTTCGTTGTCCATATTTCCTGTCCATAGTCACCAAGATTCGATTTAATTGCCACAGATTAGCCGAATGCTTGTTTGAATAACCATGTTTTGAGTCTCTTCCTAAACACCATCAGCGACGAGGCTGATCGTACCTCTATAGGGAGGGCGTTCCAAAGCCGAGGGGCCACCACAGAGAAGGCCCTATCTCTCGTTCCCGCCAGCCGCACTTCTGAAGCTGGAGGGATAGAGAGAAGGGACTCTCCGGAAGATCTTAGGGTCCTGGTGGGCTGATAGGCTGAGATATGTTCGGATAGATAAGTTGGGCCAGAACCGTTTAGGGCTTTAAAGGCCAACGCCAGCACCTTGAATTGAGCCCGGTAGCATATCGGCAGCCAGTGGAGCTGGTTCAGCAAGGGAGTTGTATGCTCCCTGCGATCAGCTCCTGTTAAAAACATGGCTGCCGCCCGTTGGACTAACTGGAGCTTCCGGACTGTCTTCAAAGGCAACCCCACGTAGAGAGCGTTGCAGTAATCAAGGCGGGATGTAACCAGAGCGTGGACTACCGTGGCTAAGTCGGGCTTCCCAAGGTACGGTCGCAGTTGGCGCACAAGTTTTAACTGTGCGAAGGCTCCCCTGGTCACCGCCGAAACCTGGGGTTCCAGGCTCAGCGATGAGTCCAGGATCACCCCCAAGCTGCGAACCTGCGTCTTCAGGGGGAGTGACCCCATCCAACACAGGCTGTAACCCTATACCCTGTTCGGCCTTACGACTGACCAGGAGTACCTCTGTCTTGTCTGGATTCAATTTCAATTTGTTCGCCCTCATCCAGACCATCACAGCGGCCAAGCACCGGTTCAGGACCTCGACAGCCTCCTTAGTAGCAGGTGGAAAGGAGTGACAGAGTTGGACATCATCTGCGTACAGATGACATCGCACTCCGAAACTCCAGATGATCTCGCCCAGCGGCTTCATGTAGATGTTAAACAACATGGGAGACAGTATTGAACCCTGAGGAACCCCACAAGACAAAGGTTGTGGGGTTGAACAGGAGTCTCCCAGTAACACCTTCTGAGACCGACCCTCGAGGAATGAGCGGAGCCACTGCAAAACAGTACCTCCAAGACCCATCCCCGCGAGGCGTCCCAGAAGGATACCGTGGTCGACGGTATCGAAGGCCGCTGAGAGGTCGAGCAGCACCAACAGGGACACACTCCCCCTGTCGAGCTCCCGACGCAGATCATCCACTAAGGCGACCAAGGCTGTCTCGGTACCATGCCCCGGCCTAAAGCCAGACTGTGCCGGATCTAGATAATCCGTGTCTACCAAGAATGCCTGGAGTTGTGAGGCCACCACACGTTCCATGACTTTGCCCAAAAAGGGGAGATTGGAAACAGGCCGATAGTTGACGAATTGAGTGGGGTCCAGTGATGGCTTCTTCAACAGCGGTTTTATTACAGCTTGCTTTAAGCTGGCTGGAATTTTGCCCTCCCGAAGGGAGGCATTCACCACCACCTTCACCCACTCGGCCAAACCCCCTCTGGCCTCCTTTAGAAGCCAGGATGGGCAGGGGTCTAGGATGCATGTGGTAGCTCTCATTCCTCCAAGCACCTTGTCCACATCCTCGGTTTGAATCAATTGAAATGAATCCATCAAAACCGGACAAGCAAATGCTCGTGTTACATCCTCAGAGACTGCCGTTAATATGGTATCCAGACCAGAGCGGATCAAAGCGACTTTGTCTGCAAAGAACTGAGCAAAGGCTTCACAGCGAACTGCCGAGTCATCAGGGCACCCATCCTGGATGGTGGGTTTTAAAAGGCCTCTGACAACTCGGAACAGTTCAGCCGGACGGTTCTTTGCAGACGCAATAGTAGCCGCAAAGAAGATTTTCTTTGCGGCCTTTATTGCCGCGGCATATGCCCTTAAAAAGGACACAAACCGTGTTCGGTTTGGCTCGCTCGGATCCGAACGCCACACGCTCTCTAGTTCCCTCTTCTTTCGCTTCAACGCTGCCAGCTCCTCGGTAAACCAAGGGGCTGGTTTAGCTCGGCTACTTGAGAGGGGACGTTCTGGAGCGATCGTGTCTATTGCCCTAGTCATCTCCCCATTCCAGAGAGCGACCAGAGCATCAACAGGATCACCAACCACGGTGGCGGGAAAGTCCCCAAGAGCCATCAGGAAACCGTCCGGATCCATAAGCCTCCTAGGGCGGACCAATTTAATAGGTCCTCCACCTCTGCGGAGGTTAGGGGGTGCAGCAAGTCTAAAACTGACCAGGTGGTGGTCGGTCCATGGCAACGGAGAGATGGATAACTCCTCAACACCGTCACCTTCCTCCCATCCCTGACAGAAAACCAAGTCCAATGTATGTCCAGCACTGTGGGTGGGGCCAGATACTTGTTGGGACAGCCCCATGGTTGCCATGGTAGACATGAAGTCCTGAGCCGCTCCCGATGAGGCGGACTCGGCGTGGATGTTGAAGTCCCCCAGCACAAGCAGCCGTTGGGACTCCAACACCAGGTCCGAGACCACCCCCGCTAGCTCAGTCAGGGAGTCTGAAGTGCAGCGAGGTGGCCGGTACACTAGCAGAATCCCTAATCTGTCCCGGTCTCCCACCCTCAGGTAGACGCATTCAAATTTTGTTGACTGTGGGATGGGGGCCCTGGTCAGAGGAATGGTATCTCTATAGACCACTGCAACCCCGCCTCCCCGCCCTCCGGATCTCGGTTGGTGCTGCACAGAGAACCCTGGTGGGCAAAGCTGGGTTAAGTTTACACCTCCCGCTTCGTCCAACCAGGTCTCTGTGATGCACGCCAGATCTGCCCGTTCATCCAGGATTATATCCTGGATGAAAGTCGTTTTACCATTGACAGATCTGGCGTTCAACAGCACCACTTTCAATCCGGAAGGACCGCCATCCTGGTTACACCGACTTATCATATCAGGAGACCGATTTGGGATTACTAAAGTTGTTCCCCATTCCCTAGGTCGAATTAGAGGTCTCCCTTTCCTGTATCTCCCCCTCCCCACCACGACTTCTATGGGGGCTCCCCGGTTAACGGAACCCCCTCCCTCCTCCATGACGCAATGAGCAGCCAACGTATCAACAAGAAATGCATCATTAGTTGTTTGACATATTATGGTTACGGGATACCATAAACCTGTCCTCCATCTGTTTCCTATTCCCGTGGATGACAATATATAGTTTAAAGAACAATCTTTTAGTGTTACCTCAGAAACACAAGCCTGAGGGCTAATCCAACACACTCTTGCCTAAGATACCTCAAGTAAGCCAAGGGCTTATCAGTGCTTTTTAAGTTTGGTGGTGGCCAATGGGTTTTCAAAAGGGTTTTTTGGCCAGAAGAAAGTTCCAGCTTAGTGCAGCTTTTCTTTTGGGCTTTTAATCACAGAAGCCACATTCCAATCTAAGTGGTGTTCTGCTTTTGGGATTTTTATTCCCAAATAAATCTGTCCTCCACACCGTTATAAGAGTCATGTTTAAATATGGGCATGGGGGTCATATTGAGGAGAGGACAAGACTGTTTTCTGCTGCTCCAGAGACTGGGACACAAAGGATTCAAATGGCAGGAGAAGAGATTCTGCCTAAACACTGGGAAGAACTTCCTGGTGGGAATTGTTGTTTGGCAGCGGAATGTGCTTCTGCCTTGGCGTGTGGTGGTGCCTCCTCAGGATTTTCAAACTGCAGCTGGATGGCATTCTATGGGGAAGGCTTGCATCAAGTCTTCTTGGCAGAATGAGTTGAGCTGGATGACTTTTGGGGGTCCCTTCCAAGTCTAGAATTTTATGATTCTTAATAGTGAGGGGGTTGCAAGATCATTGGGCAGGCCAGCTGGAACTCTTGAACAGCCATCTTCCATAATGGCAGGGATGGTTGATTACCTTGCTTGCAATGTCTTGATTTCCTGTTTATTTTTCTCTCCCCTCCCCCCCAACATGTGTATTTTAAACAGTCTCCCCAAAACCTTAGACAAGGATGACAAGACCTTGTTTTTCCTGACTCACAAGATTGTGGAGTCCTTGGGTGGGAGCGGATACAGCGTGGAGAGGCTCTCGGTGCCTTACGTGCCCCAGGTCACAGGTGAGCAGTCGCATGCGCCCGTGGATGACATTTGCAGGTGGAAATGCACCTCTGGCTACCCTTCAACTTCCTATCAAGTCATTTTTATTCCAGGAGGTTGTCTCCTCACCCACCTCCCTCTGCCTCTTTTCAGCCTGGCCATGAATAAATCAAGTGCCTTAACATACTCCGACGAATTGACACCAAATTTGGACACAATACACCTATCAGGCCAACGAGTGACCATCACTCATAAAAACACTGAAAAACACAGCAGAAGAGACTTTAAAAGCCAAAAGAAATACATTACAACACATACACAAAACCACATATATATACACAAACACACATATACAAATATACATAAATACTCAAACAGACTCAAGCCTCAACTGTCATCCGTTTAAACTGCATTCTAAACAGTCACTGGTCTGCAGCCCCTCCCACTGCCTCAAGTATATAGAGCTAAGAAAACTGCAAACCAAAGAAGACATACATTTCAGGAAATAAATGACACATTATAAACAGACAAAACATTAAATAGAGGAGGCTTGAGAAGGTTTTTTGTTTTGGGGGGGGGGGGAGTTTTTATATTGCCTTTCTCCAATGGACTCAAGGCGGTTTACAGCAGCATTAAAAAACACAATATAAAACAAAACCATTATAAACAGCTCAAACTGGAACACAAGTCTTTAGGATATTAAAATCATCAGTTAAAATAGGTTAAAACCATCTGAAACTTCCCATATGGAGATCGACACTATGAAGCGCTATATATACTAGGCTTCTGTGTAGTTCAATTGAAAGTTGTGTTGTTGTTGTTCATTCGTTCAGTCGTCTCCGACTCTTCGTAACCTCATGGACCAGCCCACGCCAGAGCTCCCTGTCGGCTGTCACCACCCCCAGCTCCTTCAAGGTCAAGGCAGTCACTTCAAGGATGTCACCCACCCGCCTTGCCCTTGGTCGGTCCCTCTTCCTTTTACCTTCCACTTTCCCCAGCATCATTCCCTTCTCTAGGCTTTGCTGTCTCCTCATGGTGTGGCCAAAGGACTTCAACAATTGAAAGCTATTATTCCCTTAATATAAGATCTATGGACTTAGATTTTGCAAAATAGATCAAATTCACATAGTCTATAACAAAATCAATGATATATCATATTGATAATTCTAAGACAACTACAAGACTCATGTTTTTCAATGTAATGTGAATTAAAAGTGTGTGTGCCAGGAGCAGGGAAAACAGCCAGTAAATGCGAGCCGGAGATACGATTTGCACATCAAGGGAAATAACCGTGCACACATCTTTTTCTTTGGCTTGGCTTCAATTCTGGAATCCCAGCTGAAAGACAACACTCACAAACTGGAAATTAGCAACCAAGGTGATAAAGGAGCTGGAAATTAAGCCCAGAGGAACAACCGATGGAGTTACATATGGTTTATTTTTAAAATAAGTGGCATGACAATCATATTTAACCCTCTGAAGGATTGTCACAGGGGGCTTGCTTTCTGCTGCTCCAGAGAAGAGGACCTCAACTTAGGAATTCAAAGGACAAGAAAGTGGACTCTACCAAATCTTCTCAAATTGTCCTGTTTGAAGTTGGATGTTTACCCAGAGAAGCAAAAGAGTTCTCCACAACAGTCTCTCAAGTCAAACAACGCAAAAAAAAAAAAAAACCTGAACAGAGTTTGAACCAAGTAGGGAATTGTCTAAGAAATCAGTCCAAAGTCAAGCCAAGGTTGCTATCTCCAACAAAAAATCACAGTTAAATCCATTAAAACATATTCAAAGTTATATACATAAATACTGCTTCCTTAATAAGTAAAATGCCATCTTTTTCACCTATCCTGAGGTGTGCCTCTGTTTTCTACATGGATATTGCTTAAATTCAAAATTCTTTCTAAACCTGATTTCTCACCTTATCATTTCACAAACACAACAACAATAATATAAAATAAGTACTTTCTTGTTGAAGCTTGGAAAAGCAACATTTCTCACTGCAAGTCCCAACCCTCAACTGACTTCTAACACTGGCTTCTGTACTAAAACAGACTCAAGCCTCAACTGTCATCCTTTTAAACTGCATTCTAAACAGTCACTGAACCAATCACATGGTCTGCAGCCCCTCCCACTGCTGCAAGTATATAGAGCTAAGAAAACCATGACCATCAGCTATGATAATTGGGGATTCTGGGGGGTGTGACCTCCAAAATGAAACCTTTCTGACTTTGATTTAGTGGGAAAGTCCTTCTGGAGAGTGCTGATCCTCCTCTAAGATTGTCTCAGAAATAAAGGAGGCCACCCTGAGTCCCCCCTCAGGGGTGAGAAGGGCAGGGAAATGTAGGAAATAAATAAATAATAAATCTCCTTCTTCCATCTCTTTGTAAACAAGACAAGTCCTCTTTTCATAAGGATTCTGTCCCTCTGCAGATGAAGACAGGCTCTCCCGGCGGAAGAGTATTGTGGACACTGTGTCGATTCAGGTGGACATCCTTCCTGGCACAGAGGACAAGGTAGGGGTGTTTTGTCGGACCACGTGGCGAATTGGGAGAGAAGTCCAGTCGGCCTTCCATATTGGCCCGTTTGATTAATATATTCTCTTTAGGTAAAGGTAAAGGTAAAGGTAGTCCCCTGACATAAAGTCCAGTCATGTCTGACTCTGGGGTGTGGTGCTCATTTCCATTTCTAAGCCGAAGAGCCAGCGTTGTCCGTAGACACCTCCAAGGTCATGTGGCTGGCATGACTGCATGGAGCGCCATTACCTTCCCACCGGAGTGGTACCTATTGATCTACTCACATTAGCATGTTTTCGAACTGCTAGGTTGGCAGAAGCTAGGGCTGACAGCGGAAGCTCACGCCGCTCCCCGGAATCGAACCTGTGACCTTTCGATCAACAAGCTCAGCAGCTCAGTGCTTTAACCCACTGCGCCACTGGGGGCTCCATATTCTCTTTAGGATTCTCTAAATCAGGCATGGGCAAACTTGGGCCCTCCAGGTGTTTTGGACTTAGCTCCCATTTCTGAATCATCCCTTGGATTTATGTCTCTGCTGTGTTTGTGATGTAAACAAATTAAAGGCACGCTATTTCTTCCAGGTCAACAACACGGAAGAAATTACCTTCGAAGCTCTGAAGAAGGCAATAGGTAAACAGACCACCATCTAATTGTGACATTGATGTTTCTCCTCTCAACAACAGAAGGGCCTCCTTTATATCCAAAATATTAAAATCTGTAAGAAGATGCCTAATATTTAGGGAGACAGAACTTATTTTAAAATGCAATTGAGCAATCTGTAGAATCATCACAGTTTTAAAATCCAGCAAAAGGCAAAATAAACAAGATAACATCCCGTTAAAACCCAGCATAATGGATTCCTAAAACCTTGCTAGAAGAGAAGAGTTTTCCTTGGCTGGTGGAAGGAGGCAGCCATTCTAGTTTCCTAGCACAGCCTTCCTTTAAGACTCTCCAAGGGATGCTTTACTCCTGTCCCATTGCTTCCTCCAATGCTGCCTCTTCATTTTCTTTTTCCCAAAGACAACACCGGCCTTGAAGAGCAGGAGAAGGAGAAGAGGCGCCAAGTGATCGAGAAATTCCAGAAGGCTCCCTTTGAAGAGATTGCGGCGCAGTGCGAAAACAAGGTGAGCCTGGAGAAGGGACAACTGAGAGAAGGAGATGTGAGAGCCATGTTTAGATATTTGGAAGGAGCAAGCTTGTTTTCTGATGCTCTGGAGAATAGGACTCAATTGAGCCATGTGTTCAAAACCCATCTTTCTATTGCTCTTCTAGTATATGTGGTTGAGATGGTATGTGTCATGAATACTTTTAATAATAATAATAATAATAATAATAATAATAATAATAATCTTTTTAAAAAATCATTTTATTGAAGAAGATTAAAGAAGATAAAACTAGACAAACAAGACAATCAGACAAGTACACAAATACGCAAATATACAATGACAGCCCCAGTTAACATTCCCTCTACATGTGTTGCATCCCAGTTCAAGAAACGAGACCATAAGATTAAATCCACCACACTGGGCTGTAGGAAAAGCAATCCTTGTTTATTGATGAAAAATTGGTTACAAAAGAAAGGTAAATGCAAAGTCAAAAAGCCACAGAAAAACAGAGCAGTCAGTAGAATCTCTGGACTTGAGCAAAACTTCAAAAGCCACAATACACGAACCAGGAATCTGTTAGCCTTTTACTAACCATGAACTTGATAACTAAGCCTCTGGGATTACCGGCCATGAAACACAGGAATTCTGCCAAGGCACAGCCACAGTCCCAAACGTTGCTTGATCTAAAGAGGCACCCGGCAGGAGGCCTCTTAAACCAAAGAAGCTATTCTTTGAAACGTCCCTTGACTTTGACGTCTGGGTCTGTCTCTCCTGTAAACGATGTGACCTTCGTAGAAACTGGGAAATATTTCTGTCTCTAACTATCTGTTCTCTTCGGTCCTCATTAAAAACCCCAGGTGGAGAGATATCACGGCTAACTTCCAAAACATTTTCCTCCAACTGTTGAGTTTCCTTTTCATCCCCGCTGACCTCTGCATCAACAACAGATTCCACACTGTCAGGGTCAGGGAGAGCTTGCTCAGTTGGAAAAACTATCAGAGAATCCGGTTCACACAGATCAGGATCAGGCTGAACCCCAACAACATGTAGAATTGCGTATACATATATATGTGTGATTTTACATACATTATTCTTTACTGTCTCTATACATAACATACCTACTTAACAAAGGAAGAAAAAAAACCCAACAAAAAACAAAAACATCCATCCATATCCATACAGTCGAGTACATATACATATATATTCCCCTTGACTTCCAGGAACATCAAGCGACAATGTATACTTCTTCATTCATATCCGATCTTCATTATACAGGTTATCCCGTAACCTGCTGTAGTGTGGCCCTTGGGATTCTTCCTTCCTTCCCTTACTAGGGATATTTGTAATTATAATAATAATAATATTTTTTAATACCCCGCCACCGTCTTTCCAATGGAGACTCGGGACAGCTTACATGAGGCCAAGCCGAACAGCATATTACAATAAAGTAAAACCAAAACACAATAACAACACAGTCAAATACATACAACATATGAGTACAAAAACGATAAAGCAAAATCATACACAGTAAAATAAAATACCATAACATAACAATGAGCGGGCCACATTAAAGCATTAAAAGGTGCTTTTATTCCATTTCTGTTGAGACAGACTATATCACAGAACAACACAGAAAAAGAAGATAGACACACATAAACTATATAACTACATTGGTTACACAAACAAAGGGGATATTACATTTTACTCAGCATTCACACACATATAAGCATTCACTCTCCATGCGTGCATTGCCATCCCACCCTCCTTCTCCTGGAGAAGAGAACCAAATGTAGGCCAGATCACGTTCTCTGCAAATCTGCCATTCGCCCAATACATTATCTTCTCCGTCCCATGGAGAAAGCAATGGTTGACCAGACCCTGCTGTCTGCCACACTTTTGGATAATAAAAAGGTCTCTTTATATAGCATATTTCTTGCTATTGTTCCAAATTGTTGTAAATGACTGACAGGTTGTTTTAGCAGCTATTTTTTTATCGTGTCAGGAGCAAACCAAACAGTTGTATTGCATTTTTAACAAACAAACAAAGCACAAAGTTTGCAAGCTTGGTAGTTGATTAGATGTCCTTTGACCAGTATCTGACCCCTTGGAGTGCCTCTGGTGTTACTATAAGAAGGTCTTCCAGCTTGCATTGCAGCAGGTGGTCAGTGGTTTGCTCTTCTCCACACTCACATGTCGTGGATTCCACTTTGTGGCCCCATTTCTTAAGGGTGGCTCTGCATCTCGTGGTGCCAGAGGGCAGTCTGTTCAGCGCATTCCAAGTCGCCCAGTTTTCAGTGTGCCCAGGGGGGAGTCTCTCATTTGGTATCAGCCATGGATTGAGGTTCTGGATTTGGGCCTGCCACTTTTGGACTCTCGCTTGCTGGGGTGTTCCAGCAAGTGTCTCTGTAGATCTAAGAAAACTATGTCTTGATTTAAGTCGTTGACGTGCTGGCTGATACCCAAATGGGGTGGGATGGAGATGTCACTGCCTTGGCCCTTTCACAATTGGCTGCTACTTCCTGGTGGATGTCAGGTGGTGCAGTACCGGCTAGACAGTGTAATTTCTCCAGAGATGTGGGGCCCAGACACCCCGTGATAATGTGGTATGTCTCATTAAGAGCCACATCCACTGTTTTAGTGTGGTGAGATGTGTTCCACACTGGGCATGCGTACTCAGCAGCAGAGTAGCATAGCGCAATGGCAGATGTCTTCACTGTGTCTGGTTGTGATCCTCAGGTTGTGCCAGTCAGCTTTCGTATGATATTGTTTCTTGCGCCCACTTTTTGCTTCAGGCAGTGCTTCTTGTAGGTCAGAGCACGGCCCAGAGTGACTCCCAGTATGTTTTTGCAACTAAAACATACTGACTCCATCAGTTCTGGACAGAGGTTAGCTTTCCTCCTTAAACAAGGTGCATTGTGTTTGTTTGCTTCCTTAACTTAAAGAATCATTGTCTTTGACTATGTAAACATGTTGTTTTCAACCACATTTAATCGTTGTTTTTGGACACGTCAGAAGTTCATGAATTCTTAACCTCCTTTTGCAGTTTTCCACAGTGCCATTCTTCTTAGGATGGTGTCGTCAGCCTCTATAGGTCCCAGTCATATACCTTTCATGCAATTTCATTCAAACCACACGTCATATTTATCACATTTGTGGAGATAGAACTTGAGAGAGACAAAAAAACAAGCTTGGCTGTCCATTAGCTCTTGCTACTTCTTCATAGGATCCCTAGAATGGGGCCCATAGGCTAGAGCTTGGGGGAACTCCAGCTAGAGCATGCATGGGCAAACTTGGGCCCTCCCTCCAGGTGTTTTGGACTTCAACTCCCACCATTCCTAACAGCCTACCGGCTGTTAGGAATGGTGGGAGTTGAAGCCCAAAACACCTGGAGGGCCCAAGTTTGCCCATGTCTGCCCTAAAGCATCTGGAAGACAAAAGTTTGGAAAGCATTGATTTCGAGTGTCACTTTCCAATTCTGGATTACCCCATTGGCATGGAAAAATCGAACAACGACACAGTAACATGTCAGGTGTGTTGCTATTGTGAGAAAAGACTGGTCTCTGCTTATAGCTACAAGTATTCATCCCAGTTCCTCATGTAAGCCGCCCCAAGTCCCCATCGGGGAGATGGTGGCGGGGTATAAATAAAGATTATTATTATTATTATTATTATTATTATTATTACTAGCTGTCCACTGTCACGTGTTGCTGTGGCCCAGTCTGTGTATATGTGTTTTGCGTGTATGCATATGTGTGTATATGTGTATTTCTGTGGTTATGTGCATGTGTTGTAATGTATTTTTTGTTTTTGGCTTTTTAAGTCTCTTCCGTTGTGTTTTTCAGTGTTTTTATGAGTGATGGTCACTCGTTGGCCTGAGAGGTGTCTTGTGTCCAAATTTGGTGTCAATTCGCCCAGTGGTTTTTGAGTTATGTTAATCCCACAAACGAACATGACATTTTTATTTATATAGATTATTATTATGCTGTGTATTCAAGAAGCACAGAGTTTCTCCAAGTTTACTCCCTTGGAAAGTACTAAGAAGGATCTTCCAAAATCATAGAATCCTAGAGTTGGATGAGACCCCAGGGGCCATCCAATCCAACCCCCATCCCGCCAGGCAGGAAAAAGCACCATCAAATCTGTCCTGACAGATGGCCACCCAGCCTCTGTTTTAAAAGCCTCCAAAGAAGGAGCCTCTATTCAACTCTGAAGCAGTGAGCTCGTGTTGAGCAGCCTTTATGGTCAAGGAGTTCAAGCATAACAAGAAACTTCGCTAATAGTGTTGCATTGTTTTGGTTTTTGTGTGTGTGTCAGGAGCAACCTGAGTCGTTTCTGGTGTGAGGAAATTGGCCGTCTGCAAGGACGTTGCCCAGGGGAAGTCCAGATGTTTTACTATCCTTGTTGGAGCTGGAATGTGTCCATAGGAGAGCGATTAAAATGATAAAGGGTCTGGAGAACAAGCCCTATGAGGAGCGGCTTAAGGAGCTGGGCATGTTTAGCCTGAAGAAGAGAAGGCTGAGAGGGGATATGATAGCCATGTATAAATATGTGAGAGGAAGCCACAGGGAGGAGGGAGCAAGCTTCCTTTCTGCTTCCCTGGAGACTAGGACGCGGAACAATGGCTTCAAACTACAAGAGAGGAGATTCCACCTGAACATGAGGAAGAACTTCCTGACTGTGAGAGCCGTTCAGCAGTGGAACTCTCTGCCCCGGAGTGTGGTGGAGGCTCCTTCTTTGGAAGCTTTGAAACAGAGGCTGGATGGCCATCTGTCAGGGGTGATTTGAATGCAACATTCCTGCTTCTTGGCAGAATGGGGTTGGACTGGATAAAGGCCCATGAGGTCTCTTCCAACTCTTTGATTCTATGATTCTATGAGGCTTCTCCAATGTCCCTGCATGGGGAGCTGGAGCTGACAGAGGGAGCTCAACCCGCTCTCTCCGGATTCAAACCGCTGATCTATTGGTCAGCAGTTCTGGCAGCACAAGGGTTTAACCCATTGTGCCACCGGGGGATGTTGAATGGTAAAAGGGCTGTTGCTTTCAGGGAAGAGCGGGAGGAAGAACGCCATGTCTGGGATGGAAACACATCTTGAATACTTTCAGGATCTCAGTAATTCTCTGCTTCCTCCCTGCAGGCCAACCTCCTTCACGACCGGCTTGCGCAAATATTGGAGCTCACCATTCGGTAAGAGGAAATGGCAGAGGCGTTGTGTGTGCTGCTACTGTGACTATAGGATTGCATTGAATAGATCTAAGGTCTGGCCTTCAAATTCAACAAAACAAAGGAATGGCCATCAACTGTAGAATCCTTACAAGAGAGAGCACATGGAGGATGGATAAGGCTCTCTTACTTACTTACTTACTTACTTACTTACTTAGGCGATCCCTCGTTGTCCGAGTAGGATAATCCTCCAGGGTGGGTCCAAGGGTGACTGGAGCCCTATTCTTGATCTGTATCTTCTCCCGCAGTGAGGGCATTGGTTTCCAGGTGAAAGGCGGTCCCGGTCGGGGTTGGCTTGACATGCCTTCCTCTTGGCACGTTTCTCTCTTTCGCCCTCCATTCGTGCCTCTTCAAATTCTGCAGTACTGCTGGTCAAAGCTGACCTCCAGCTGGAGCGCTCCACTGTGTCCTATCCTAGTTCTCAGTGTCTATGCCAGCGATTTTAAGGTTGGCTTTGAGCCCATCTTTCAATCTCTTTTCCTGCCCACCAACATTCCGTTTTCCGTTCTTGAGTTCGGAGAAGAGCAACTAATTTGGGAGACGGTGGTTGGGCATCTAAACAACGTGGCCTGTCCAGCAGAGTTGATGGCAGAGGACCATCGCTTCAATGCTGGTGGTCTTTGCTTCTTCCGGCATGCTGAGATTTCCCCGCTTGTCTTCCCAAGAGATTTGCAGGATTTTCCGGAGGCAGCGCTGATGGAATCGTTCCAGGAGTTGCATGTGACATCTGTAGACAGTCCACGTCTCACAGGCATATAGCAGGGTTGGAGGGACAATAGCTTTATAAACAAGCACCTTGGTCTCCCTACGGATGTCCCGGTCCTCAAACACTCTCTGCTTCATTTGGAAAAATGCTGCACTTGCAGAGCTCAGGCAGTGTTGTATTTCATTGTCAGTGTTGACGTCTGTAGACAGTCCATGTTTTGCAGACATATAACAGGGTTGGGAGGACAATAGCTTTATAGACAAGCCCCTTGGTATCCCTACGGATGTCCCAGTCCTCAAACACTGCTTCATTTTTAGGCTAAAAAGGTTCCCCTCGATTTATACTCGAGTCAAGGTTATTTATTATTTTACTATGTTATTAGTATTATTTTTAGTACATTTATTATTTTACTCTATTACTGTTATTATATTTCCATTATTTACATTATTATTATTATTATTATTACATGTATTATTTTACTCTATTACTGTTATTAAATTTCCATTATTTACTCTATTATTATTATTACATTTATTATTTTACTTTATGTATTATTATTATTATTATTATTATTATTATTACCTTTACATTATTTTACTGTACTATTATTTTATTACATTTATTATTTTATTCTATGTATTATTATTATTATTATTATTATTATTATTATTATTACCTTTACATTATTTTACTGTACTATTATTTTATTACATTTATTATTTTACTCTATGTATTATTATTATTATCATTATTATTATTATTACCTTTACATTATTTTACTGTACTATTATTTTATTACATTTATTATTTTATTCTATGTATTATTATTATTACCTTTACATTTTACTATACTATTATTTTTATTACATTTATTATTTTACTCTATACTATTATTTTTATTACATTTATTATTTTACTCTATGTATTATTATTATTATTATTATTACCTTTACATTATTTTACTGTACTATTATTTTATTACATTTATTATTTTATTCTATGTATTATTATTATTATTACCTTTACATTATTTTACTGTACTATTATTTTATTACATTTATTATTTTATTCTATGTATTATTATTATTATTATTACCTTTACATTATTTTACTATACTATTATTTTTATTACATTTATTATTTTACTCTATGTATTATTATTATTATTATTATTATTATTATTATTATTACCTTTACATTATTTTACTGTACTATTATTTTTATTACATTTATTATTTTATTCTATGTATTATTATTATTATTATTACCTTTACATTATTTTACTGTACTATTATTTTTATTACATTTATTATTTTATTCTATGTATTATTATTATTATTATTACCTTTACATTATTTTACTGTACTATTATTTTATTACATTTATTATTTTATTCTATGTATTATTATTATTATTATTACCTTTACATTATTTTACTATACTATTATTTTTATTACATTTATTATTTTACTCTATGCTATTATTTTTATTACATTTATTATTTTACTCTATGTATTATTATTATTATTATTATTATTATTATTATTACCTTTACAATATTTTACTATACTATTATTTTTATTACATTTATTATTTTATTCTATGTATTATTATTATTATTATTACCTTTACATTATTTTACTGTACTATTATTTTATTACATTTATTATTTTATTCTATGTATTGTTATTATTATTATTATTATTATTATTATTATTACCTTTACATTATTTTACTGTACTATTATTTTTATTACATTTATTATTTTATTCTATGTATTATTATTATTATTACCTTTACATTATTTTACTCTATGTATTATTATTATTATTACCTTTACATTATTTTACTATACTATTATTTTTATTACATTTATTATTTTACTCTATGTATTATTATTATTATTATTACCTTTACATTATTTTACTCTACTATTATTTTTATTACATTTATTATTTTATACTATGTGTTATTATTATTATTACATTTATTATTTTACTCTATTACTGTTATTAAATTTCCATTATTTACTCTATTATTATTATTATTATTATTATTATTATTACATTTATTATTTTACTCTATGTATTATTATTATTATTACCTTTACATTATTTTACTTTACTATTATTTTATTACATTTATTATTTTATTCTATGTATTATTATTATTTTTATTACATTTATTATTTTACTCTATGTATTATTATCATTATTATTATTATTACCTTTACATTATTTTACTGTACTATTATTTTTATTACCTTTATTATTTTATTCTATGTATTATTATTATTATTACATTTATTATTTCACGCTCTTTATTATTATCGGAAGGATACGTACATTGAGGAAGGTTAGCATAATGGTTTGGACAGTTGGACAGTCTTATCTTAAATTACAATTTTATGTAAATACACAAAAACATTTAACCTACTGATGATTATCAGTAGCACCTGCATTTCTCACCCTCGGCTTATACTCGAGTCAATACATTTTCCCAGTTCCTTGTGGTAAAATTAGGTGCTTCGGCTTATATTCGCATCGGCTTATACTCGAGTATATACGGTAAATTAAATTTTGCTCCTGACCATCCTCTTTTTTTTGTGTATCCTTGCAGGCCTCCTCCCAGCCCTTCCGGCACGCTGACCATCACCGCCGGACACCCCCACTATCAGTCCGTTCCCGTCTATGAGATGAAGTTTCCAGATCTTTGTGTGTATTAAAGAGAAGCCTTCTAGCCTCTGCTGGGCATGGCTTTGGGGCATTCGAGCGCACTGCGTTGAGCCCGCTCACGATGCATTTGCAGCTCGGCCTTCACTCTTTTCTTTGCCACATTTTACCAGAGCTTTGAGGGCCCAGCCTTGGTGCTTGAGTTGCAGATTTTTCCTAGTTCTGTTCGTTCTGCTCTTGATATTGTGGTCGACGATTTCACGACTCATTTTTCTGTCCTCTTCGAAAGGGAAAACGGGCAGTGCAATAGTGTCTTGCCAAATATTTCAAAGAATAAGGCCTTTAAAATAAACTAAGGCAAGCGTGGGCCAACTTGGGCCCTCCAGGTGTTTTGGACTTCAATTCCCACAATTCCTAACAGCCGGTAGGCTGTTAGGAATTGTGGGAGTTGAAGTCCAAAACACCTGGAGGGCCCAAGTTGGCCCATGCTTGTTCCAAGGCTCGATAGGACTAAGCTTCAAATCCTTGCGTTGTTTTCTCTCTTTGCATCACACATTCCTAATGAATTATTGCCGTGATTTACACATGTTGCCGCTTTCCATTCTGTGGTACTGAAAACCCTGAAGATACAGGCCCTAAGTGTTGTTTTTGCCTCTCTTTTCAGTCGTTGCAATAATTCTGAATGCAGCAAAACATTGGTAACGTTTTTGACATCCCAAATACTTAGTCCGTGCCTCGTGCTTGGCAGGGAGGGATGGGAAATAGATATTTTTGCCGTGTCGCTTTTAGAATACCTAATGTGTAGATATATAATCTATATTTAGTACTCCAGAAAAATACTAAGTGCATTTGAAAATGGGAAATGAGGGTCTTTTAAAACTAGATGTCGTCCAAACTTGTGTGATCGATCGCCCTTTGTAGCATAGACTTTTTAGTACTGTTTTGTCAACTGAAAGGAAAACCTGTGGATGGAACTTGCTGGGCAGGTTAGAACTTTTTTATGATTGTGTGTGCTTAGGAATGTTTTGATTCCATTACAACTTCCTTGCAATGTTTCTCTCTCGAGAATGATACACAGACTTGCATATCCCAGATAATATGCTACTTGCGTGTAAACAAAGAAGGCTTATACAATGCCTTTAATACTAGAAGCTGCTATAATCTCCCAAGTGTAGTAGCAGCAAAGTTTCGTTTCCATCCACTCCACAATTCCAAGGTAAGACTTTAAAATAACCCTTCTCAGTAGAATGATAGCTGGAAAGTTTTATTAGATTTCTCAATATCTTTTTTGTCACCACGCTTGTGTGCATTCCATCATGAGACGTACCCTGTTTCCCTGAAAATAAGACACTGACTTATATTAATTTTTGCTCCCAAAGATGTGCTAGGTCTTATTTTCAGTGGCTGTCTTGTTTTTCCATGAAGAAGAATTCACATGTACAGTGTTCCCTCGCTACTTTGTGGTTCGCTTTACATGGACTCGCTGTCTTAAGGAAATATTAATATAGCCAATCTCCCATGGAAGTTCCTGGACCATTTGGACAGCAGGAATGGTGTTACAGCTTCCGACTACCAGAGGGAACGTGCTTGCAAACAAAAACTTTGCTAGGTCTTACTTTCTAGGGAGGCCTTATATTCTCCCACACACTGTCTGGAGACCACAACAATCTCCCATGGAAGCTCCTGGACCATTTGGACAGCAGGAATGGTGTTACAGCTTCCAACTACCAGAGGGACTTGCTCCCAAACATAAACTTTGCTAGGTCTTACTTTCGAGGGAGGCCTTATATTCTCCCACACACTGTCTGGAGACCACAACAATCTCCCATGGAAGCTCCTGGACAATTTGGACAGCAGGAATGGTGTTACAGCTTCCGACTACCAGAGGGACTTGCTCCCAAACAAAAACTTTGCTAGGTCTTACTTTCGAGGGAGGCCTTATATTCTCCCACACACTGTCTGGAGACCACAACAATCTCCCATGGAAGCTCCTGGACCATTTGGACAGCAGGAATGGTGTTACAGCTTCCGACTACCAGAGGGACTTGCTCCCAAACATAAACTTTGCTAGGTCTTACTTTCGGGGGAGGCCTTATATTTAGCAATTAAACAAAATCTCTACTAGGTCTTATTTTCAGGGGATGTCTTATTTTCGAGGAAACAGGGTCGATTATGACCAGGTCAGTGTTTACTTGTTGTTGTTTATGTATGCCTAGAGCAGGCATGGGCATACTTGAGCTCTCCAGATGTTTTGGACTCCAACTCCCACCATTCCTAACAGCCTCAGGCCCCTTCCTTGGACAGTACGGATGGAATTGCAGCTTCTGGCCACCAGGGGGAGTACGCTCCCAAACAAAAACATTGCTAGGTCTTACTTTCGAGGGAGGCCTTATATTCAGCAATGCAGGAAAATCTCTACTAGGTCTTATTTTCAGGGGATGTCTTATTTTTGGGGAAACAGGGTAGATTATGACTAGTTTAGTGTTTACTTGTTATTGTTTATGTATCCCTAGAGCAGGCATGGGCATACTTGAGCCCTCCAGGTGTTTTGGACTGCAACTCCCACCATTCCTAACAGCCTCAGGCCCCTTCCTTTCCACAGGCATGGGCATACTTGTGCCCTCCAGGTGTTTTGGACTGCAACTCCCACCATTCCTAACAGCCTCTGGCCCCTTCCTTTCCCCCCTTAGCTACTTTGTTTACATTCAGAAGGACAAAACGAGGGGCTTCTGAATCCCGGATGAGCCCCCATTATTCACTTAAGCAGCTGAGGGGGGAAAGGAAAGGGCTTGAGGTTGTTAGGAATGGTGGGAGTTGGAGTCCAAAACACTTGAAGGACCCAAGTATGCCCATGCCTGTCCTAGACCATAGGCTGTTTATATACGAACAAATATAGACAAAATAATAATACTACCTAAAGCAATCTGCATACAGACCTTGCCTGTTTAAAATCCAATATCATTCAAATACTCTATATACATCAGAGATATATAATATATACATCAATGAGATTAAAATTCACTGTGGTTTTGTTTTCCTAAGTTGTTGACTGCCTTTGCACATAATACATACGAAAGAAAACAAAACAAACGCTCTTTTCGTTTGCACTCGTGCCGACCGTGGATGCTGCTGCTGCTGTTTTCTACGCTCAATAGTAAATGCCTTACATTTCATTTGCTTCCAAACTCTCGGCGGTATCGTCTTTGCATTCTTGGTTTTCGTTTCAATACATTGGAGATATCCCAAAAGTGATGTTGCTCTTGTTAACAGGGAAAGCAAGCCAGACCTGTTGTAATAATAATAATAATAATAATAATAATAATAATAATAATATTGTCGAAGGCTTTCATGGCTGGAATCACTAGGTTCTTGTGGGTTTTTGGGCTATATGGCCATGTTCTAGAGGCATTTTCTCCTGACGTTTCATCTGCATCTATGGCAAGCATCCTCAGAGGTAGTGAGGTCTGTTGGAATTAGGAAAATGGGTTTATATATCTGTGGAATGACTGGGGTGGGGCAAAGAGCTCTTCTCTGCTGGAGCTAGGTGTGAATGTTTCAACTGACCACCTTCATTAGCATTTGAAGGCCTGGCTGAGCCTGGGGAATCTTTGTTGAGAGGTGTTAAGAGGTGCCTGGTTCTTTCCTCTCTGCTGTTTTGCTGTAGTAATTTTAGAGTTTTTTTTAATACTGGTAATACTCTAATATCACGAAAATGAACAAAATCTGGCTACCAGTATTAAAAAACTCTAAAATTACAACAGCAAAACAGCAGAGGGGAAACAACCAGGCACATCTTAACACCTCTCAACAAAAGATTCCAACAGGCTCAAATGCTAATGAAGGTGGTCAGTTGAAACATTCACACCTAGCTCCAGCAGACAAGAGTCCTTTGTCCCCCTGGTCATTCCACAGATATATAAACCCTTTTTCCTACTTCCAACAGACATCACTACCTCTGAGGATGCTTGCCATAGATGCAGGTGAAACGTCAGGAGAGAATGCCTCGAGAACATGGCCATATAGCCCGAAAAAACCCACAAGAACCTTATTATTATTATTATTATTATTATTATTATTATTATTATTATTATTATTATTTGAGGCCGTGCCAGCTGGAGAGGCCGAAAACTGGCATCCTTTTGGAGATTATCCATAAGTTACGAGAATACAGGACCTGGTGTATTGTCTGACCACGGTTCAAGGAATTAGGAGTTTACACAAACATATTTGACCTATAGAATGACTCATTTGGAACCATAAATCTTTGTTGTGTGTATGATACTCTTGTCACTCTCTTCTGTGAACACATTCCAGCTTCATCCCTCGTTTGTTTGGGTCGATAATGCTGAAACCGCTTTTTGTGGTAATTTTTAGGATCGCAACCCGGCATGGGCCAACTTGGGCCCTCCCTCCAGGTGTTTTGGACTTCAACTCCCACAATTCCTAACAGGAATTGTGGGAGTTGAAGTCCAAAACACCTGGAGGGAGGGCCCAAGTTGGCCCATGCCTGGTATAAACAAAAGCCATCTTACAATGTTGATCTCTTGTTCCGACACCTGTGTATTCTGCATTCTCTGTAACGAGCCATTTGACGCAACGCTGAGGACACACTGTGCAATCTCCATACACTTGTGAGCAATAAATAAATAAACTTAAGTGAGAAGCAACGCGTCGGAATTGGGCGTTTCGTTCTTTCTCCAGGTATATAAACCCCATTTTCCTACTTTCCAACAAAACTCACAACCTCTGAGAGTGCCTGCCATAGATGGGGGTGAAATGTCAGGAGAGAATGCTACTAGAACCCAGACTAGTGGAGTGCCATGAAAGGCTGCCTAAGCTTGAGGGAAAGAGGGGGCATGGCTACTAACCAAGAGAGGGCGTGCCAAGCTGCTTAGCCCTTTAAGAGGCCAGGAGGGGGTGTGGCCAAAGCTTAGGGCTTGGAGGCAGAAAGCAGCCATTGAGGAGGGTGGGGGCGTGGCCAAGCGTGTTAGACCTTTGAATGAAAGGGGGCGTGGCCACACCTAGAAGGGGCGTGACTAAGGTGCTTAGGCCTTTGAGTGAAAGAAAGGGGCGTGGCCACATCTAGAAGGGGCGTGACTAAGATGCTTAGGCCTTAGAATTGAAGAGGGGGCGTGGCTAAGTCGCTTTATGCTTTGAGTGGCGGAGGGGGCGTGGCCTGGCTACTTAGGCCTTTTGAGTGGAAAGAGGGGGCGTGGTCATATCTATAAGGGACGTGGCTAGGCAGCTTAGCCCTTTGAGTAAAAGGAGGGGGCGTGGCCAAGCCGCTTTAAGCCTTGAGTGGCGGAGGGGGCGTGGCCACATCTAGAAGGGGCGTGACTAAGCTGCTTAGGCCTTTGAGTGAAAAAAGGGGGCGTGGCCAAGCCGCTTTAGGCCTTGAGTGGCGGAGGGGGCGTGGCCACATCTAGAAGGGGCGTGGCTAGGCTACTTAGCCTTTCGAGTGAAGGAAGGGGCGTGGCCAAGCCGCTTTAAGCCTTGAGTGGCGGAGGGGGCGTGGCCACATCTAGAAGGGGCGTGACTAAGCTGCTTAGGCCTTTGAGTGAAAAAAGGGGGCGTGGCCAAGCCGCTTTAGGCCTTGAGTGGCGGAGGGGGCGTGGCCACATCTAGGGGCGTGGCTAGGCAGCTTAGGCCTTTGAGTGAAAGGAGGGGGCGTGGCCAAGTCGCTTTAGGCCTTGAGTGTCGGAGAGGGACGTGGTCATATCTATAAGGGGCGTGGCTAAGCTACTTAGGCCTTTGAGTGAAAGTAGGGGGCGTGGCCAAGCCGCTTTAAGCCTTGAGTGGCAGAGAGGGACGTGGCCACATCTAGAAGGGGCGTGACTAAGCTGCTTAAGCCTTTGAGTGAAAGGAGGGGGCGTGGCCACATCTAGAAGGGGCGTGACTAAGCTGCTTAGGCCTTTGAGTGAAAAAAGGGGGCGTGGCCAAGCCGCTTTAGGCCTTGAGTGGCGGAGGGGGCGTGGCCACATCTAGAAGGGGCGTGGCTAGGCTACTTAGGCCTTTTGACTGGAAGAGGGGGCGTGGCCAAGCCGCTTTAGTCCTTGAGTTGCTGAGGGGGCGTGGCCACATCCAGAAGGGGCGTGACTAAGCTGCTTAAGCCTTTGAGTGAAAGATGGGGGCGTGTCCAAGCCGTTTTAGGCTTTGATTTGTCGGGGGCGTGGCCACATCTAGAAGGGGCGTGGCTAAGCTGCTTAGGCCTTTCAGTGAAAGCCGCTTTAGGCCTTGAATGGTGGAGGGGGCGTGGCCATATCTAGAAGGAGTGAAAGGGGCGTGGCCAAGTCGCTTAAGGCCTTGAGTGGCAGAGGGGGCGTGGTGACTGCTAGCCGGGGCGTGGCCAAGCTTCATAACCCTTTGAGTGAAGGAGGGGACGTGGCCAATCCGCTTAAGACCTTTAGATACATCAGGGGGCGTGTCCAATGCTAGCAGGGGCGTGGCCAAGCTGCATATTGAGTGGAAAGAGGGGGCGTGGCCAAGCCGCTTAGACCTTGAGGTCTTGGAGGGGGCGTGCCCAGTGCCTGGAGGGGCGTGGCCAAGCTGCATAGGCCTTTGTGGAATGGAGGGGGCGTGTCCACTGCCAGGAAGAGGCGTGTCCAGCGCGATTCGGCCTATAGGGAGGAGGGGGCGTGGCCACACCAAGCTATCACTGCGCGTCCAGCCGCCATTTTCCCGGAAGTCGGAAGAAAACAAAGGAAGGAGGCAGACGGGCTTGGCGGCGGGTGAGTCTGGCGGCGCAGCGGAGGGCTTGGGACTGGGTCAGTGTTGACCCCGGCTTGCTTTTCCTAACGAGAGCCTTAGAATCCCTGGCTCCAGCCTTTCCCCTCTTTCTCCTCCTTCTCCTCAGTGAGGCCTACTTCCAGAGACGTCAACATGGCGCCTGTCGTGGCCTTTTCTCTCAGGCTCCTTCTTTGGAGGCTTGTAAACATAGGCTGGATGGCCATCTGTCAGGGGTGATTTGAATGCAATATTCCTGCTTCTAGGCAGAATGGGGTTGGACTGGATGGCCCAGGAGGTCTCTTCCAACTCTTTGATTCTAGGATTAAGGAGCCTCCACCACACTCCGGGGCAGAGAGTTCCACTGCTGAACGGCTCTCACAGTCAGGAAGTTCTTCCTCATGTTCAGATGGAATCTCCTCTCTTGTTGTTTGAAGCCATTGTTCCATTGCGTCCTATTTATTTATTTATTTACTATTCTTGTATACCGCTGTATCTCAAGCCCGAGGGCGACTCACAGCGGTTTCCAGAAAGCAAACAACAGAGACAGTAAAAACAGCAGTAATCAATATATCACAATAGTTAAACTACACAATTCCATTTCTAACAGTAAACAAACATCAATACACAGTTATCACAAAAAGCCCCCCCCCCCCGATCGCCTCATCATCCAAGCGTGATCCAAATTCGTCGTCCATTGTTCCGTTCCTATGTTCAATTACCAGAATTGCACTGAATTACTCAAATGCCTGCACAAACATCCAGGTCTTCAACTTTCTACGGAATGTCATGAGGGATGGTGCCAACCTAACATCTACAGGAAGGGCGTTCCACAGCCGAGGAGCCACCACCGAGAAGGCCCTATCCCTCGTCCCCGCCAACCGTGCTTGAGAGGCCGGCGGGACCGAGAGCAGGGCCTCCCCGGAAGATCTCAAAGTTCGGGTGGGTTCATAGGCCGAGATGCGGTCAGATAGGTATCTTGGGCCGGAACCGTTTAGGGCTCTAGTCTCCAGGGAAGCAGAAAACAAGCTTGCTCCCTCCTCCCTGTGACTTCCTCTCACATATTTATACATGGCTATCATATCTACTCTCAGCCTTCTCTTCTTCAGGCTAAACATGCCCAGCTCCTTAAGCCGCTCCTCATAGGGCTTGTTCTCCAGACCCTTGATCATTTTAGTCGCCCTCCTCTGGACACATTCCAGCTTGTCAATATCTCTCTTGAATTGTGGTGCCCAGAATTGGACACAATATTCCAGGTGTGGTCTAACCAAAGCAGAATAGAGGGGTAGCATTACTTCCCTAGATCTAGACACTATGCTCCTATTGATGCAGGCCAAAATCCCATTGGCTTTTTTTGCCGCCACATCACATTGTTGGCTCATGTTTAACTTGTTGTCCACGAGGACTCCAAGATCCTTTTCACACGTACCGCTCTCGAACCAGGCATTGTCCCCCATTCTGTATCTTTGCATTTCGTTTTTCCTGCCAAAGTGGAGTATCTTGCATTTGTCACTGTTGAACTTCATTTTGTTAGTTTTGGCCCATCTCTCTAATCTGTTTGGCTGCCATTGCGCTTTTGGAGAGTAGTCACATAATCTTATGCTATTGCTCCCTCAATGTTCCTGTCTTAGGAGTACACCCCCCCCCCTTGTACGAAGGTTTGTTTATTTCCCTGTCTCTCTATGAGTTCTCCCTTTCAAATAGTTCTGCCCCTTTATCTCACCCTGAGTTTTTAAATCATTTTATGTACATGCAGCCCGCTCACTGTCGCTATGTCTAGTTTACTGCTTTTTATGTTTTGTGTATATTGTTTATACCTTTAATGTTTTATACTTTAATGTTATGTTGTTTATTTTATTGCAATTTGTATCTTACTGTGTTATAATTTGTTGTTCGGGCTTTGCCCCATGTAAGCCGCTCCGAATCCCCATTGGGGGAGTTGCTGGCGGGGTATAAATAAAGTTTTTTTTAAATATTATTATTATTTATTGGCTGGCATGAAAGGCCTTGCCAGAGAAGCTGCTGCTTCAGGGATGGTGCTTCCATGTATGTATGTATGCGAACTTTCGCTGCAACCTCCTCCTTCCTGCCACAGGTTCCCCGTATGTTGTGTGCCCAGAGCCGTATCGCAGATCGAAGGAAGCATGTTCCACGGAATCCCAGCAAACCCGGGCATGGGAGGTGAGTCCCAAAGTATCTGCTGTTTTTACTTCCCTGCTTATCCTGGAATATATCAGGACAGGACCTTCTCAGTGGTGGCTCTTCAGCTATGGAACTCCCTCCCCAGGGAAATTAGAGCAGCCCCCTCCGTCCTGACCTTCAGGAAGAAAGTGAAGACATGGTTGTGGGACCAAGCCTCTGGACGATGATCCCCAGTGCAATAATGATCTCTCAGTGCAATAATGAATAATGCAAATGACAACCAGAATGGCTCCTGGAATATGCTTTGGGATGGTGTCAATTTAAGTAATTGTTTTATATTTGGTATTTAAGTTTGATTTTAAAGTATTTGTTGTTTTATTCTATACTAGCTGTCCCCTGCCACACGTTGCTGTGGTCCAGTCTGTTGATCTGGAAAATAAAGTAATGAGAAAGTGTTGGTTTCTAATATATGTAATTTCTTTATGCTTGTGGGTAAACAGTATTTCTTGCTGTTTCTTTGTCAGTGTTGATGTGGAGATTGTCTGGTTTGCCTACTCTGGAACATGCAACATATTATTGTCCTTTTTTAGGGGTGCCTTTAAAATCTATGATACTATATCTGTGTGTCTGTGAATCATATCTATCTATCTAGTCTGTCTATCTATCTATCTATCATCTATCTATCTATCTATCTATCTATCTATCTATCTATTTATCTATATCTATCTATCTATGGCTGGATGGCTCTTTGTCAGGAGGGCTTTGATTATGTTTTCTTGCACTGGTGAAGGGAGTTGGACTGGATGGCCTTAAGTATTTTCTGTTGGTCATGGGGGTTCTGTGTGGGAAGTTTGCCCCAATTCTGTCATTGGTGGGTTCAGCATGCTCTCTGATTGTAGGTGAACTATAAATCCCAGTAACTACAACTCCCAAATGTCAAGGTCGATTTCCCCCAAACTCCATCTGTGTTCATGTTTGGGCATATGGAATATTCGTGTCAATTTTGGTCCCGATCCATCATTGTTTGAGTCCACAGTGCACTGTAGGTGAACTACAACTCCCAAACTCAAGGTCAATGCCCACCAAACCCTTTTAGTGTTTTCTGTTGGTCATGGGAGTCCTGTGTGCCAAGTTCGGTTCAATTCCATCATTGGTGGAGTTCAGAAGGCTCTTTGATTGTAAGTAAACTATAAATCCCAGCAACTACAACTCCCAATATGACAAAATCAATTTTTTCAGTGATGGTCACTCCTTGGGTCGTTAGGTGTCTTGTGTCCAAATTTGGTGTCAATTTGCCCAGTGGTTTTTGAGTTATGCTAATCCCACAAACGAACATTACATTTTTATGTATATAGATATGTATACATGGATTGAAAGGGTGTGTTGTTTTGTATGTTATGCTGGGGAAAGCATTTAATTGTGTTGTGCAATGTACATGACAATAAAGTTATTTTATTCTATTCTGAAGGATTCGGCACACAGCTATGGGCAGGGGGAGGTTTGGGTCAGCTTTCCTTATGGTTTGAAGCTTCTCGCATCACACTATTTCTTTTCTCTTGCCTTTCCAGCCCCAGCCAATAAGCCGGAACTGTACGAGGCAAGTAGCATTCTGTTTGTTGGGGCTGTAAATGGCAGGCAGTTCCCTCTTAATAGTATTGGGAAACAGTCTGAGTTTTGGGGTTTTTTTTGGTGGGGGTGGGGTTGATATGTTAACAACCAGCAACATTCTCTGCTGGACTCCGTATGTTTATTCTCTCGTCTCTCTGAGTTCTCCCTACAATTAGTTTTACCCCTTTATCTCACCTGGAGTTTTTAAATTATTTTATGTACATGCGGCCCGCTCTTTGTCATTATGTTTGGTTTCTATGCTCTGTGTATATTGTTTATATGCTTTGATGTTTTATACTTTAATGTTATGTTGTTTATTTTATTTATTATTATTATTATTATTATTATTATGTATTGTAACTTGTGGTAAGCCGCTCCGAGTCCCCGTTGGGGGAGATGGTGGCAGGGTATAAATAAAGTTTATTTGTTTATTTATTTATTTATTATTATTATTATGTATTGTAATTTATGTATGCAGTCATGCCGGCCACATGACCTTGGAGGTGTCTACGGACAACGCTGGCTCTTCGGCTTAGAAATGGAGATGAGCACCACACCCCAGAGTCAGACATGACTGGACTTAATGTCAGGGGACTACCTTACCTTTACCTTTACCTTATTGTAATTTGTGGTAAGCCGCTCCGAGTCCCTGTTGGGAGAGATGGTGGCGGGGTATAAATAAAGTTAATTATTATTATTATTATTATTTTGTATTGTAACTTGTGGTTCAGGCTTGACCCCATGTAAGCCGCTCCGAGTCCCCATTGGGGGAGATGGTGGTGGGGTATAAATAAAGATTATTATTATTGTCTCCACATCATGAGGAGACAGCAAAGCCTAGAGAAGACAATTATGCTGGGGAAAGTGGAAGGTAAAAGGAAGAGGGGCCGACCAAGGGCAAGATGGATGGATGGCATCCTTGAAGTGACCGGACTGACCTTGAAGGAGCTGGGGGTGGTGACGGCCGACAGGGAGCTCTGGCGTGGGCTGGTCCATGAGGTCACGAAGAGTCGGAGACGACTGAACGAATGAACAACATTATTATTATTATTATTATTATTATTATTATTATTATTATTATTATTATTTGCTGCCCTTAAAGAGCCTCACCTGTCGACCCCCAGATCATCTTCCACCTGATGCTGAAACTTTGCTCTCTTCTAGGTTCTTGTGGGTTTTTTCGGGCTATAGGGCCATGTTCTAGAGGCATTTCTCCTGACGTTTCGCCTGCCTCTATGGCAAGCATCCTCACTACCTCTGAGGATGCTTGCCATAGATGCAGGCGAAACGTCAGGAGAAATGCCTCTAGAACATGGCCCTATAGCCCGAAAAACCCACAAGAACTGAGTGATTCCAGCCATGAAAGCCTTCGACAATACTTTGCTCTCTTCTCTTGTAGGAAGTGAAGCTGTACAAGAATGCCCGGGAGAGAGAGAAGTGAGTCCTTTCCCCCTATCCTCTTTGTGTGTGTGGTAGTCCCACAATTTATGTCCCAGGATACAATTTTTGCATAATCTAGAACCCTAGTCTTGGGCTGTTGTTGTTATTATTAGTATTTCAGCCTGAGAGATTGGATTGGATGGCCTTTGTGGTTTATTTCAACTTTACAATTCTATGTTCCTATCATTAGATCATCCAGAGTGATTCTATGGTAATTCAAAGCTCTTTATCTCACCTTTCCCCATAGTAATAATGCATAAAACCACGCTTACTAGCAGGCTTACATTTGGCGTGTGAGGGGAGGGTGATTGGGAAACTAAATGTGTAGGCATCGAATTGTGCCTGTTTGTAAGCCGCCCTGAGTCCCCCCTCGGGGGTTGAGAAGGGCGGGGTAGAAGTATACAAAATAAATAAATAAAGTTTTATTGCATGTATATGTTTTAACTATTTTATAATTTGAAATGTTATATTTATTATTTGTATGTATAATGAGGCAATGCATTTGTCAACAAGGGAAAATATCACTGCATTCTTTTGACAGTGTAGAACAGACATGGGCAAACTCTGGTCCTCCAGGTGTTTTTGACTTCAACTCCCACAATTCCTAACAGCTCAATATACCTCAATATGCCAATACCGGGATTGTGGCGCAGCTGGCTGAGTGTCAGTTGCATTAAGATCACTCTGACCAAAAGGTCATGAGTTGGAAGCCAGCCCAGGTTGGAGTGGGTTTCCAACCAATTGTGTGGCCTGTTGTTGACCTTTGCAACCTGAAAGACAGTTGCATCTGTCAAGTAGGAAAATTAGGTACCACCTTAAAGTGTGGGGAGGCTAAATTAACTAATTTATGAGGCCATAAAGAAGACTCCAGCAGAGCATTCCAGCAGGGAAGCAAGTGGGGAATGTGGAAGTGCTTCATCAGCGTCGCAGATGGACGATGAAAGCGACAGCTCCCCTCGCGGCCATAAAAAAAGAAGTTAAATAGCCTCTGTGTATGTCTGTATATGTTAGTATGTCAAAAATTGGCATTGAATGTTTGCCACCCAGGTCATGACCAAAAGGTCATGAGTTCGAAGCCAGCTCGGGTTGGAGTGAGTTTCCAACCAATTGTGTAGCCTGTTGTCAACCTTTGCAACCTGAAAGACAGTTGCATCTGTCAAGTAGGAAAATAAGGTACCACCGTAAAGTGTGGGGAGGCTAAATTAACTGATTTATGAGGCCATAAAGAAGACTCCAACAAAGCATTCCAGCAGGGAAGCATGCGGGGAATGCAGAAGTGCTTCATCAACATTGCAGATGGACGATGAAAGCGACAGCTCCCCTGGCGGCCAGAAAAAGTTAAATAGCCTCTGTGTATGTCTGTATATGTTGTATGTCAAAATTGACATTGAATGTTTGCCATATATGTGTACACTGTAATCCGCCCTGAGTCCCCTGCGGGGTGAGAAGGGCGGAATATAAATGCTGCAAATAATAAATACCTATGAGACACCTGGTAGGTGGGCCTTCTCTCCCAGAAGGACCTCCTTTTCTCAGGACCTCCTTCCTGAGGCATTCTGCTTCCGTCTGCTTTCAGGTACGACAACATGGCGGAACTCTTTGCCGTGGTGAAGACGATGCAGGCGCTGGAGAAGGCCTACATCAAGGACTGCGTCACCCCCAGCGAGTGAGTGAAGGGCAGGGAAAGGGGAGGGATGGGATGGGGCCTCCAGGTACAGGCCTTGTTATAGGTGTTTGGCAGGTATGGCTAACTTCGCCCCTCTCTCCAGGTGTTTTGGACTTCAACTCCCACAATTTCTAACCGTCAGTAGGCTGTTGGAATTGTGAGAGTTGAAGTCCATAACAGCTGGAGGGATGGCTGAAGTTGACCCATGCTTGTTAAACACCTGCAACAAGTCTCCTGCATTCAACATCACTGGACATCATGACTATTTTATTTGTCGTGTCAGATCAACCAGTCAATTATATTACATTTCTAACAGAACAAAGCAAACAAATAGACAAAATACAACATTTGTGAGTTTGGTAGTTGATTAAATGTCCTTTGACCAGTATCTGGCCACTTGGAGTGCTTCTGGTGTTGCTGCAAGAAGGTCCTCCATTGTGCATGTGGCAGGGCTCAGGGTGCATTGCAGCAGGTGGTCAGTGGTTTGCTCCTCTCCACACTCGCATGTCGAGGATTCCACTTTGTGGCCCCATTTCTGAAGGTTGGCTCTGCATCTCGTGGTGCCAGAGCGCAGTCTGTTCAGCACCTTCCAAGTCGCCCAGTCTTCTGTGTGCCCAGGGGGGAGTCTCTCATTTGGTATCAGCCATGGATTGAGGTTCTGGGTTTGAGCCTGCCACTTTTGGACTCTCGCTTGCTGAGGTGTTCCAGCGAGTGTCTCTGTAGATCTTAGAAAACTATTTCTAGATTTAAGTCGTTGACGTGCTGGCTGATACCCAAACAGAGGATGAGCTGGAGATGTCTCTGCCTCATGACTAGAGACGATGGGAGTTGTGATACAGTAAAACCCGGAAGGCTGTTATGTTTTGCCAGGAGAGTGGGTCTTGGATTGAGATAACAAGGCTTGTGGATGTGATGACGTCTCACTTTAAAAACCCCTTTCATCTCTTCCCAACCTCAGAGCCACAAGTGCTGTTGAGTTGCAATTCCCATCATCCCCACTCCACATGGCAGATAATCAAAAGCGATGTGAATTATCTTACCATAATATAGAATCATAGAATCAAAGAGTTGGAAGAGACCTCCTGGGCCATCCAGTCCAACCCCATTCTGCCAAGAAGCAGGAATATTGCATTCAAATCACCCCTGACAGATGGCCACCCAGCCTCTGTTTAAAAGCTTCCAAAGAAGGAGCCTCCACCACACTCCGGGGCAGAGAGTTCCACTGCTGAACGGCTCTCACAGTCAGGAAGTTCTTCCTCATGTTCAGATGGGATCTCCTCTCTTGTAGTTTGAAGCCATTGCTCCATTGCGTCCTAGTCTCCAAGGAAGCAGAAAACAAGTTCGCTCCCTCCTCCCTGTGGCTTCCTCTCACATATTTATACATGGCTATCATATCCCCTCTTAGCCTTCTCTTCTTCAGGCTAAACATGTCCAGCTCCTTAAGCCGCTACTCATAGGGCTTGTTCTCCAGACCTTTTATCATTTTAACCCAATAAGTGGGTTAAAACCACTGGTGGCTATTTAAATAAATTATGCTATGTTACAAAATCTGAAAACAAATTATGTTCCTGGTTTGAATGTTCCTGGCAAACATTCAATGCCATAAACACACAACATATATAGACAGAGACTCAAAGGGTATTTAACCTCCCAGCTTCATGAGGGTATGCTTTTTGAATTCTGGCCACCGGGGGAGCTGTCGCTTCACCATCTACTTGTGACACCGAAGGAGTACTTCCTCATTCTTTTTGCATGCTGCTGGAGAGTTTTATGGCATTGTAAATTAGTTAAGTATAATATATTGTATATACATATATTTATAATATTATAATGTAACAAACATAATACTACTATTAATATTACAATATAATAGTGTAGTACAATATAGTAATATATAATACTGATATTGTACTATGCTAATAATTTAATATATTGTATTGGGAGCCCCCGGTGGCGCAGTGGGTTAAAGCACTGAGTTGCTGAGCTTGTTGATCGAAAGGTCGCAGGTTCGATTCCGGGGAGCGGCGTGAGCTTCCGCTGTCAGCCCTAGCTTCTGCCAACCTAGCAGTTCGAAAACATGCAAGTGTGAGTAGATCAATAGGTACCGCTCCGGCGGGAAGGTAACGGCGCTCCATGCAGTCATGCCGGCCACATGACCTTGGAGGTGTCTACGGACAACGCTGGCTCTTCGGCTTAGAAATGGAGATGAGCACCACACCCCAGAGTCAGACATGACTGGACTTAATGGCAGGGGACTACCTTTACCTTTACTTATAACCCAGGAACAAATAAACATGATAGATACTATTGTCGAAGGCTTTCATGGCTGGAATCACTGGGTTGTTGTAGGTTTTTCACACTATATGACCATGTTCTAGAAGCATTCTCTCCTGACGTTTCACCTGCATCTATGGCAAGCATCCTCAGAGGTAGTGACTCATTGCCTCTGAGGATGCTTGCCATAGATGCAGGCGAAACGTCAGGAGAGAATGCCTCTAGAACATGGCCATATAGCCTGAAAAAACCTACAACAACCCAGTGATTCTGGCCATGAAAGCCTTCGACAATACTTTACTAATAATATTACAATATAATGGTGTAGTACAAAATAGTAAAATATAACACTGATATTGTACTATGCTAATAATTTAATATATTGTATGTGTATATATCTTGTAAGCCGATCTGAGCCTCCTTCGGGGTGAGAAGAGTAGCATATAAATGCCGTAAATAAATAAATAAGCGGTACCTAAATTTTCTACTTGACTGATGCAACTGTCTTTCGGTCTGCAAAGGTCGACAGCAAGCTAGACAAATGGCTGGAAGCTCACTCCGAGCAGGGCTGGCTTTGAACTCATGACCTCTCGGTCAGTAGTATTTTTAATGCAGCTGACTCACAACCATCTGCTCCACAAGTTAGGAAATTTGGTCTAGCTTAGCAACCGTCCTCCTCCGATGGGTCAGCCACCCCTTTCCACCTGGAGCATGGCATCTCTGGAGAAGGAGGGATGCGCAGCAAGAAGCTTCTATGGTTAGGCCAGCCTTGGGGCCTTCCTCCTCACCCGCTCCTTGCTCTTCCAGATACACCGCAGCCTGCTCTCGCCTCCTTGTCCAGTACAAAGCTGCCTTCAAGCAGGTCCAGGGCCTGGAGATCAATTCCATCGATGACTTTTGCCGCAAGTTTCGGGTGAGCAAATAGCATCCGGGAAGGAGAGGGGGAGATATGGGTCTTGTTTCAGAGACAAACGTGGAATGTAAATAATAATGGGGATGACGAGGAGACGGTACCTTTCCAGAAGCAAAATCAGGCATGGACCAACTTGGGCTCTCCAGGTGTTTTGGACTTCAGCTCCCAGAATTCCTAACAGCCATCACCTTGTTGATGGGAAGCTTCCCATCATAGTGGAAATCATCTATTGGACAGATGGCAAGCTGTTTAACCTCAGCAAACTGGTCACAACATCTGTTATAGAACTCCAGTATGCTGATGATAATGTTGTCTGTGCACATTCAGAAAAAGACCACTTTGATTTATTTACAGTATTTATATACCGCCTTTCTCCGGATTTGAACCTGTGACCTGTCAGTCTTCAGTCCTGCCGACACAGGGGTTTAACCCACTGCACCACTTGGGGCGGATGAGCTCCCTCTATCAGCTCCAGCTCCTCATGCGGGGACATGAGAAAAGCCTCCCACAAGGATGATTAAAAAAAATCAATTCACCCGGGCGTCCCCTGGGCAATGTCCTTGCAGACGGCCAATTCTCTCACACCAGAAGCGACTTGCAGTTTATCAAGTTGCTCCTAAAACAACAAAAAACCCCCAAAAACACCGCCTTTCTCACCCCCAGGGGGACTCAAAACCGTTTTTAGTCCCCCTAAGGGTGGGAAAGGTGGTATACAAATACTGTAAATAAATAAATAAGTCCTACAAGCCACTCTAAACACCTTCGCAGAAGCATATGAGAAGCTCGGCCTGTCATTGAACATCGAGAAAACCAAAGTGCTGTTCCAGCAGTCACCAGGCAATCCCTCTCCAATGCCAGAAATACAGCTTAATGGTGTAACATTAGAAAATGTGGACCATTTCCACTCCCTCAGCAGCCACCTCTCCACCGAAGTCAACATCGACACCGAAATACAACACCGCCTGAGCTCTGCGAGCGCAGCATTTTTCCGAATGAAGCAGAGAGTGTTTGAGGACCAAGACATCCGTAGGGAGACCAAGGTGCTTGTTTATAAAGCTATTATCCTCCCAACCCTGCTATACGCCTGCGAGACGTGGACTGTCTACAGACGTCAACACTGGCACTGAACTACAACACTGCCTGAGCTCTGCAAGAGCAGCATTTTTCCCAATGAAGCAGAGAGTGTTTGAGGACTGGGATATCCGTAGGGATACCAAGGTGCTTGTTTATAAAGCTATTGTCCTCCCAACCCTATTATATGCCTGCGAGACGTGGACTGTCTACAGACGTCAACATTGAGACTGAAATAGAACACCGCTTGAGCTCTGCGAGAGCAGCATTTTTCCGAATGAAACAGAGAATGTTTGAGGACTGGGACATCCGTAGGGAAACCAAGGGGCTTGTTTATAAAGCTACTGTCCTCCCAACTCTGCTATACGCTTGTGAGATGTGGACTGTCTACAGATGTTACACCAGTGGTTCTCAACCTTGGGTCCCCAGATGTTTTTGGCCTTCAACTCCCAGAAATCTTAGTCAGTTTACCAGCTGTTAGGATTTCTGGGAGTTGTAGGCCAAAAACATCTAGGGACCCAAGATTGAGAACCACTGCGTTACACGCAACTCCTGGAATGATTCCATCAGCGCTGCCTCTGGAAAATCCTGCAAATCTCTTGGGAAGACAAGCGGACAAAAGTCAGCGTGCTGGAAGAAGCAAAGACCACCAGCACTGAAGCGATGGTCCTCTGCCATCAACTCCGCTGGACCGGCCACGTTGGCCGAACGCCCGACCACTGTCTCCCAAAGCAGTTGCTCTACTCTGAACACAAGAATGGAAAAAGAAATGTTGGTAGACAGGAAAAGAGATTGGAGGATGGGCTCAAAACCAATCTTTAAAACTCTGGCATAGACAATAAAAACTGGGAAGCCCTGGCTAATAATATAATGTAATATAGTATAATATAATATAATATAATTAATATAATCTAATTAATATAATATAATTGGGTTGTTGTATGTTTTTCTGGGCTATATGGCCATGTTCTAGAGCAGTGGTTCTCAACCTGGGGTCCCCAGATGTTTTTGGCCTCCAACTCCCAGAAATCCTAAGAGCTGGTTAACTGGCTAGGATTTCTGGGAATTGTAGGCCAAAAACAGCTGGGAAACCACAGGTTGAGAACCACTGTTCTAGAGGCATAATTATAATATAATTATATATAATTATAATTATAATAAATAATTATTATAATAATTATAATTAAATAATAGTTATAATATAATTATAATATAATTAATATAATATATATACATATAATATTTATAATATTAAAATGTAATGCAATATAATACTACTAATAATAAGGTATTACAATTACATATTTTATTACATGTAATATTACTAATAGTATTACAATATAGTGGTATAGTACAATATAGTAATATTTAATATAGATATTATCCTATACTAATAATATAATATATTGTATGTATATATAACTTGTAAGGAGTTCCCTTCGGAGTGAGAAGGGCGGCATATAAATGTCGTAAATAAATAAATAAATAGAGTGCTCCCGCTGGAGGTCAGCTGTGACCAGCAGTGCTGTAAAATTTGAAGAGGCACAAACAGAGGGCGAAAGAGAGAAACATGCCAAGAGGAAGGCGTGTCAAGCCAACCCTGACCGGGACCGCCTTCCACCTGGAAACTGATGCCCTCACTGCGGAAGGGAGAACATGCAGGTCAAGAATAGGGCTCCACAGTCACCTACGGACCCGCCACGAGGACACTGATCTTGGAGGACAATCCTACGTGAACAACGAGGGAGTTGGAAGTCCAAAACACCTGGAGGTCCCAAGCTGGCCCATACCTGAGCAAGATGCACCTCTAGTTTCTGTTGTGTTCTGGGCAAAGCTCGGTTCTCTAGATGGAAACAAGGGAAGAATTGTAGTTCTACCTCTCTGTTACGAAACGGAGACGGGTCTTGCTTCTTCCTTTTGGGTTCAGGGCCTTTTCTTCCTGGAGAATGCTGCCTCTGGTCCTCACCGGCTTTCCTGTTTGCCTCTTTGCAGCTCGACTGTCCGCTGGCCATGGAAAGGATCAAGGAGGACCGGCCAATCACCATCAAGGACGACAAGGGCAACCTCAACCGCTGCATCGCAGATATTGTATCGGTACGTTTTGGGGGGGGGGGGCACACACACTGTGGCTCTTACCAAAATTCCCTGAAAATCTGAGTCTGAATCGCTGCGTAGCCTTGGCAGCCAAGGAAAGCTGCTCTCTCTCTGCCTTAGAGAAGCTCAGCAGCGAACCTTCCTTTAAATCAATTTATTTGATTGGGGATTCACCTGTTAGAATCCACTTGAAGGCACATCGCAAAGGGCCAGAATTGTGGGGAGCGAGCACAGCTTCGAAGCGATTCTGCTTCCGGCTCTGACTAAACGGAGGAATGTTTTCTTTGCATTCCCAGCTCTTCATCACCGTGATGGACAAACTGCGCTTGGAAATCCGGGCCATGGATGAGGTAAGTGGCTGCAAGAAGGGTTGCATTGGGGCAGCTACAAAACAACCTGAGCAGCTTTGCAAATTAATGTCCTTGTTGGGTTGTATGGCCATGTTCCAGAAGCATTCCCTCCTGACGTTTCGCCTGCATCTATAGCAAGCATCCTTAGATGTTGTGAGGATGTGCAGCTGTTGGTGAGACAAGCCAGTGCAGAAGCTATGCAAACTGATGTCCTTGTTGGGTTGTGGTAGGTTTTCCGGGTTGTATGGCCATTTTACAGAAACATTATCTCCTGATGTTTCACCTGCATCTATGGCACGCATCCTCAGAGGCTGTTAGGACCTCACAACCTCTGAGGATGCCTGCCTTAGATGCAGGCGAAATGTCAGGAGAGAATGCTTCTAGGACCTGGCTATACAGCCCGGGAAACCTACAACAACCTAGTGATTCCAGGCATGAAAGCCTTCGACAATATATTGATGTCCTTGTTGCTACTTTATTGTAAGCATGAGCAAACCTGGGCTCTCCCTCCAGGTGTTTTGGACTTAGAATCATAGAATCCTAGAGTGGGAAGAGACCTCGTGGGCCATTATCCAGTCCAGCCCCATTCTGCCAAGAAGCAGGAATATTGCATTCAAAGCACCCCTGACAGATGGCCATCCAGCCTCTGTTTAAAAGCTTCCAAAGAAGGAGCCTCCACCACACTCCGGGGCAGAGAGTTCCACTGCTGAACGGCTCTCACAGTCAGGAAGTTCTTCCTCATGTTCAGGTGGAATCTCCTCTCTTGTAGTTTGAAGCCATTGTTTTGCGTCCTAGTCTCCAGGGAAGCAGAAAGGAAGCTTGCTCCCTCCTCCTCCCTGTGGCTTCCTCTTATACATGGCTATCATGTCTCCTCTCAGCCTTCTCTTCTTCAGGCTAAACATGCCCAGCTCCTTAAGCCGTTCCTCATAGGGCTTGTTCTCCAGACCCTTGATCATTCGAGTCACCCTCTTCTGGACACATTCTAGCTTGTCAACTCTCGCGTATTTATACATGGCCTTCACCATGTCTCCTCTCAGCCTTCTCTTCTTCAGGCTAACCATGCCCAGCTCCTTAAGCTGCTCCTCATAGGGCTTGTTCTCGAGGACTCCAAGATCGGGTAAATCAGCTCTTTGGTCCGTATAGCCCCGTACTATGACCGGTGGCCCTTCTGAGAAGCCTTTGCAGTCCTTCATGCTCCCTATTATGATTACTGTATATACTTGAGTATAAGCCCCCTTTTTAGGCTGAAAAAGCTCCCCTCGGCTTATACTTGAGTCAAGGTTATTTAGTATTTTACTTTGTTATTAGTATTAGTTTTATTACATTTATTATTTTACTTAATGTGTTATTATTATTGCATTTATAGTATTTTACCATATTATTATTACATTTATTATTTTACTGTATTATTATTATTACATTTATTATTTTACTCTATTATTATTGGAAGGGTACATAAGCACATTTACATTGAAGAAGGTCAGAGTAATAGTTTAATCAGAGTTGGGCAGTCTTATCTTAAATTACATTTTATGTAAATATTCAAAACCATTGAACCTGCTGATTCCTCAATTAATATAATTTTATTGATATCTATTTTTATTTTGAAATTTACCCATAGCGGCTACATTTCCCACCCTCGGCTTATACTCGAGTCAATCTGTTTTCCCAGGTTTTTTTGTGATGAAATTAGGTGCCTCGGCTTATATTCGGGTCGGCTTATACTCGAGTATATACAGTATTTACATCCAGCTTTATCTCTCCCAAAGGAAACTCAAAACATACAAATGCACAAACTTCAAAACAGACTTAATCATAACAGTATTTTAAAAAATTACAGTTAAAACCCACTAAAACATATTGACTTTTCTCAGTCAGCAGGCTTTATGGCCAATGTGTTCTAGCAGCATTCTCTCCTGACATTTTGCCTGCATCTGTGGGTGGCCTCTGCAGAGGATCTAGTCAAGCAAGTGGAGTATCTATACTTGTGCAATGTCCAGGGTGGGAGGAAAGAGCAGTTGTCTGTTGAACAAGAGCATAGGGTGCAGTTAGCAAGCTTTTGGGATGTATGTGGTGAGTGGGATCCACCCATTAGCATGTGAGTGGGTATAATCCACTTTTCTGTGGTTGGTTTGGCCAGCAAGTGAGTCAATAAGGAGGGGTCTTCCCTCCACTGAGCTCGCCTTCCCTCTTCCTCCTCAGATCCAGCCGGACCTCCGGGAACTGATGGAGACCATGAACCGCATGAGCCACCTGCCCCCCGACTTCGAGGGTCGGCAGAAGGTTAACCAATGGTAAGTGTGTGGCTTCCTCCTGGAAACACATGGTGCATGCTTCCCACAAGAGCTTGCCCTTTTTCCCTCTTCTCTTATGTAATTCTGATGTTGTAGTTGTTTATGTTTTGATTTTATTGTTGTAATATGTTGTCCGGGCTTGGCCCCATATAAGCTGCTCTGAGTCCCCACCAGGGAGATGGTGGCGGGGTATAAATAAGGATTATTATTATTATTATTATTATTATTATTATTATTATTATTTATTGGGCACCTGAGCTTTCTGCATTTGTCAATGTGGCATCCTGTGAATGCAAATGCAAGTCCCGTTGACACCTGGAGGTGTTCTTTCCTGTTTTTGACACCTGGTGGTTTATGTTAAATGTCATTGTTATGTGTTATCTTTTATTTTTTGGTGTACCTTTATATTGATTAGGTTATTGCAGTATATTTTGCATTTTATGTTCCCCTGTTTGCATTGCTGTGGTTTTGTAAGCTGCCCTGAGCCCCTTTAAGGAGATGGGGCGGGATAATAATAAAGATTATTATTATTATTATTATTATTATTATTATTATTATTATTCAGTTCTTGTGGGTTTTTTCGGGCTATATGGCCATGTTCTAGAAGCATTTCTCCTGATTATTATTATTATTTTACTGACACCACAGTATTTTGTGTGTTTGCACTATTGAGTGCTTTTGTGAGAGGGGTGGTATATAAATATGGTAAATAATAATAATAATAATAATAATAATAATAATAATAATAATAATAATACAGCATATAGATCTCATTTGCTGTGACATACTGTGTTTTTGTGTCAGTAAAATAATAATAATAATAATAATAATAATGACATCACCATCATGTTGTTTGAAATAATAATAGTAATAATAATAATACAGTATATAGATCTCATTTGCTGTGACATACTGTGTTTTTGTGTCAGTAAAATAATAGTCATCGTCATCATCATGTTGTTTGAAATAATAATAATACAGCATACAGATGTCATTTGCTGTGACATACTGTGTTTTTGTGTCAGTAAAATAATAATACTAATCATCATGTTGTGTTTGAAATAATAATACAGCATATAGATCTCGTTTGCTGTGACATACTGTTTGTCAGTAAAACAATAATACTAATAATATTAATAGTCATCATCATGTTGTTTGAAATAATAATAATACASCATATAGATCTCATTTGCTGCGAAAGTGTTTTTGTGTCAGTAAAATAATAGTCATCATCATCATGTTGTGTTTGAAATAATAATTATAATAATAAAGCCTATAGATCTCATTTGCTATGACATACTGTGTTTTTGTGTCAGTAAATAATAATAATAATAATAATAATAATAATAATAATAATAATAATAGTCATGTTGTGTTTGGAATAATAATAATAATAATAATAATAATAATAATAATAATAATAGAGCATATAGCTCTCATTTGCTGTGACATGCTGTGTTTTTGTGTCAGTAAAATAATAATAATCATCATCATCATCATGTTGTGTTTGGAATAATAATAATAATAATAATAATAATAATAATAATAATAATAATAATAGAGCATATAGATCTCATTTGCTGTGACATGCTGTGTTTTTGTGTCAGCAAAATAATAATAATCATCATGTGTTTGGAATAATAATAATTATAATAATAATAATAATAACAACACAGCATATAGATCTCATTTGCTGTGACATGCTGTGTTTTTGTGTCAGTAAAATAATATAATAATAATAGTTATGTTGTTTGAAATAATAATAATAATACACCATATAGATCCCATTTGCAGTGACATACTGTGTTTTTGTGTCAGTAAAATAATAATAATAATAATAATAATAATAAATTTCTTCTTCTTCCAGGTTGCAGACGCTGAGTGGGATGTCGGCGTCGGACGAACTGGACGACTCGCAGGTCCGGCAGATGCTCTTTGACCTGGAGTCGGCCTACAATGCCTTCAACCGCTTCCTGCACTCGTGAGCCGGGCCCCGGTGGATCTCTTGGGGCCCCAAAAGTCCTGCTTTTTGGAGACGGCCACATGGCAGGCAGGCCAGCCCTTCAGCGGCCTGCTACCCCCATTGAATGTACACCTGCCCCTTTGCCCCTCGGTCTCCCTCCTTTTGATAATGAGGGATATGTCTCACATTTTGTGACTCTTTCACTCGTTCTTTCATTGCATCGTATCCGTGTACACATTCGTAACGGGGAGGTGGGAGGGAAGGAAGCACCACGGGGGGCCAAAGTGGCGCTTTCAAGTATTTATTTGGGTCTTGCATTTTTTTTTATTTTGCCTCAGGGAGGCAGCCCCCCCCCCCTCCCCAAAATTGGGCCAAAGCAAATAAATCCTCTTTCTACCAGGCAAAGGAGAGGCGTGAGGTGCATTTTATTCCTTCCCAAACAAGGGAAAGGCACAGACCAAAGCTCCAGCGAGTCTCTCCTTTCAGCATGATATTTTCTTCGTCGAAGAAGCAGGAAAAGTTCACGTCAAGAGTCCCATCATTCTCTCTTCTGCTATAATCCATCTACAGCAAAGCTAGAGAGAGAGAGGCGATGGCTGAGGTTGCAAGGAAGGGTCAGATTCAATAAATATGGAGGGATACAGAAGCACGAAGACAACAAGGTAAGAGGACAGAATCCTGCCCCAGTTGAAAGTACAATCCCAGCCTCTCTCAGAGTTCAAAGGGGGAAGGAAGCGGGTCTTGCTGGGCTTTCGCCATCGGAAGAGGCATCTCTCTGCTGATCTCTTTCCTGGATCAATCACCCTGGACGATTCAGGATTGGGTGAAGTGGCCTGAGGCCTCTCCCTCCCTCTCGCTGACCACTCCACCCATACGTGGCCAGAATTGGGGTTTTGGTTCATGTCCAAGCGGTTCTTGGATCCGGCCAGGGCTGTCACGGGCAGTGGTAGAAGAGCTTGTTGTGCCGCGTGATGCAGACGAAGGCGCTGCCCTCGGTCCCTGGACACAGCTCGGGCGGCTCCCGCAGGTCACTCCGGCTCAAGTGGCGGCTGCAGAGCTGCAAGTGGCGGACACTGGACGAGAGCTTGGTCCAGGAAGCAGAGTCCACGGGGCCCTTCGTGGCACAGCCTGGGAAAGGAGGAGGAAACAAAAGAATCCGAGTTGGAAGAGACCACATGGGCAGGAAGAGCACCATCAAAGCCCCCTTGACAGATGGCTATCCAGCTTGTTTAAAAGTCTCCAAAGAAGGAGCTTCCACTAGACCAGTGGTTCTCAACCTGGGGGTCGGGACCCCTGGGGGGGGGGTCGCAAGGAGATGTCAGTGGGGTCACCAAAGACCATCAGAAGACATAGTATTTCCTGTTAGTCATGAGGGTTCCATGTGGGTTAGTTTGGCCCAATTCTATCATTGATGGGGTTCGGAATGCTCTTTGATTGTAGGCATACCTATTCAGGTATGTAGGCATACCTACATACCTATTCATCTAACTACATATCTATACCTACTTAGATATGTAGATTGATATAGATAAGTAGATAGATAGAGATGTAGTTAGATGTATATCCCAGCAATTACAACTCCCAAATGTCAAGGTCTATTTCCCCCCAAACTCCACCAGTGTTCACATTTGGGCACATTGAGTATCCGTGCCAAGTTTGGTCTAGACCCATCATTGCTTGAGTCCACAGTGCCCCCTGGATGTAGGTGAACTACAACTCCAAAACTCAAGGTCAATGCCCACCAAACCCTTCCCGTATTTTCTCTTGGTCATGGGAGTTCTGTGTGCCAAGATTGGTTCAATTCCCTCATTGGTGGAGGTTGGAATGCTCTTTGATTGTAGGTGAACTATAAATCCCAGGAACTACAACCCACAAATGACAAAATCAGTTATTCCCTCCCCAGTATTCAGATTTGGGCATATCGCATATTTGTATCAAATACATCCTGCATATCAGTTATTTATACAATGATTCATAACAGTAGCAAAATTACAGATGTGAAGTAGCAACAAAGATAATTTTATGGTTGGGGGGTCACCACAACATGAAGAACTGTATTAAGGGGTCATGGCCTTTGGAAGGTTGAGAAACACTGCGCTAGACTCTGAGGCAGAGAGTTCCACTGCTAATAATAATAATAATAATAATAATAATAATAATACTTTATTTATACCCCGCCACCATTTCCCCAAGGGACTCAGAGCGGCTTACATGAGGCCAAGCACAACAACACATCAAAAACAAGAAGCAATAATAAAAACAGCAAGCAATAAGCAAAAATAAACAATACAGTTAATATAACTCGCAGGTAGACAATAACACATAAGAATTTAAAAACCTATGGCTGGGCCAGATGTAATAATCAGTGGGTGGCCAAAACATTCTGAAACTTGTCTACAAGTGTGCCAAGTTTCATCCTGATGGCTGTAAAAATGTCGGAGAAACAAGCCTCACAATTTCCCCCATTGCCACTAATGGAACAAATCTTTACGAAGATTCAGATTTCGGAACGGGACCTCCAAATCGTTATAATTCAAAGCAGGGGACGTCCAAAGCTCCAAAACAAATTACTAATCAGATTTTAGCTGTTTCGCACACCCCTATTTGCAACCTCAAGATATCTATCTAACTACATGGAGGCCCTAATGGCACAGTGGGTTAAACCACTGAGTTGCTGAACTTGCTGATCGAAAAGTCTCAGGTTTGAATTTCGGGAGCGGCGTGAGGCCCAGCTTCTGCCAACCTAGCAGTTCGAAAACATGCAAATATGAGTAGATCAATAGGTTCCACTCCAGCAAGAAGGTAACAGCGCTCCATGCAGTCATGCCGGCCACATGACCTTGGAGGCATTGTTAGCCCCAGCTTCTGCCAACCTAGCAGTTCGAAAACATGCAAATGTGAGTAGATCAATAGGTACCGTTCCAGCGGGAAGGTAACAGCGCTCCATGCAGTCATGCCGGCCACATGACCTTGGAGGCATTGTTAGCCCCAGCTTCTGCCAACCTAGCAGTTCGAAAACATGCAAATGTGAGTAGATCAATAGGTACCGTTCCAGCGGGAAGGTAACAGCGCTCCATGCAGTCATGCCGGCCACATGACCTTGGAGGCATTGTTAGCCCCAGCTTCTGCCAACCTAGCAGTTCGAAAACATGCAAATGTGAGTAGATCAATAGGTACCGTTCCAGCGGGAAGGTAACAGCGCTCCATGCAGTCATGCCGGCCACATGACCTTGGAGGCATTGTTAGCCCCAGCTTCTGCCAACCTAGCAGTTCAAAAACATGCAAATGTGAGTAGATCAATAGGTACCGTTCCAGCGGGAAGGTAACAGCGCTCCATGCAGTCATGCCGGCCACATGACCTTGGAGGCATTGTTAGCCCCAGCTTCTGCCAACCTAGCAGTTCGAAAACATGCAAATGTGAGTAGATCAATAGGTACCGTTCCAGCGGGAAGGTAACAGCGCTCCATGCAGTCATGCCGGCCACATGACCTTGGAGGCATTGTTAGCCCCAGCTTCTGCCAACCTAGCAGTTCGAAAACATGCAAATGTGAGTAGATCAATAGGTACCGTTCCAGCGGGAAGGTAACAGCGCTCCATGCAGTCATGCCGGCCACATGACCTTGGAGGCATTGTTAGCCCCAGCTTCTGCCAACCTAGCAGTTCGAAAACATGCAAATGTGAGTAGATCAATAGGTACCGTTCCAGCGGGAAGGTAACAGCGCTCCATGCAGTCATGCCGGCCACATGACCTTGGAGGCATTGTTAGCCCCAGCTTCTGCCAACCTAGCAGTTCGAAAACATGCAAATGTGAGTAGATCAATAGGTTCCACTCCGGCAGGAAGGTAACAGCGCTCCATGCAGTCCATGCACATGAACTTGGAGGTGCCTGCGAACAACGCCGGCTCTTTGGCTTAGAAATCGAGATGAGCACCACAGTCCCAGAGTCGGACTCGACTGGATTTCATGTCAGGGGTAAATCTTTACCTTTAACCTACAGTATATTCTGGCGTATAAGACTACTTTTTAACCCAAGAAAATCTTCTCAAAAGTCAGGGGTCGTCTTTTACGCGGGTGTAGTCTTATGCATGGGAGTCGTCTTAACTCTATATTTTAACTGGAAAAGTTGGGGGTCGTCTTATACGCCCAGTTGTCTTATATGCCGGAATATACGGTAGCTAACTACATATCTATCTGCATATGTAACTACCTACCTACCTATCTCTCTTGTGCTCTCTCTCTCTCTATATATATATATATCAATCTACATAGCTACCTACCTACCTATCTACATATCTATTCATCTAACTACATATCTATACCTACTTAGATATGTAGATTGATATAGATAAGTAGATAGATAGAGATGTAGTTAGATGTATATTTATTTATTATTTATTTATTTTATTTACAGCTTTTATATTCCGCCTTTCTCACCCCGCAGGGGACTCAGAGCGGATTAGTGTACGCATATATGGCAAACATTCAATGCCAATTTTTGACATACAAACATATACAGACGTATACAGAGGCTATTTAACTTTTTCTGGCCGCCAGGGGAGCTGTCGCTTTCATCGTCCATCTGCGATGCTGATGAAGCACTTCCGCATTCCCCGCATGCTTCCCCGCTGGAATGCTTTGCTGGAGTCTTCTTTATGGCCTCATAAATCAGTTAATTTAGCCTCCCCACACTTTAAGGTGGTACCTTATTTTCCTACTTGACAGATGCAACTGTCTTTCGGGTTGCAAAGGTCGACAACAGGCTACACACAATTGGTTGGAAACCCACTCCAACCTGGGCTGGCTTCGAACTCATGACCTTTTGGTCAGAGTGATCTTAATGCAGCTGACACTCAGCATTCATGGTTTACACATAACTGGCAAAAATTCAATGCCTTACATTGGACCCTGACGCGATGCCAATCCATAACAATTACAATAATAAAACCACAATTAAGCATAAATCATAATTAGACAGTACATAAGCAATCATTAAAACAATAAATAATAATAATAATATGGTAGGCAGGCAGGTAGATATGTAGTTTGATAGATATGTAGTTAGATATGTAGATAGATCGGTAGATATAGATTTACAGATATCTACATATCTATCCATCTACCTACATATCAGTTTACATACCTACCTAACTACGCATCTATCAACCAATCAATCTACATATCTATCTACCTATTTATATATCTATTATCAATCTACATATCTAGCTTAACTAGACATCTATATCTATATATAAATCTACCTACCTACTTACATATCTATCTCTCTATCCCTATCTAACTAACTATAGATCTACTACTTGTATTGTTGTTGTTGTTCATTCGTTCAGTCGTCTCCGACTCTTCGTGACCTCATGGACCAGCCCACGCCAGAGCTCCCTGTCGGCCGTTACCACCCCCAGCTCCCTCAAGGGCAGTCCAGTCACTTCAAGGATGCCATCCATCCATCTTGCCCTTGGTCGGCCCCTCTTCCTTTTGCCTTCCACTTTCCCCAGCATAATTGTCTTCTCTAGGCTTTCCTTTCTCCTCATGATGTGGCCAAAGTACTTCAACTTTGTCTCTAGTATCTTTCCCTCCAGTGAGCAGTCGGGCTTTATTTCCTGGAGGATGGACTGGTTGGATCTTCTCGCAGTCCAAGGCACTCTCAGCACTTTCCTCCAACACCACAGCTCAAAAGCATCGATCTTCCTTCGCTCAGGCTTCCCTAAGGTCCAGCTCTCACATCCGTAGGGTACTACAGGGAATACCATGGCTTTGACTAGGCGGATCTTTGTTGCCAGTCTGATGTCTCTACTCTTCACTATTTTATCGAGACTGGACATTGCTCTCCTCCCAAGAAGGAAGCGTCTTCTGATTTCCTGGCTACAGTCTGCATCTGCAGTCATCTTTGTCCCTAGAAATACAAAGTCTGTCACGGCCTCCACGGTTTCTCCTTCTATTTTCCAGTTGTCAATCATTCTTGTTGCCATAATCTTGGTTTTTTTGACGTTTAGCTGCAACCTGGCTTTTGCGCTTTCTTCCTTCACCTTGACCAGAAGGCTCCTCAGCTCCTCCTCGCCCTCGGCCATCAGGGCGGTGTCATCTGCACATCTGAGGTTGTTAACGTTTCTTCCAGCAACCCTCACCCCAGCCCTGCATCCATCCAGCCCCGCACATCGCATGATGTGTTCCGCATACAAGCCAAAAAGGTTGGGTGAGAGGATGCAGCCTTGCCGCACGCCCCTCCCAATCCTGAACCAGTCCGTTGCTCCGTGGTCAGTTCTGACTGTTGCTACTTGGTCCCTGTACAGATTCCTCAGGAGAGAGGGAAGGTGGCCCGGGATGCCCAATACTACTTGTATTGCTACAATACTACTTGTATTGCTACCTTCAATTTCCTTTCTTTAGCCGACCATCCTGGTAGTGTAGTGTAGGAGTTAATGGTGATTGACATTGATTTCTGGCTGGTTGTTAAGGTGCCTGCTATATTAAAGAAAAATGAAGAAATGTAGTGATCCAGTGGAGTCTCTTTCTCTGGAAGTTTTTCAACAGAGGCTGGACGGGCATCTGTTGGGAGGGCTTGGATTGTGTCCTGCTGCCTGGCAGAAGGGGGTTGGGCTTCTAAGGGGGGGGGGTCCCTTCAAAATCTGATTCTGTGTTCAGGACACAAAGCACTGACCTGCCAAGTTGAGGAGCTGGAGGCCAGCCTGCCTCTCCTCCAGGGCCAGGAGCAGCGTCCGGAGGCTGACGAGGCCAACCTCGGGGTTTGCGGACAAGTCCAGGGAGACCAAGGCAGGGCAGCAAGGGAGGCACCTTCAAGAAAGAGAGAGGAGGAGGAGGAGCACACTGAGCAAGGGAGCAAGAAGCCTGAGCATCAAAGGAAGAACCTCATGGATCCCGTAGTTCAGGTATAGGCAAACTTGGGCCCTTCCTCCAGGTGTTTTGGACTCCAACTCCTACAATTCCTAACATCCAGTAGTTTTAATGCTTGTGGATATCTGCTTCAACCTTTCTATCTCACCAGAGAATTTACCCAACTTCTTTTATAATTATGATAGTAATATTCATTTAAAAGCCTTATTTATTTGTCGTGTCAGCGCAACCAGTCAATTGTATTACATTTCTAACAGAACAAAACAAACAAAATACAAAATTTGTGAGTATGGTAGTTGATTCAATGACCTGGCAACTTGGAGTGCCTCTGGTGTTGCTGCAAGAAGGTCCTCCATTGTGCATGTGGCTGGGCTAAGGGTGCATTGCAGCAGGTGGTCAGTGGTTTGCTCTTCTCCACACTCGCATGTCGAGGATTTCACTTTGTGGCCCCATTTCTTGAGGTTGGCTCTGCATCTCATGGTGCCAGAGCGCAGTCTGTTCAGCACCTTCCAAGTCGCCCAGTTTTCTGTGTGTCCAGGGGGGAGTCCCTCATTTGGTATCAGCCATGGATTGAGGTGCTGGGTTTGAGCCTGCCACTTTTGGACTCTCACTTGCTGAGGTGTTCCAGCGAGTGTCGCTGTAGATCTTAAAAAACTATTTCTACATTTAAGCCATTGACATGCTGGCTGATACTCAAACAAGGAATGGGCTGGAGATGTCTCTGCCTTGGTCCCTTCGCTATTGGCTGCTACTTCCCGGTGGATGTCAGGTGGTGCAATACCGGCTAAGCAGTGTAATTTCTCCAGTGGTGTAGGGCGCAGACACTCCATGATAATGCGGCGTGTCTCATTAAGAGCCACATCCACTGTTTTAGCGTAGTGAGATGTGTTCCACACTGGGCATGCGTACTCAGCAGCAGAGTAGCAAAGTGCAAGGGCAGATGTCTTCACTGTGTCTGGTTGTGATCCCCAGGTTGTGCCAGTCAGCTTTCGTATGATATTGTTTCTAGCGCCCACTTTTTGCTTGATGTTCAGGCAGTGCTTCTTGTAGGTCAGAGAACGTTCCACAGTGACTCCCAGGTATTTGGGTGCGCTGCAATGCTCCAGTGGGATTCATTCCCAAGTAATAATCCTCAGAGCTCGGGATGCTTGTCTGTTCTTAAGGTGAAAGGCACATGTCTGTGTTTTAGATGGATTAGGGATCAGCTGGTTTTCCCTGTAATAGGCAGTAAGGGCACCTAGAGCTTCGGAGAGCTTCTGTTCAACCATCTCAAAGCTCCCTGCTTGAGCAGTAACGGCATTTAAAAGCCTGAGCCAGCCCCACATCAATCTCGCACAATAATATTATTATTATTAATAATAATAAAGTAATTATAGTCCTAGACACTTGGGAAGTGTCCGACGTGTAATCCAATACAACAGCAGAATGATCTTGTCTGCTGTGGACTCATCTTGTTGTGTTTCAAATAATAATAATAATAATTTCTGGTGTGATTAATGCAAAGCCAGCCCTTGCCCTCTCTGGAGGATTATAAACTAAGGCTGGATGGGTTGCTGTAAGGTTTTTGGGCTCTACAGAAGCACTCCAAGTGGCCAGATACTGGTCAAAGGACATTTAATCAACTACCATACTCACAAATTCTGTATTTTGTCTTTGTTTGCTTTGTTCTGTTAGAAATGTAATATAATTGACTGGTTGCCCTGACATGACAAACAAACAAGCAGTCATGTTCCAGAAGCATTCTCTCCTGATGTTTCACCTGCATCTATGGCACACATCCTCAGAGGTTGTGAGGTCTGGGTTGGATGCCCGTCTGTCAGGATGGCTTTGACTATGCATTCCTGCCTGGCCGAAAGGGGTTGGTCTGGATGCCCTTTGGAGGTCTCTTCCAGTGTTGTGGAGCACTTTTAATATGACACACTCCTGTGTGCCAAGCTCTGCTTGCAATGGTGCCAGCCTGGTAATGCCCATAATAACAATAATACATTTTATTTATTACCTGCCTCTCCTGATGGCTTGAGGCGAGGTACAACTAATGAGAGATGCATCCTATGGAGACCCATGGCAATTAATTTACCAGCAAGATTCAAAAGCTCCTCCGCCTGTTGCATCTTTGAATGCAAGCGTTACAATTCCACATTGTATTCCCTGGAGGATGCGAGACCATCATCCGGGCCTCCTATCCTAGCAGAGTTGTGCGTTGGAATGGGAATGGTTTCAAAGCACAGGGCTGCAATTCTCAGGAAGAGCCCACGAGCCTCAATCTCCTTACCTGGCCAGCTCTGCGACGGCATCGTCATTCAGTCGGTTCCCAGAGAAGGTCAGGTGGCGGAGAGCACAACCTTCCTGTCCAAAAATAAATCAAAACATTGGGATTTGGAAAAAGAAGTGTGTTTGGAGAGGGGCAGGGCCTTCATTCAGTCCTGGCTTAATGTCGTGGGATGGTGCAATGATTCTTACCTAATTGGCCAGAATAGAAGCCTGGGAAGACAGTAGGGCAAACCTCCATTTTGAGAGTGTCTGCCAGTAAAGCAGCCATCTTGAGGGAGGAGTTGGAGGTCTCCTGGGATTGGCTAGAGCAGAGGGGGAGGAGTCAAGTCTTGAGAGGGAAAAAGATTTCAGCTTCGGAGAGAGAAGAGAGTTGGGAACTGGAGGGAGAAGGAGGCTAGGTATTTCTGAGAGAGTGTGTGTTTTGTGTCAGGGAAGGGCTGAATAGCTGACAAGAAAGGCCAGACAGCATCCTGATTACTTGTGGGAGACAACACAAGGGATTTGCTCTCTAGTTTGAGTAAGTTAGCTGGAAGGACTCTGGGGAGAGTTAGCTAATTACTCAGAAGACAGCCTGGGATAGGTTAGTCAAGAACTCATTGCTATTTCGCTGAAGTAGAGTGAGGGATTTTTTTTTTTTTTGTAACCAGTAGTAGCTATATCTGTGAGATTAGCTCTGTTTGTATCCAAGTCTAGAAACCCTTTTTAAGCAACCATTAAGATATTGTGCTGTAGTTACAAGTCAAGCGTTTGTGCCTCTCAAAAGAAGAAGTCAGTTGTCTGTTCGTTTTTATAAATAAATCTTTTCTCTGTTTGACTTTTAAGAAGCCTCTATCGTTACTCATTCTATTGGTAATCCTTAAGCAGAATTTCTATTCAGTTCAACATCCTGATATCGCAAAAAGAACTCTAACCCTGACAATCCTTTGTTTGGAGTAAAAGGAAGGGCAGTGGTGGCAGAAGAGGGAAAAGTTTGCCTCAGAGCGGCATTTAAAAAAAATCCTAAGACAGCTTGGGTTGGTGGCAGCATATAAATATAAGACAAGTACTTTACGCTCTACCATTACATATAATATATAACACCATATTGCTACCATAATATAGATCAGCTGGGGCTTGATTCCTTTATACTGGTGGCTTGTGCTGTGATATTACAAGAAATTCTTTATAGTGGCGTCAGCTGGTGGGATATTATATTGAAATCTTTATAATTGGTGGCAAGCGGCGAGATTTATAAATAGATAAATATGCCTTGCGTTATAGATGGCCATGCTTCCACTGCATGTTTCATAGACCCTCCCCATTTGAGACCTTAATAGGATTGAGAGATCATAGAATCCAAGAGTTGGAAGAGACCTCAAGGGCCATCCAGTCCAACCCCTTTCTGCCAAGAAGCAGGAATATTGCATTCAAATCACCCCTGACAAATGGCCATCCAGCCTCTGTTTAAAAGCTTCCAAAGAAGGAGCCTCCACCACACTCCGTGGCAGAGAGTTCCACTGCTGAACAGCTCTCACAGTCAGGAAGTTCTTCCTCATGTTCAGATGGAATCTCCTCTCTTGTAGTTTGAAGCCATTGTTCCGCGTCCTAGTCTCCAAGGAAGCAGAAAACAAGCTTGCTCCCTCCTCCCTGTGGCTTCCTCTCACATATTTATACATGGCTATCATATCTCCTCTCAGCCTTCTCTTCTTCAGGCTAAGCATGCCCAGCTCCTTAAGCCGCTCCTCATAGGGCTTGTTCTCCAGACCCTTGATCATTTTAGTCGCCCTCCTCTGGACACATTCCAGCTTGTCAATATCTCTCTTGAATTGTGGTGCCCAGAATTGGACACAACATTCCAGGTGTGGTCTAACCAAAGCAGAATAGAGGGGTAGCATGACTTCCCTAGATCTAGACACTATGCTCCTATTGATGCAGGCCAAAATCCCATTGGCTTTTTTTGCCGCCACATCACATTGTTGGCTCATGATTAACTTGTTGTCCACGAGGACTCCAAGATCTTTTTCACACGTACTGCTCTCAAGCCAGGCATTGTCCCCCATTCTGTATCTTTGCATTTCATTTTTTCTGCCAAAGTATGGGCCAAAACAAACAGACATGTACAGTATGAGGCTTTGGCAATAAACATGAAATGCAGAGACAGAGGAATGGGGGTGTCTGGCTTGGAATGAGTCCCTGCAAAAGGGATCTAGGAGTCTTGATGAACCACAAGCAGAATCAGAGTCAAAAATGTGATGCAGCAGCTTTAAAACCCAATACGATTCTAGGCGAAGAGGGTGACATGGATTCAAATGGCAGAAGAAGAGATTCCACCTCAACATTAGGTGATGGTGTGACCTGTTCAAGGGTGGAATCTGGCACTGCTTAGAGCAGGCTTGGGCCCTCCCTCCAGGTGTTTTGGCTGTTAGGAACTCCAGCCGGTAGGCTGTTAGGAATTGTGGGAGTTGAAGTCCAAAACACCTGGAGGGAGGGCCCAAGTTGGCCCAAGCCTGGGTTATTGTTTTGTTTCATGCAAAGGCTGGATGGCTATCTGTCAGGAGTGCTTAGAGGGTGCCTTCCTGCCTTTGGCTGAAGGAGGCTGGACTAGATGTCCCCTTGGGGTCCCTCTCCATGATTCCGCAGCTTATGCTTTTCACCAGACCGCAGTGGATCCAAGGGGAAGGGTCCCGCCGGCCTTGCTGGTTCCTACCTGGGCCAGGTAAGCAGCCAGGGCCTTCCCGAGGGGCTTCTGCTCGGCCGTCCTTCTGCCCACGGAGGCCAGCTCCAGGCGGGAGAGCGTCTGGCAAGGCAGGCTCTTCAGGAGGAGCTCCAGCCCTGCCCAGCCCAGAGCGTTGTGCGACAGGGACAGGCTCCTCAGCTGCAGGGCCCCTGGGAGAGAGGGAAGGGGAAAGGGAAGGCAAAGGGAAGATGAAGGGAAGGGAAAAGAAAGGAAAGGGAAAGGAAAGGAAAGGAAAGGAAAAGCAAGAAAAGGCAAGAGAAAGGAATGGAAAGGAAAGGAAATGCAAGGCAAGGCAAGGGAAAGGAAAGGGAAAGTAAGGCAAGGGAAAAGAAAGGGAAGGGAAATCAAAGCAAAGGAAAGAAAAAGCAAGGAAAGGGAAAGCAAGGGAAAGGGAAAAAGCAAGGCAAGGAAGGGAAGGGAAAAGTAAAGGGAAGGAAAAGCAAGGCAAAGGGAAGGAGAGGGAATGAAAAGCACGGCAAGGAAAAAGAAAGGGAAGGAAAGGAAAGGGAAGGAAAAAGCAAGGGAAAGCAAGGAAAGAAAATGCAAGGGAAAGGGAAAAAGCAAGGCAAGGAAGGGAAGGGAAAAGTAAAGGGAAGGAAAAGCAAGGCAAAGGGAAGGAGAGGGAATGAAAAGCACGGCAAGGAAAAAGAAAGGGAAGGAAAAAGCAAGGAAAGAAAATGCAAGGGAAAGGGAAAAAGCAAGGCAAGGGAAAGGAAAGGAATGAAAAGGAAGGGAAGGGAAAGGAGAGGAAAGGAAATGCAAGGGAAAGGGAAAAAGCAAGGCAAGGGAAAAGAAAGGGAAGGAAAGGAAAAGCAAGGGAAAGGAAAGGAAGGGAAGGGAAAAGAAAGGGAAGGGAAGGGAAAGGAAAGGAAAAGCAAGGGGAGGAAAGCATGGAAAGGGAAGGAAAGGGAAAGGAATGAAAAGTAAGGCAAGGCAAAGGGAAGGAGAGGGAATGAAAAGCACGGCAAGGGAAAAGAAAGGGAAGGGAGATGAAAGCAAAGCAAAGAAAAAGCAGGGAAAGGAAAGCAAAAGAAAGGAAAATAAAGTCAAGGGAAAGGAAAAGCAAGGAAAGAACAGAAAACATTGGGCAAGAGGAAAGCAAGGCAAGAAAAAGGGAAGGGAAAGGGAAAAGAATGAAAAGAAAGGCAAGGGAAGGGAAAAGCAAGGAAAGGGAAGGAAGGCAGATAAAGGAAAGGAAACACAAGGCAAGGCAAAGTTAAGGGAATGAAAAGTAAGCAAGGGAAAAGAAAGGGAATGGAAATGAAAGCAAAGTGAAGGAAAGCAAAAGAAAGGAAAGCAAGGAAAGAAAAGGAAACACAAGGGAAAGGGAAAAGCAAGGCAAGACAAAGGAAAGGGAAAGGGATGAAAAGGAAAGCAAGGGAAAAGAAAGGGAAGGGAAATGAATGCAGAGCAAAGCAAGGAAAGTGAAGGAAAGCAAGGAAAGGCAAGGGAAAGGAAAGGAAAAGCAAGGAAAGTAAAGGAAACGCAAGGTAAGACAATGGGAAGGGAATAAAAAGTAAGGGAAAGGAAAGGGAAATGAAAGCAAAGGAAACGCAAGGGAAGGAAAGGGAATGAAAAGCAAGGCAAGGTAAAAGAAAGGGAAGGGAAATGGAAGCAAAGGGAAGCAAAAGAAAGGCAAAGCAGAAACATGGAAAGGAGAGAGAATTGAGGGAAGGGAAGGGAAAGAGAAAGGGAAGGGAAGCAAAGGAAATGAAAGGGAGCAGAGACATGGGCAGGAGAGAGAGAATCGAGAGGAGAAAAGGCATCAAACGGGAGTGCATTACATTAGTCTGCAAATACTTTTTTTGGTTTCCTGGTTTGGAAAATTGAGGTGCACATTAGATGCCATGGCACATGAGACTCGAGTCAATGTGGGTATTCCTACCCCGGAGACACCAGGAGAAAGGATGTGCAGGCAGGCAGAGAGACCCAGGCCAGCCCTGGTGTGTTTCCCAGCCCTTGCCCCAAATGTAGCCCCACGGGTGTACCTTTGAGGGCCAGGCCCAGCAGGGGTTGGGGGTGCTGCAAGGAGGTGGTGGTGAGGCCACAGGCCTGCAGTCGGAGGGTCTTCAGGAGGGGAGAGGCCTGGACCAAGGCGGCCAAGGAAGGGCCACTGTGCTCGCCCAAAGGGTTCAGGCTCAGGTCCAGCTCCTCCAGGGTCTGGAAGACATCCAGGGAGAGAAAGGAGGAAGGCATTAGAGAAACTTTTAGAAAAGTCCTTTAGAGCAGAATCTCCTTTTGTGTTATACAACCAAATGTAATTATGCTAGGGAATGGTTTCAGTTGTTAGACTGAATAACCAGCAATCTCTGCTCTGTCAGGAAAACAGAGATTTGCCAGTTCATAAAAACAGCAGAGTTTTAGGAGTTCTTTTCGGTGCCCAAAAAAAGGTGCTCTCTGTGATATAGGGCCTGTCTGGAAGGGCCCTTAAGAGCCGTAGCAAAGAGGAAGGAAACTGTTACATAACATAACCTTTTAGAGAAAAGCCAAAAAAAGCCCTTTAGAGCAGAATCTCTTGTGATATACAACCAAATGTAATTATGCTAGGGAATGGTTTCAGTTGTTAGACTGAATAACCAGCAATCTCTGCTCTGTCAGGAAAACGGAGATTTGCCAGTTCATAAAAACAGCAGAGTTTTAGGAGTTCTTTTCGGTGCCCAAAAAAAGGTGCTCTCTGTGATATAGGGCCTGTCTGGAAGGGCTCTTAAGAGCCGTAGCAAACTAGGATTTTGCGAGAGCAAACTAAGCCAGCACGCCTCTTTCTCCGCCTATTTCCCTTTGCTAGGGCAGCGTTGCGAGCATACGCTCGTGCCGCAGCAAACTACAGGAAGCTTGCGCTCGGGCTTGCTCCGAAGTTCCGCATTTTTTCCCCCGAAGCTGCTCTCTCTCTTGCTAGCGTGCCTGTTTTCCATTGCAGAGGGCAGGGATGTGAGCGTACGCTCACAGTTGAATTCTGCCAACTGCGAGAGTACACTCGCATCGCTTCCCTAGCAAGGGGAAACAGGCACACTAGCAAGAGAGAGAGCAGCCTCGGGGAAAAAAAGGCAGGGCTTCGGAGCGAGCTCGAGCACAAGCTCGCTTCCAGTAGTTTGCTACAGCTCTAAGAATATACCTGTTTAGACTTAGAAACAAACTCAACTTAAGAACAAACCTCCAGACCTGGCAATGCCCCAAGACTCTGGTGCAGGTGGAGGATCACCACCTGCACCACCTTTCTCCTCCTCCTCCTCCTCCCTCCTCTTTGTACTTCTTCTTGTCAGGAGAGGCCTTTCTCTCCATCCCACCATCACCACAATCACAAGAGAGGACCTTCTCATGCCCCTGCCACACAAATGAATAAAATCCCACATTATCTGCTTTGAATTGGACTATCTGGCAATGTGGACAGGATAACCCTATTCAAAGCAGATCTAGTGGGATTTTCTGCCTTGATATTCTGGGTTATGTTACTGTGTGGAAGGGCCCTTAGTGACTGGTGTCAAAAAAGATTGGGCAAATATATATATGTGTGTGTGTGTGTGTGTATTGTCGAAGGCTTTCATGGCCAGAATCACTGGTTTGTTGTAGGTTTTTTTCGGGATATATGGCCATGTTCTAGAGGCATTCTCTCCTGACGTTTCGCCTGCATCTATGGCCATTCTAACAACCACCATGTCAGACTACACAGAGAAGCCACTGAAATACACAAGCATGTGGACAATTTCAACAGAAAGGAGGAAACCATGAAAATGAGCAAAATCTGGCTACCAGTGTTAAAAAATAACTATAAAATTACAACAGCAAAACAAGAGAGGAAACAATCAGGCACAGCTAATCACCTCTCAACAAAAGATTGCCCCACGCACTGCCAGGCCATTATATGCTAATCAAGGTTAGGTTCTTGTGGGTTTTTTTTCGGGCTATAGAACGTGGCCCTATAGCCTGAAAAAACCCACAAGAACCTAGTGATTCCAGCCATGAAAGCCTTCGATAATACACTAATCAAGGTTGTCAGTTGAAACATTCACACCTTGCTCCAGCAGACAAGAGTTCTTTGTCCCACCCTGGTCATTCCACAGATATATAAACCCTTTTTTCTAGTTCCAACAGACCTCACTACCTCTGAGGATGCTTGCCATAGATGCAGGCGAAACGTCAGGAGAGAATGCCTCTAGACATGGCCATATAGCCCGAAAAAACCTACAACAACCCAGTGATTCCGGCCATGAAAGCCTGACAATACAATAATAATAATAATAATAATAATAATAATAATAATAATCTCTAAGGATGCCTGCCATAGATGCAGGCGAAATGTCAGGAGAGAATGCCTCTAGACCATGGCCATATAGCCTGAAAAAACCTACAACAACCCAGTGAATCCGGCCATGAAAGCCTTGGACAATACAATAATAATAATAATAATAATAATAATAATAATAATAATCTCTAAGGATGCTTGCCATAGATGCAGGCGAAACGTCAGGAGAGAATGTCTCTAGAACATGGCCATATAGCCTGAAAAAACCTACAACAACCCAGTGATTCCGGCCATGAAAGCTTTTGACAATACAATAATATAAAACTATTAATAATAATAATAATAATAATCTCTAAGGATGCCTGCCATAGATGCAGGCGAAATGTCAGGAGAGAATGCTTCTAGAACAAAAACCTGCAACAACCTAGTGATTCCAGCCATGAAAGTTTTCAACAATACAAACCTACATAATCTCTCTTGCTCATAACTTGGGGGCTGCCTGTATTGGAAAAAATGTCGCAAGAGACCAAGACACAATGGAGTGATGGGAAAACACTCCAGGAGAACAGTCCCACCTGAAAAACAGTGTGGCCGGAGGGTCCTGCGGTGAGCTTGCGAAGCCCCTCGGGGCCCAGCCGGTTGGAGGAGAGGTCCAGCTGCCTCAGGGCCGGCATGGTGCTGATGGTGGCCAAGAGCTCTTCGGCCGAGTCGTCCCCGAGGCCCGTCCCGGAGAGGCACAGCTGGCGGATGGAGGCCTGCAGCTTAAGGGCCCGGAGGAGAGGGGTCAGGCGGGGGGGCCCCAGGGACACGCCAGCCACACTGAAGGAGGGGCCCGACTCCTGGCGCTCCAGCATCTGCAGAAGCAGGCGGTGCTCCTCTGTCAGGGGAGAAGACAAGGCTGACTTCAACAGGGAGAAAATGGATGAGACAACACTAAGGCAGAAAAACAAGACATGTACTGGTAACGGGGCTTGATGAGTGCAAAGCTGGGGTGAAAATTGCTGGAAGAAACATTAACAACCTCAGATATGCAGATGACACCACTCTGATGGCCAAAAGCGAGGAGGAGCTGAGGAGCCTTCTAATCAAGGTGAAAGAAGAAAGCGCAAAAGCCGGGTTGCAGCTAAACGTCAAAAAAACCAAGATTATGGCAACAAGAATGATTGACAACTGGGAAATAAAGGGAGAAAATGTGGAGGCCGTGACAGGGTTTGTATTTCTAGGCGCAAAGATGAGTGCAGATGCAGACTGTGGCCAGGAGATCAGGAGACGCTTCCTTCTTGGGAGGAGAGCAATGTCCAGTCTCGATAAAATCGTAAAGAGCAGAGACATCAGACTGGCAACCAAGATCCATTGCCTAGTCCAAGCCATGGTATTCCCTGTAGTCACCTACGGATGTGAGAGCTGGACCTTCGGGAAGGCTGAGCGAAGGAAGAGATGCTTTTGAGCTGTGGTGTTGGAGGAAAGTGCTGAGAGTGCCTTGGACTGCGAGAAGATCCAACCAGTCCATCCTCCAGGAAATAAAGCCCGACTGCTCATTGGAGGGAAGGAGACTAGAGGGAAAGTGGAAGTACTTTGGCCACATCATGAGGAGACAGGAAAGCCTAGAGAAGACAGTGATGCTGGGGAAAGTGGAAGGCAAAAGGAAGAGGGGCCAACCAAGGGCAAGATGGATGGATGGCATCCTTGAAGTGACTGGACTGACCTTGAAGGAGCTGGGGGTGGTGACGGCCGACAGGGAGCTCTGGCGTGGGATGGTCCATGAGGTCACGAAGAGTCGGAGACGACTGAACGAATTAACAACAACAACAACTGGTAACAGGACGAGAGACGACTGGCTTGGAAACCGTCCTTGCGAAAGGGATCTAGGAACAACTGCAGCTTTAAAAGCCAGTGCAATTCTAGGCTGGATCAAGAGGAGGATAGAGTCTAATGCAGGCATGGGCCACCTTTGGCTCTCCCTCCAGGTGTTTTGGACTTCAACTCCCAGAATTCCTAACAGCCTCAGCGGCTGAGGGGGAAAAGGAAGGGGCTTGAGGCTATTAGGAATTCTGGGAATTGAACTCCAACACACCTGGAGGGAGGGCCAAAGTTGGCCCTTGCCTGGTCAAGATGGAGGGAAGTCATAGCTCCCTCTCTCTTCTGTTTTGGTCAGACTGTGGAGGATCGGTGCAAAAAACCCCCCAATATCTATTATCCAATCAGAGACTAGAGATTTAAAATACAATAGCATTAATCTGCGGAATAACACTAAGGACTGTGCAGTAAAAGAGCGCCACACCAGACCGATCTGCATCATGGGTTTTATAGTTCCTCAGAGTAAAGGAGACATGCAAACATGTGCACAAACCTGTAATCAAACCTCTCCCACTTTTCCTTCTTTGCATTGTTGGAGTATGCAAGAAATCAATTAGAGTGTGTATGTGTGTGTCAACTGCAAAATAAGATGCACAAAGCTGATTGGTTGGGCTACACCCAAGGAGATGGCCGAGCATGGGACTTTTGGATACTGTTACATTTATCAGGCTTCGGCTAGGCAGGTGCTCACAGAGAAGCAGAGAGTGAAGCAGAGAGAGAGGGAAAGACAGCTTGGAGTGTGCTCTTACTTCATGAGCTGCTGCAGAGAGATTCTCCACGTGGGCAAAGAAAGACTACTTTTTCCTTTTTATTTTTAACTAGCCGTCCCCTGCCACACGTTGCTGTGGCCCACTCTGGTGGTCATGGGGGTTCTGTGTGGGACGTTTGGCCCAATTCTATCATCGGTAGGGTTCAGAATGCTCTGTGATTATAGGTGAACTATAAATCCTGGCAACTACAACTCCCAAATGTTGAGATTTTATTTTCCCCAAACTCCAACAGTGTTCACATTTGGGCATATTGAGTACTTGTGCCAAGTTTGGTCCGGATCCATCATTGTTTGAGTCCACAGTGCTCTCCAGATGTAGGTGAACTACAACTCCAAAACTCGAGGTCAATGCCCACCAAACCCTTCTAGTGTTTTCTGTTGGTCAGGGGAGTCCTGTGTGCCAAGTTTGGTTCAATTCCATCCTTAGTGGAGTCCAGAATGCTCTTTGATTATAGGTGAACTATAAATCCCAGCAACTACAACTCCCAAATGACAAAATCATAATTTTTTGAGTGATGGTCACTCCTTGTGTTGTGAGACGGTTTGTTGCCAAATTTGGTGTGATTTTGTTCATTGGTTCTTTTGTTTTTAGGGTACTCACAGAACATTTTTATATATATAGATAAACCATAAAGACTTGTTTTAAAAAAGGTAAAAAAGTTCTTAAAAGCAAAGGTTAATGTTCCAAAAGATCAATATAACATAGCACTTGAAGCATAATCCAATAGGCATCTGCAAAGCAAGACCCAAGAGAACATGACAAAGTTCTGGAACCATGAACACAAAGACTGCAAGATAATCCAGCCTAGTTTAGGCAAGCTCCTTAGGTAAACATGAAGTTGCTTTGACAAAGATCTGGTCTCAAAAACCCCGTTTAATACCCTTTGCAAAACATGAAGGCGTTTCTCTGGCCTCCCTCTTGTTGGCTATCTTCTCACTCCTTCGAACATGGAATTCCAACCGATCAGCCCGATCTAAAGTTCCCATATCGCCAAGGTCAATCTGTTCGTTAGCATCAGCCTGTTTCCCTGCTTGCTCATTATCAGGCTGAGAACCAGGCAAAGAGCTGTCCTCCCTCTGCACCTGGCTATTTTCAATATCAACTCTCACGCCTTGCTGTGGGAAACTGCACTTCTTCAATGTCTATAGCAGAGACGAGGACATTTTGAACCCAACTGTGAACCTGAGTCCCATCATCCTCGTCAGAAACACTCTCTGACTCCAGCTGTGTCACAACACAGACAAGACAGAGGTACTCCTGGTCAGTCGCAAGGCCGAACAGGGTATAGGGTTACAGCCTGTGCTGGACGGGGTCGCACTCCCCTTGAAGGCGCAGGTTCGCAATTTGGGTGTGACCCTGGACTCATCGCTGAGCCTGGAGCCCCAGGTCTCGGCGGTGACCAGGGGAGCATTTGCACAGCTTAGGCTCGTGCGCCAGCTGCGCCCGTACCTCGGGACGTCTGACTTGGCCACGGTAGTCCACGCTCTGGTTACATCCCGTTTAGACTACTGCAACGCTCTCTACGTGGGGTTGCCTTTGAAGACGGCCCGGAAGCTCCAACTGGTCCAATGATACTAACAGGAGCGGGACACAGGGAGCATACAACCCCCTTGCTGTACCAGCTCCACTGGCTGCCGATTTGCTACCGAGCTCAATTCAAGGTGCTGGCATTGGCCTATAAAGCCCTAAACGGTTCCGGCCCAAGATACCTATCTGACCGCATCTCGGCCTATGAGCCCACGAGGACTTTGAGATCTTCCGGGGAGGCCCTGCTCTTGATCCTGCCTGCTTCACAGACACGGCTGGCGGGGACGAGAGATAAGGCCTTCTCGGTGGTGGCTCCTCGGCTGTGGAACATCCTTCCCGTGGACATCAGACTAGCGCCCTCCCTGTTGACTTTCCGCAGGAAATTAAAGACTTGGCTGTTCAAGAAGGCGTTCGAACAAGAAGTGCAATGATTGGTAACTGACTATAGGAATGGAACAACGGAAAATGATACTGGATTGCGGTTTGGACGATGAGACGACGCGGAATGGCTTCGTAGTGATGATGATGCTTTTTGATGATGATGTTTTTTGTTAATGATGGATTGTGGATTTTTATATTGTGTCTTGTATTTTGTACCTTATTCTTGCTATGTTGTACACCGCTGTGAGTCGCCCCTGGGCTGAGAACAGCGGTATATAAGCAAAGTAAATAAATAAATAAATAATAAACACTTCTCCCGGCGTCTGTCCTTCACTTTGGCACCTCTCTGTTCCAAAACAGACCTGTTTTCCAAAACAATTATCCTGCACTTCTCCCTTCCCATCTCTTCCAGGTCATTCTGATCTCTCTGAACCTTTCACACTCTTCTTTCCCCATTGTGCCTGGCAACATTTTGTCCAATTTTGTGGGCCTGCTTTTGGCTGATGAAATAGGATTGTTGTTGTTGTTGTGTGCTTTCAAGTCATTACAGACTTAGGTTGACCCTGAGCGAGGGCCAGGTAAATGACCTTGGAGAGCCTGAAAGGGCCTGATGCAATATTTCCCTCCGAAACACATTAAAGAACATTTTAAGGTTCAAAACGTATTCCTGACACTTGGGGTCCCTTTCTACTCATTATGATTCTATGAACTCACCTGCAGCCAGGCTCCGGCAGGCCTTACGGTACCTCTCCACCAAGGGAGGCAGGTTCCATGACTGAACTTCAGCCAAAACCTGCCACAGAGAAAGAGAGAGAGAGAGAGTCAGCTGGGAGCAGGAAGCAGAGGACAGAACTCACAAAAGCACCCCTGAAGACATTTTGCCTAAGATATTCAGGGGGTTGCCATAAATTAACCTGCGACTTGAAAACACAGATATAGTGATACCTTGACTTATGGGTTTAATTTGTTCTGTGTCGGAGCTCTTAACTCAAATCACTCTTATGTCAGAATCAAAGCTTGCCATTGAAATGCTATTAATGTGTTCTAGTCCCCTAAAATCCACAACATTTTTTGATGTTATGTGTATTTATTGGGAGGGCTGACTTGGCCACGGTAGTACACGCTTTGGTTACATCCCGCTTAGACTACTGCAACGCTCTCTACGTGGGGTTGCCTTTGAAGACTGCCTGGAAGCTGCAGCAAGTCCAACGTGCGGCAGCCAGATTACTAACGGGGGCTGGGTACAGGGAGCACACCACTCCGCTGTTACACCAGCTCCACTGGCTGCCAATTAGCTTCCGAGCACAATTCAAAGTGCTGGTGTTGACCTATAAAGCCCTAAACGACTCCGGCCCTGTTTACCTCTCCAAACGTATTCTCCCCTACGAACCATCAAGATTATTAAGATCATCTGGAGGGGCCCTGCTCTCGGTCCCACCGGCCTCGCAAGCACGCCTGGTGGGGACGAGGGACAGGGCCTTCTCGGTGGTGGCCCCGCGACTCTGGAACTCTCTCCCTCTGGAGGCCAGAACCGCCCCATCCATCCTAACATTTAGGAAACGGGTGAAGACGTGGCTGTGGAGTCAGGCCTTCGATGAATGAGACAACACCATAGGACCCTGGATGGAAGTTGATGTAGATCCATCTTAATAGGACGACTGACCACTGTAGTTTTATATATAGTGTTTTTAAAGTTGTTTTTGTAATTGTGATATATGATATTTTAAGGAGTGTATATGTTTTTTATGGCTGGAAACCGGGCTGAGTCCCTCAATGAGGTTGAGAAGCTCGGTATAGAAAACTGGGAAATAAATAAATAAATATTTAAATATCCAAGCACATCATCCTTTTCTTCTTGGCATGCACTTTCTTATGTTAATTCATGTCCCGGCATAGTATGTTTGCCGAAATCATCTATTGGACAGATGGCAAGCTGTTTAACCTCAGCAGACTGAAAGCCAAAACCAAGGTTACAACAACATCTGTTATAGAACTCCAGTATGCTGATGACAATGTCATCTGTGCACATTCAGAAAAAGATCTTTAAAGCCACTCTAAACACCTTTGCAGAAGTATACGAGAAGCTCAGCCTGTCATTAAACATCAAGAAAACTAAAATGCTCTTCCAGCAGTCACCAGCCAATCCAACGTTGCTCTGCTATACTCTCTCACTGAAAATGCAATGTAAAGAACCCTTGTATAAAAAATATTCATGACAGTCACACATCTGAGGGCCCTTGGCCTTCCATCTCGCCCCCCTACTCATCCTCATGCCCCATGCTTCTTTCTCGTGGCAATCCTTCTCGAATCCTTCTGCACCTGAAACTCAGACAAGGCCTTCTGCTTCCCAGCAACTGCTCACCTCCTCGTTGCTTTGCAAGACGTCCACAATGCGGTCCTGGGGGGCGAGGAGGGCCCCCTCTTTCTTCAGGGTCAGGAGCGGAAGGAGCCCGCAAGCCTGGTAGTAGCGCTGGGAGGCCTGCTCCGCCAGCCAGGACACCGGGCGGCCCTCGTGGTCGCTGCAATACGAAGGAAGGGCAGGGTCATGTCCCTCTGGTTCAACATCTCCACTTACTCAAATCTTCATTGGAATGTGCTGTGACCACATGTCCATTAGAACTGTATTTTTCACACACAATGGAATTTACAGACAATGCATTTCGAGCTCTAGTTGCTCTTACTGCCTGTTACAGGGAAAACCAGCTGATTCCTGATCCATCTGAAACACAGACATGTGCCTTTCACCTGAAGAACAGACAAGCATCCCAAGCTCTGAGGATGATTACCTGGGAAGGAATCCCACGGGAGCATTGCAGCGCACCCAAATACCTGGGAGTTGCCCTGGACCGTGCTCTTACCTACAAGAAGCACTGCCTGAACATCAAACAAAAAGTGGGTGCCAGAAACAATATCATATGAAAGCTGACTGGCACAACCTGGGGATCACAACCAGACACAGTGAAGACATCTGCCCTTGCGCTGTGCTACTCTGCTGCTGAGTACGCATGCCCAGTGTGGAACACATCTCACCACGCTAAAACAGTGGATGTGGCTCTTAATGAGACATGCCACATTATCACGGGATGTCTGGGCCTGACACCACTGGAGAAATTACACTGCTTAGCCGGTATTGCACCACCTGACATCCGCCAGGAAGTAGCAGCCAATAATGAAAGGACCAAGGCAGAGACATCTCCAGCTCATCCCTTGTTTGGGTCTCAGCCAGCACGTCAACGACTTAAATCAAGAAATAGTTTCCTAAGATCTACAGAGACACTCGCTGGAACATCCCAGCAAGCGAGAGTCCAAAAGTGGCAGGCTCAAACCCAGAGCCTCAATCAATGGCTGATACCCAATGAGAGACTCCCCCTGGGCACACAGAAGACTTGGAAGGCGCTGAACAGACTGCGCTCTGGCACCACGAGATGCAGAGCCAACCTCAAGAAATGGGGCCACAAAGTGGAATCCACGACATGCGAGTGGGGAGAAGAGCAAACCAGAGACCGCCCGCTGCAATGCAACCTGAGCCCTGCCACATGCACAAGGGAGGACCTCCAAGGGGCCAGATACTGGTCAAAGGACATTGAATCAACTACCAAGCTTGCAAACCTTGTGCTTTGTTTGTTTGTTTTGTTAAAAATGTAATACAACTGTCTGGTTGCTCCTGACACGATAAATAATGTAAATTATCTACCTGACACAAATTTCCTCCACCCAGTGACAGTGAACAACACAGAGAGAAAACTCAGAGGGTGATCTAATCCTTTTGGATCCTAAGAGTCAAAAAGGACCCAAAGGGGCCCCCTGGCCCAATCCCCTTCTGTGCTGGAATACATCGCTAAAGCGGAAGTTCCTTCTCTCCAGGGTGATGAAGGGCAACCTGTGTTGAGTTCACTCAAAGCAACACGGATGGATCTGCCTGGGATTCCGCAATTAACCAGCTTACCCGTGTGGCACAGGAATCAAGAAGATGTTGTCTTGCACCCGAACCCGCACTCGGATTGGAGGCGGGGGAGCCGGGACCTGCGGAGAGAGAAGACAAGGTGAGGGACCGGGCTGCAGAAGGAATCCCACCGTGGGACATTTCGTGGAGGCCTTTTGAAGAGAGAGGGAAACAGACACAAGAAATTGATCTATCATTTGCTGGCATTACAGTTTAATATTTTTTTTCTGTGAGTTTTTCGGGCTGTATGGCCATGTTCCAGCAGCATTCTCTTCTAACGTTTTGCCTACATCTCTGGTTAATGGCACCTTCAGAAGTTCTGCAGGCAGTCAAGTGCCAGTTAACGCCTCCCAAGCAGAGGATGCCTCCAGGCAACAAAGGCCAGGCTACCTCTATGCAGACAACTTCACTCATTGACTTTGCAGTTTCATGGCTACTCAATGCTATTCAAGCTTACAACATTGGCGCTTGCTTAAAATATTTATTTAATATTTATTTATTTAGAGCTTTTATAACCCGGTCTTCTCAACCTCCGAAGAGGGACTCAGGCCGGCTAACAGCAGAAAATTCATACACAAATAGAATAAACATAGTAAAACAGACAAAGGTTCTTTTGGCCACGCTACCAGTATTAAAAAACTCTAAAATTACGAAAGCAAAACAACAGAGAGGAAACAATCTGGGGCATCTAATCACCTCCCAACAAAAGATTGCCCCAGGCACTGCAAGGCCATCAAATGCTAATTTGTCAGGATTAATTTAGTTATGTATGTGTTTTAAATGTGCTTCTATGTATTGTAAATATGGATGCCACTGTGAATTAGAAATACTGTGCAGAATGTTTACGCATGAGGCTGTGATTAAGTGAACTTGAGAAAAGTAAGATAAGGTTTGCTCTTGCTGGGAACAGAAGGGAGTAGCCAGTCTCAGCAAGAAAAGATAAGCAGATGTGAAGAGGCTTTCGTTTTGACTAGTTCCTGAATTGTAGCTCGCTGTAGTAAGACGTGTCTGATGTATGTGCTTAGTAAACTTAGTTTCTTTTGTAACTCAAAGCCTGCAGAGTCCTTATTTTGCAACTCAGTGTCTGCTGATCTAGCATTCCTTCCGCTGGGCATCGTCTGAACTCTGACATAATCAAGGTGGTCAGTTGAAACATTCGCACCTAGCTCCAACAGACAAGAGATCTTTATCCCACCCTGGCCATTCCACAGATATATAAACCCTTTTTCCTACTTCCAACAGACCTCACTACCTCTGAGGATGCTTCCCATAGATGCAGGCGAAACGTCAGGAGAGAATGCCTATGGAACATGGCCATATAGCCCAGAAAAACCTACAACAACCCAGTGATTCCGGTAATGAAAGCTTTCGACAATTTCCTATATTTCTATTCCCGCCCTTCTCCCCACGAGGGGGACTCAGCGCGGCCTCACATGAGCATCAGAGGATGCTAACAGCATAAATACCATAAAAATTACAATTCACAATAAAATCATTTTAAAACACCTACAAGAAGCACAGCCTGAACATCAAGCAAAAAGTGGGTGCTAGAAACAATATCATACGAAAGCTGACTGGCACAACCTGGGGATCACAACCAGACACAGTGAAGACATCTGCCCTTGCGCTGTGCTACTCTGCTGCCGAGTACGCATGCCCAGTGTGGAACACATCCCACCACGCTAAAACAGTGGATGTGGCTCTGAATAAGACATGCCGCATTATCACAGGGTGTCTGCGCCCCTACACCACTGGAGAAACTACACTGTCTAGCCGGTATCGCACCACCTGACATCCGCTGGGTAGTAGCAGCCAATAGTGAAAGGACCAAGGCAGAGACATCTCCAGCTCATCCCTTGTTTGGGTATCAGCCAGCACGTCAACATCTTAAATCAAGAAATAGTTTTCTAAGATCTACAGAGACACTCGCTGGAACACCCCAGCAAGCGAGAGTCCAAAAGTGGCAGGCTCAAACCCAGAACCTGATCCCAAATGAGAGACTCCCCCCTGGGCACACAGAAGACGGGGCGACGTGGAAGGCGCTGAACAAACTGTGCTCTGTCACCACGAGATGCAGAGCCAACCTCAAGAAATGGGGCCACAAAGTGGAATCCACGACATGCGAGTGCGGAGAAGAGCAAGCCACTGACCACCTGCTGCAATGCAACCTGAGCCCTGCCACATGCACAAGGGAGGACCTTCTTGCAGCAACGCCAGAGGCACTCCAAGGGGCCAGATACTGGTCAAAGGACATTTAATCAACTACCAAGCTTGCAAATTCTGTGTTTTGTCTGTTTGTTTTTGTTAAAAATGTAATACAAATGTCTGCTTGCTGATGACACGATAAATAAATAAAATAAATAAATTTTGAAACATTGTACAACA